AAATCCTGTGAGCACCAATGGTATCCCGGCGGACAGTAAAATGCCCCGCATACGTGCGAACCAACACATAAGTCAGGCGCCAAGGGGCAATGGCGAGAAAGTGTAACTGATTGTGGAAGACTTCCGGTGCATCAACCGCAGTGGGTATGCCGGCATACTAGATGGGGTGAACATTGCAGTTGGCGATCAATACCAACTCTATTGCTCGGTGATTTTTACTGCGAATCCAACATTCAGGCCGCGTCGATCTTCCAGGAGTAATCTTGCTGGATTTTTTCTTCCATAGCCTCCCGCAACGCGCCTTCCAGGGGCTGGCCATCCACGTCCTCGGCCATAGCCACATCTCCGTCGGAGCTACGGGCTACAGTGCCGTGGCAGATGGCCAAAGCGCGCTGGTGTACCTTCTCCCAGGTCTCAAAGTCAAAAGGGCCCTCACTTTCGTTCAATAGAAGATGGCCATTGGAGGAGAAGGCGAAAACATGAAGAGACACGGCGGCGGCGGCTTCTTTCACAGAGGGCTCCCGCGTAATCTCCCCTGAAGCATCGACAGCCAGCACGGTCGCGGAGTAGGTCATGGATAAGGGAACGGATGCGGAAAGTAGCGCCAACAGAGATGTGTGAAGGAGAGCGGGGAGCAAAGTCAAGTACTGTATGCCCGTTCCACCCAGGTTAGCCGTAATTCCGTCTGCTAATCAATCTTTGTTGCGAAAGGAGACACCCACCGAATCACCTCTAGCAACACTTTCTCCTCCTACAATAGCCAAGGTGATCACAACGCCACGCCGAGCGTAGCCCTTCTCTCGTCCCAGGATCAATTTGCCCAGCATATTCTTGATGATTCCTTCGACGTATCGTTCACCAACCCCACCCGGTGCGGTACCCGGCTTCACGAAAACTTCCACGGTGGCATCTTCCGGCTTAAGGGCATCACGGCGTCCAGGCAGCTCAATTGGCGCATTTACCGATCCTAGGATATTAGATCCGGTCGAAGGACATTGGTAAGAAGCCGAACCATCGGCGCGAGAAAGAGGAGTGAGAGAGGCTGTTGGTCCGACCATGGTGTGAATTCGAGGAATAGGACGTAAAAGTAGACCAACTTCGTTGTATATACGGAGTAAATATGTTCAGGAATGGGAAACCCGGACCAAGGATGAACGAGAAAATGAGAGGTTGCGACTATCGAGAAGCTGGAGCTTCACTTCCAACTTCCCGCTTGGAAATTTTTGGTCGCAGCGTAGAATGCGGGCCGCCATCTGATTGGTTGACCCCCAGCTCCTCCAAAAGAACATCAACTCAACAATAGGGAATACTTATGGACTTTTCTTTGGCTTCAAATGCTTGGCAATCTAAGAATTAATCCTGGCCTGGTCTACGTATTGAATGTGAAGTATATTATATTTGATCAAACATTAATGCCTTACATGCTCCAAGGTTAAGGAATAGCCCAATCGCACGCCTGTTTATATATATATCAATGTTATGTATGCATACCTCATTACGCCGCCCGACACAGAATTCCTAGGTTAAGTGTGTTCGATACTATTTTGATATTTTTTATGAGATGATGTCCCAGCCCAAATCTACGAACATCCACAGAGAATCTGAGCATATTTTTCATGGGAAGTTCACCAATTTCTACCTAGAAATCCTATACTTCATCCCAACCCGTCTTCCGTAATACCCCGTAAGTAGGACATTCTTATCCTAGGTATTTCCCGCGTACTGGGTTGTGTTAGCTCTTCTCAAGCCTCAGGATACTTAGAGAACCTTATCTCTTACACGGTCCCCGATCAATAGCTATATCGCTGGGTCCCGTATTCGAGAAAGCCGTGTCTACCGCAGAGTAACTGAGACTCTCGCGGCATTACTTCCTCAGATTTCGTTCAATAATCCCTCTCATTCAACCTTCCTAGGATGAGGGCCTGGCGGTGCATCGTTTCGTCTGAGGAGAAGGTAGCGGTATGTATTTAGATTCCAGAAGACTTGCATACCAGGTTATGATATACTTTTCCAGAAAATCTCTCAGATAACAATCGCCGTTGGATAGCAGCCATGGCTTGCATTGTCTGCGCCTTTTCCTCAATGTCCATATTCATCCAAACATCTGTAAAGTCTTTACCCGGTGCGTGCTCCATGATGATGTATTCAACCTTTACACGGGTCGCAGAATCCATTCGCCCGTTCTAGGTTCGGATGTGCGGTACTGGGTGTAGTATATCTCTAATCTAGCACAGATGTCGACTAGCTAGCGTGTCAACTATATCGACAAACTACTGACGAATCTTTTGTCAGGACCTCAGATGCTATTAAAAAAGCTGGTCCAGCATTTGAATTCAAAATGCGACCAACAGTCACTTTGCCATTGTTCCATGATGAGCCGGGATACCTTGTTGTAAGGTTCTTCGCCCAATTTCCCAATATTGACACAAGAACGAGATGATTTCGATTCAATAACAACCTTTAGCAGCTCAGATATGCTATGTCGAATTCACGGTACCTCCCAAGATGCTGCTCTTCCGGCCATTTGTATAGCCCTAGAAGCTTTATGGATCTTCAACGTTAACATTTATCTGGATCTTAGGGTGTTTATATTGGTAACGTCGACTGGAGGTATATGATTTAGTTAGCGGACCTGACGAGACCGCAATTTGAACAAGTTTGGTGGAAGAGGAAACGGGACTATTTTCATCAGTCCAATGCGTGGAGTCTTGCAACATGCTTTGCTGAGTCTGTGTTGCCCCAGGTGGAATGCAGGTGATCCTCAGGGAGAGCACATGTCTGCGACGTGTGCGATTAAACTTGCCTTCTTTGAATTGTCCAACTGACTTGTTTGGTAGAGAAGGGTAGATCGCTACATAAGCCTTTGTACGCTTGCGTATCTTTAGCGACAAAACAATTGAAATGAATGGCATGTGGTGCAAACGAAATAGCCAAAGAGGGGGACTGGTTGGTTGTGTTGTTGTTCAAAGCCCAAGACGGGAGCCCTATAATGCTCGTCTGGATAATTTGGCGTACATCTCGCCTATTGATGCAGAATACTGTGAAGACTCATACGTAAGGCAAGCTGGCGAAGTAAAAAGCGTCAACAGCTTACTGTCAAAGGTCTTACTGTTCAAAGTGTAATACTTCAATGGTTGGGTATCCGCTGAACTACATCCAGGCAACTTATGTCGAAACAGGGGTGGCCAATGCCGTGCCTTTCTGGATGCAGGGGCCCTTGGTGTCGTTTAGTAGCGCCTCGTCATGAAGGATTATATACTGACTGAATTAGAAAAGGTCGGGGTGAGTTAATTAAGAGAACTCACGGTCTTCGCCTTTCCACGTACTCTAACAACTTCTAGGGCACTTAGACTGCTTGAAATATACCCTTCCCCACTCCCCAGGGTACAGTCAAGACGAACCTTAGGTATTAACGACAGCACCCTTCTCAATATAATCAATCAAATCGCTTTCCTGTGAGTGAAGCCTGTCGACTTGTTCGGGAGTAAGTTCAGCGTTGACTTTATTATTAGCTTAGCTGTATTGAGAGTGGGACGAAGGCCTGCATGGAATACGACCGCAAATCCTTTGATCTCCTGGTCATATATCTGCGTGACCCTTCCCCCTGAAGAATTGACTTGCTTTATAGATGGATGAATTTCCTCCATTGCGACGAAATCCTTGAAGATAACCTAGACGAGATGATTCTATCAAGAGATCTCAGAAAGTGGCTTGTAGGAGATACATCACTTACGAGATAGTCGGAGGCTAACGACATGATGGTAAATTGGCGATGGTAGCGAGGGCGAAGCAGTAAGTTTTTCGTGGAGTACATATTAGTTAAACACCTATAAAAGCTACAAATATCATTTAAATCATTTTAATAAATACAATAAATAGTATTACATAAAGTATCAGGATCAAACTATACATGAATGGTCAATTGACTGGACCTGATATCATAGAAGAAGAGCGGGACCTACTAGGATTATATACCCTTCGAAATAGGAATGGTTAGATTGACTTAAGTTGCATAGGAGAGTCCGGTCCGGTCCGGCTGAACTGAGTTCTCACCAAAATGTACTACTGCAGAGACCTAGAGGGCATGAGAAGATTGTGCTGATCCTTTTGGAGCGGTTTAGTTCGCGTGTGTAAAAGCCTCCTCGGTTTTCGCCGGTTTTCTACCGCGCCGCACTTTTTAAGAATACGTAGATAATTCTCCATTTTTTTTGGAGGTCTCACTTTAGAATTTTAACTTAAGGTTTAAAATCAGTACTGTTACTACTATAGGAAGTAAAGGCAAGTATATCTACCATATACATACATTTTAGGTTAAGAATATCAAGGTTAACTTTTAGAATGGATGGTCTATCCTTCGGATATGGACTCTTCTAGCCGCTCCCATGACCTTTTTACAGTACTCATAATTTGAAAGTAATATATGTAATAAAGAGTAGTTTGGTTATAAACATGTGAAAACCGACTCTGTCTTAAAGTATAGGGCGTGGCGTAAGAAAGCGCTAAGAAACTGAAGATACTACTTAGTACTTTTGGCACACATGCTAACTAAACAAACCGCTCACAGGGATCAGCACAATCTCTTCACAGGGCACACCCTAAAAGAAATCTACGATCCGCCCCACAGCGGCTGAACTATGAGTGTGTTGATTATGGATCCTATTAGCTAATTTCGAACCTACTGACCACTCAATGTGAACGGCGCCGTTAATCTCCGGTCTCGTACCTTAGGCTTAGGCATGTCTTAAAATCCAAGAAATGGAAAGAAGACAGAGACAAGAGGCGGTCCGATGATACATATCAGCTGAGTGAATGGCAGGACTAACACTGTGGAAAGAAGAAATGATATGAGGCTATGTCACTATAGTAAACTATGGTATGCTATGTTCCTATCTTATTTGAGGTTATACAAGAGTAGAACGGTATATATCTAAAGGGAAGCTTTCGAGTTACACTATCGATGAATTAAGCTGAATAGGTATATTGAAGCACGGCAGCGCATGATGGAGTCAGACATTTGGCTCGATGTAGACACAGCGCTGCTCATCCACGTAATATCGCAAGGGTACCAGGCCTCTTGGAAACGCAACTTCGACATACACCTTGCCCGATTCTGCTTCCTGTTTGATAGACCCACCCTGATGTCGTGCAATCTGCGGGATATTGACCCCCGTCCGTTGTTGCCACTCTTCCACACTGCCCTCAACACGCATACTTCTCCGTGCCACCTTGATCACCTTGATCACCTTGGCTGGCTCTCGGCTATACCAGGCAGTCATCCGGGACGATCATGTGACATGGGACAAGCCGGACGACATGGAGGAGTATATCGCCGAAGATATTCAGCGCCAGGTCGATATGGGCGAACAGCTCGTCCGTGTTGCGATTAGCACGGCTCCCGACCAAACTCGTGTGTGGGCTCTGACCTTGCACCATTCTCTCTGCGATGGATGGACCGTCAGGCAGCTCTTGGAGCAGACCGCAGCTGCATACAGAGGGCAGACCCTCCATGAGCGACCTTTTAGCTCATTCATGGAGTATGTTCTCGACAAGGGTAATGAGGAAGCACAACAGTATTGGCAAACCGAGTTCGCCAACCTCGATCCCCGTGGTGCCAGTTTCCCGCCTCTTCCCTCAACACATTACGCTCCCCAGGCAGTAGAATCGCTAACGTACCCTGTCCTGAATCTCACCGACAAGGGCACCAAACATACGTTAACGACGGCGATCCGTCTCGCCATGGCGATTGTGCTGTCACGATATAGCGGATCCAGTGATGTTGTCGTTGGACTCACGACATCAGGCCGTAGCGCTTCCCTACCTGGGATCAACACAATCACCGGTCCAACATTAGGCACGTATCCCATGCAGATTCAACTGGATTCATCTGAAACAGTCGAAGACGTTATGTCAGGGATTCAAGCAAGCTCCATCCGCGTACTTCCATTTGAGCATTTTGGTCTTCAAAACATCCGCAACGTAAGTCCGGATGCCGCTCGGGCCTGTCAGTTCCAGACATACTTGAATGTCTGGCCAACCGTTGAATCCGAGGCTCCAGAGCTTTCACTCTATACCAAGATGGCTACTCCGGTCATGCTGCGTTTGGCGGCTTTGCCTTCGCCATGAGTTGCATGCTGGAACCGCGGAATGATGGATTTACCGTGCTAGCCAACTACGATCCGCAAACCATCACGCACGACCCGCTCACCACATTCTTCTCGGAGTTCGAGCAGGTGGTTCGTCAGATCTGGTCAGATCCAAGTAGGAAATTCACAAACGGGCCTGAAAGAACGGCTGGTTGTGGGACCGGGGCTGCCTAGTGATTCCGTCCCTAGCGGTGATGCGTCTGCCGAATTTGAAAGGTCTGGTGACATCAGCCAGGCTCCGGTGAATGAAACTGCAAATATTGTTCGTGAAGCGGTTGCCGACGTTCTAGATGTAAGCGTCGACAGTCTCAAGATGAGCGATAATTTCTTCCGAATCGGCGGTGATTCCATCGCAGCTATGCTGGTCTCCGCGAAGTGTCGTTCTCGAGGTCTTCTTCTCACTGTGACCGATATTTTCCAGAAGAAAACTATCGCAAAGATTGCAGAAAAAGCTATATTGGCCCAAAGCAAGGGTGGTGTTTTGCAGAACGAAGGAAAGATTGATACATCTGCCGCCTGGGACGCGTTAGTTAGTGGCAAACTACCAGCTTTGGGCGTTGTCAATGTAGAAGATATCGAAGAGATCGTCCCCTGCACTCCTCTACAGCAGGTAATGTGGTTGACTGGTTCAAGAAAGAACGGTTACTACCAACCACACACCGTGTGGGAGCTGATGGCACAGGATAAATCGAGGCCTGTGGACACAGACAGGCTTCGAGAGGCGTGGAAGGCATTTATCGAGCGTCATTCAACGTACCGATCACTTCTGGTGACCGTTCAACAGCTTGCATATCAAGTTGTGCTAAAAAAGCCATTCAGCGACAATATCTCCACAGTCCGATGCACTGCCGCAGATCTTCAAGACGCAATTGCTAGACAGAAAGATACACCCTGGTCTAATCCTCATGTGCCGTATCGACTGACCATCTTCCAGACCGATGGAGACAAGGTATTCTTGTTGATGGAGCAACATCACGCATTAGACGATGCTGTTTCTTCCTCTATCTTCGTGGACGAGTGGTCACAGTTGTATGGAGGAAACACACCGGATGGCACACCAGTTCCGTTCAGCAAATATATCGCCAGCATCCATTCTTCCTCTACAATATCCAACAAGGCGTTCTGGACACAGTACCTAAAAGATATATCCCCATGCCTTCTGTCCTCGCACGATGGTCCCATCCATCGCGGAAACCTTCACTCCACTAGCATCCAGCTCGACCATATGCGATATATTACCCAATTCTTCGCCGCACACGACATCACGATCGCAATCTTCTTCAAATCTCTCTGGGCCGCACTCCTCCATCGCCTAACCAGTCTCACCGACATCTTCTTCGGCTATCTCGTATCGACACGAAATACACCAGATGTAGAGGCCACCGGGTCTACTGGATTCTACCTAAACATGCTCATCCAGCGACTGAACATAGACAATACTACAAAAATGACGAAGGTCCTCGACGTCATCCAGCAAGACTACGGTCCAGCCCTCACGCATCAATTCCAAGCGCTGGAAGCACTAAACGCACCAAGGCCAAGCCGCGTTTTCAGCACTCTCGTCAACCACCGCCGACATGCTATCGATACTAAGGAAACTAGGTCGCTACGGTTTGAACCCGTGGAGTGGTCTGATGGGATGGACGTAAGTATTTACCCTGTGAAAATGTTTATCATGTTGAAGTTGACTTATTGCTATAGTTTGACATCGTGTTTGAGATTGACGGGTTCGAGGACGATTTACAAGCAACCTTGACATATTGGGATGGCAGAGTAGAGGAGGAAATGGTTTCGAAATCTAGTAAGATATTTACTGGACTTCTTTCCGCGGTGATGGAGAATCCCGAGCAGGTAGTTAGGGATGTATTATAAATGAAACAAAACGAGGAAGTCATGCAAAACCAATATGTTTCTACTTATCTATCTGAGTAGCTATACACTCCCTGCCGCACGTACATTATAGCTATTTACTAGGTTATAATTTTCTTTGCACACTTTCTGAAAACCGTCACCACCTCCCCAAAGCCCTAACAAGTGAACGCAACAACCCATGAAAGAATATTAAATCATCTTTGGAACCTATATCAAGTCCAAATAGATGATGTTGGCTTTCTTGCTACCAGCTGTAGTCAACATGGGTCAAACTTGTACCTCGGGTCTGGTCAACTTATGATTTCAAATTGCTTTGACATATACACAGAAAGAGATAGACATATATATTTGCTATTTACAGTGCCGGAGTATCCGCAACGACATGGCTCATCATCCTGTGCGACCGGTTAGCGCTCATTCACCAACTAGAAATCAGGGAGTGAGGATGGAGAAAAACTTACCCTGCAGGGTACCGAGTGCCAGGAACCTCTGTTCGTTTGACCAACTCCCGAATAGTGCGCACCTCCTCGTCCGAGAGTTGAATCTGCGCCGACGCAGTATTCTCGTCCATACGAGCAATGGCTCTTGTACCTGGGATCGGAATGATATCGGGACCCTGTGCTAGCAACCACGCGATCGCGATCTGGGTAGAAGTACTATTGTGCGCCTTGGCCACATCGTTCAGTCCCTGCACCAGCTCCAAGATCTTGGGAAAGTTCTCCTCCGAGTACTTGGGGAAGAAGCGGCGGAAATCATTCTCGGGCAAGTCGGCTGTGGACTTGAACTGTCCGGTCAGGATACCACGGCCGATAGGGCTGTATGCTACCACGACAACCCCTAACTCCCGGCAGGTTTCCAGGATATCAGAGTTAGGCGATTCGATGTCGAGCGCGAAGGGGCTGTATTCTATCTGGAGAGCGGAGATCGGGTGGACAGCGTGGGCCCTACGCAGTGTGGCAGCTGATACTTCGGAGAGACCAATGTATCGAATTTTTCCTTCGCTAAATGTTGAATATGAGTCAGTGCCAGGTGTTCTTGGTTGCGGGGTTGTCGAAATGGGGCTACCTACTTCTTTAGCTCAACCATTGCCTCAATGGTCTTCTCGATTGGTGTCACCCCATCAACTCGGTGGCAATAGTACAGATCGATAGTGTCGACATTTAGTTTCTTTAGGGATCTCTCGCAAGCCAACTTGGCATACTCGGGATCTGAGCGAATAGTCAACCCCTTCCCATCGAATGACTGAACAGCGAACTTGGTGGCGAGGAAAATGTCGTTGCGCTTGCCGGTCCGCTTAATCCATTCGCCCACGATTTCCTCACTGCTGAGGTACATGTCTGCTGTGTCCCAGAAGCGCTGACCAGTGGCATGTGCGTGGTCCAGGAAAGCAACTCCTTCCTCAATAGAACTAGCAGCGCCGTAGATCCCACCGATACTCATAAGACCTAGGCCAACAGCGTTGACCTGAGGACCGTTGTAGCCAAGGGTCCGAAGTGGAGGAGACATTGGTAGGTGCTTTACAAAGTAAGGTATATAATCTGATATTAGGACCGAAGGCGTGAGTCGAATATATAATTGAGAATGCTTGAGATGTGTGTTTGGGAGATTTGGGACGAAGATGTCTAGCCTTTAAATAATGCGCTTGATAGACGGAACACCCGGATGAGGGATCATCATAAAATCGTATGGATCGTTATTTCCGAACCTTCAAATCATTCATGACCTCCAGCATTTCTATCGAGATGCCATTCGGCGGACTTAAGCTTAAAGGCGTAGCCAATCATGACATTGCAGCAGCCGCTAGATCCACTTTGTGGGGAAGGAACCAATCAAAAGGCAGACTTTCCGAGCTGGCCAATTCAAACTAAGCCCTGGTGATGGATGACCTGAGGCCCTTTTGCTCTCATGGAGACTTGTTCGCCATCTCAACACTATTGAGACGATGAGAAGCATGTCAACATCAACAGGACACATAGCACAGTCTACAAATAGAAGAAAAGTCAAAACAGGCTGCAAGACCTGCAAGTCAGTCCTATCCCGACACCACCATCATCATCTGAGTTAGCCCGTTCAACCAGCTAACAGCACCACCAGAGCCCGCCGTGTAAAATGTGACGAGAGTCGCCCAGCCTGTCGCCGCTGCATCTCTACCGGTCGCACTTGTGATGGCTACGGCATTTGGGGTGGCGGGGGGAGCCCATATGGCCCACCACAGATCAACAAGGCACTATCCATCTACTGCACGCCGGTACCAGCCGGCTGTCTAACGCGGGAAGAGCAGACTTGCTTCGACTGGTTCATGAGTAAAACAACAACAAAATTCGCGGGCGTATTTGCCTCACTGTTCTGGGAGACTCTCGTCTTCCAAGCCAGCGCACAGGAACCCGCCGTTCGGCACGCCGTCGTCGCATTATCAGCGGCCCATCGCTCTAATCTCAGCAGCGAGTCTATGCCGGCGATGTACGGCATGGATGCAGAGCGATTCACATTGCTGCAGTATAATAAGGCAATTCATCATTTACGCGGTGTAACAACGTGTGGATCATCCAAAAATGCCCTCCGCGTCACCCTTATTACTTGTATGCTTTTTGTCACACTGGAGTACCTGCGCGGTCAACATAAAATGGGCAGTGCACATCTAGGGTACGGCATCCAGCTTCTTGCCAATGTTTCTGCGCCTACATCGCGTACTTCCATGGCGCCGAGTATATTTAGCCCGGCAGAGGATTTTGTGCACGATGCCTTGGTTGAGTCGTATGCTCGTTTGTCGATTCAATCGGCGATGTTCGGTCACGTCCCGTCACACCTTTGCGTGATTGTGCGAGATCCGCAGCTTCACGCCCTTCCATATAGATTTTCCTCTCTTGTCGAAGCAAGGCAGACTCTCGATGATTTACTTACTCGAATTCACTGTCTGGAACGACATATCTATTCACTCTCCGCAGACAATGATCCGGGAACGGATCCGGAAGTTTTCGAGACGCAGGGCAGAATTATGGCGGACTTATCGCTCTGGAGAAAAGCATATAATGCTTCTTTATCTCTCCTCAAGGCGGACGCCTGTAAGGAGAAGATTGGCTTCCTTCTTCTTCGGGTATACCATGGAATGGCTGTGGTCATGGCTTCAGTGTGTCTTTCAAGAGAGGGGGAGATGGTATTCGATGCATACACGAATGACTTTGTTAGTATCATGACCGCTTTCTTTGATATGCGGCGGTTCTGGTCGACAATTAGTATTCCCATTAAGGAACAGCACCTGGGATTCCAGAATGGCAGGTCAGATTGCAACGGCTATTCGTTCACGATTGAGTCAGGTTTCATCCCGCCAGTATATTATACCGGGTTGAAATGTCGTGTTTTGAAGATTCGTCGGTTGGCGATTAGGTTGTTGAGGGCAGCACCGCATCGAGAGGGCTTGTGGAATGGGCCACTGGTGGCGGACGTTCTGGAAGAGGTTGTTCGGGTGGAAGAGGGCGGCTTCCATGCAGATGATGATCTGAAGCAGGATTTAGATGAGAGATTTAATAATGCTGATTTTGAGTTGGAGAAAGACAAATTGCCTTCGCAAGGTGTGCCGGCTGAGTCCCGGATTTCTGATGTTGAGATCCTCCTATCAGACGTTGTTGATGGGGACACATTTATGAATTATAGGCAGAAGGGTAAAGATGGTCAATGGGCGACTTTTCGTCGTAAGGTCAACAGGACTAGGGGACAATCTTGGTCGATATTTTAGAATACAAAGGCAAAATGTGAATATTGTCCAAATCAGTGCGCTCAGTATCAACTAGAAGGAATTAAGATTTCACGACTCCCTGAAACACCACACCTAGCAATATATAATTGCTTTTTTAAAGTTTACTTACCTTTGAAATGATTGTAACATACCCGACGCTTGCCAGCCACGCTCCAACTCGCTATTGAATATCCCTACTCCTCAGGAAAGCAGCAAATCTGCTTAGGGTGTGATAAAGAATATGCCTTGCAAGTATTACCTGTAAGCCAGCACACCAATCTCCGCTGCATACTGCCAAGACGCGTGATACTTAGATACGCTAGTGAAATCTTTCAAGAGAAAGCTTGCAGTGGCCCTGAGGTGATTGCGCCCCAGTTTCCACAGACGGATCTAATCGGTCAGAATGGGCGGGAGAGATGAAGGTCGGATACCGCAGGTCTCTGATGTAGAATGGCCGGTGTTGTGCCTGCGCAGCTTAGGATATGAGTGGAGAAGTAGTGCTTGGAGAGTGGAGCGGTCTTGTCAAATAGCCACTCACAATGACAACCTCGCATTTTTAGTATTTCTGTAGCATTCATGGGCCCATGTCTGACACTAGGCCCGTGCTATCCGCAGTCAAACGAACATCTCCGATAATAGTTTATTGAAAAAGACAAAGTTTTAACCGCACTTGGAATAACCGCGGGCGATCCACCTCACCTATCTAGAAAGGGTATTGCAGTGAATCACATGGCGTTGTCCAGCCCCCGAATTGTTCCAGAGCTCCATCCCTGCAAGTATCCCAGGCCATGTCAAACGGGGTAGCTGTATAAGTCCTGGAAGCCAAGTGGCGACATAATTGGAGGTCCCTGCATCAGAAGGTATTTGAGTAGAGGGAATGTATCTCGCACCACGAAGGGATTACAATATACTAACTGGCCGCATGAGCTACCGCAGAGCTTACCCATGCTAAATACGACAATCGCTACTCTGAAGGCAAATATACGGAGTACTTTGAAGGATCGACTCTGAATTGAGTTCACAACGGTGGGCGCATATGCCCTCTCACCAACAGCGGGAGAAGACCTCTTTCCCACGTAGGACAAGCTATTGTGAAATTGTAGCGAGTGATATTTGTGGGTGTTCTATGGCCGCTTATACTGTGGTTCTCCTTCCTGGCACGGGAATATATGGCTGAGTGAGCCAAGGTGCCCATGAAGCCACTACCATCATGAGATCGATCATGATTCATGCCGATAGCAGTGGCTGTTTTGGAGAAAGGAGGTCGGGTTCACCATGGTAGAGACACGGTATTTGATCAACGGCGTACTCCTTTGACAGTCTGTGGCTGTCAGATATCTGTTGTACGTGAGTGACCGTGGAATGACCGTTGATCAAGGAATTCTACGAAAGCTCCCTCGCTAAATTGATATGGCTCGGATTACCTAGTCGTTAACGTGGGGTGTACATATTGAGTGAAAATTGCTACATGCAAAGACGCCCTGAACTACCCACACATTTTGCTAGATCAAAGTTGTGAATAATTATCAGCGAGGAATTGCCACGTCAGAATCGTGTTTAAAGTGAATTTAAATGGCACGGGCCGCCCGGCTATGTAGACTAATGCTGGCATAAACTCTATGGGCGAACTACATGAGCCCTATCAAAATTTCCCAGCAACATTAGGTTAATTGATGCTGGCAAATATCATGTCAGATCGAGAGTTACTATTTTCAGTACTCAGATCTTGAAGCCTGCCTGCTTAGCATCTTTATGGGCCTTCCAGCCTAAAAGGTCCCACCTTTCTTCATGCATGTAACGCTGGGTTTAGTAGTGATACACAAGAGCCAATGTTCGTGACTTATTCACATCCCCACTTTCAGCTGAAAAGCACGTTAGGGCTATCAGCACAACTACAGACACGTATCACGCATATCCCTGCAGGATGCATTCTGTAATTCCTTTAATTTAATTTAATTAACTTTTTAGCTTGTAGCGGACTAAATTGACACCCATGTCTCTTTCTTTTAAAATTTTTCTCATCTGCACACGAGAGGGTTGACACCCTACTCGCAACGTCAACTTGACGATCGCCACACAACTCACCTCCTACACCAATGTCATAATTTGCCTGATATATAATGACATGCATGCGTGTAATTTGAAAAGTATCTTCCCGAAGTAGACTGCACATGCCTTTGGACAGCCGTGGCAATGATCCACGATGTGTGAGTATGATAGGAGGGCCCACCGACCAATTATTAGTCCGATGATACCTCGTCTAAGCATCATGATAGCAGGGATATCGATAGTTAGCTGCATATGTATATGAGCATTCCTACTACCCCTCACGTCACGTTGCCACTCCCTCATTCTCTTCCGCAGTATTCGTATGTATTTAAACAGGGGTAGGTGCGAGTTTAGACTGTTCCTGAGCTATGATTTTGCAGCGCTCCGACTAACCCTATAACCGCTGCTATTTGATTATTTAAGGATTCCCCTCAATTTTAGCCCATGCCAAAGTTAATATGGTGTTTTTACCTTGGATCACCATCGCAATTGGAGTCCTCACGGCATACGTTGTGACTAAACTCTTTACTTTTAAGAAGCCCCCAGCGCCACTACCACCCGGTCCACCTCCCAAACCACTTATTGGTAACCTGAAAGACCTGCCGCAAAATGGAGAGAGGGACTGGGAGCATTGGCTGAAACACAAAAAGCTTTATGGTAGACTCACACTGATTGGCATACTGTCATATGCGTAGCATGCCACTAACTTGACATTCGCACAGGGCCGATTAGCTCCATCACTGTGTTAGGTCAAACCTTTGTCATTCTCAATGAACCAAAGCTCGCAGTCGAGCTCTTCGAGCAGCGGTCCAAGTGGCATTCGGATAGGCCTAAGATGTTCTTTGCGACCGAAATGTGTGTCAAACAATATATTATTCTTCGCCCTTCGCGATTTGCTAACGAGAATGCAGGTCCGGAATTGGAGGCATCCTGGGAATGATCCCTTATTCTGATCGCTCCAAGGCAATCCGCAAAGCCATGAACAAGGAGATTGGATCGAAGGTAGCTGTTTCTCGTTTTAATCGACTGCAGGAGGCTGAGACGCGTCGCTTTTTACTACGGGTTCTCGAGGCGCCGGAGGACCTGAGAAACCATATTCGGAAGTAAGTTTGAAGCGGCCATCCCCTTCGTTAGGACTGGCCCTGCTAACAAGATCTGTAGAGAAGCCGGTGCAGTTGTTCTTAAACTTGCGTACGGGTATACTGCCGAGCCACACAAACAGGATCCGTTGGTTGATTTGGCAGACGTGTCTATGTATTACTTTTCGCTGGTTTGTCGCTATGGAGCTTGGTTGGTGGATGTTATCCCCAGCTGTACGGATCCTTGCCTTGTCAGCCTTACCTTCAGTCCCTGCTAACTGCCATCCTAGTGAGATATCTCCCGTCTTGGTTTCCGGGGACCGAGTTCAAACGCATAGGCCAGAGGTCCAAAGAGGCTTTTGATAACTTTGGTGGGAAGCCATATAATTTCGTGAAGCAACAAATGTCGCAAGGCACACACCATCCATCTTATCTGTCAAGCATTCTAGAATCAGAAGATATTGAGCCTGGGTCAGAGAAGGAATACGTGACAAAATGGTCCGCAGCATCGATTTATGCCGGTGGCGCTGACACGGTACGGATCATCCAAATGCTAGACCTTATCCAAGTGCAAACTAACCTGAGCACAGACAGTGTCCACAATGGCATGCTTCTTCCTTGCCATGGCGCTGTATCCTGAGGCTCAGAGAAAGGGTCAAGAGGAGATTGATCGTGTCGTCGGAAACAACCGTCTTCCTACCTTTTCCGACCGGGATAATCTGCCCTATATCAACGCCATGGTGAAGGAAGTCCTCCGCTGGCACCCAGTCGTACCGACCAACTTGCCTCATGTTTCGACCCACGATGATATGTGTCAAGGATATTTTATCCCGAGGGGCTCCATAGTTCTTGCTAATATCTGGTTCGTCCAACCTTTCCCATATATCTACGTATGACGTCTAACATTCTACTCACAACAGGGGTTTCACACACGACCCAGACGTCTTCCATGATCCTATGGCATTCAAGCCGGAGCGCTATCTGGGCGAGAACCCCGAGCCGGATTCTCATAGGCTCTCTTTCGGATTCGGCCGTCGAATCTGTCCCGGTCGCGTTATGGCAGATGCGGCCATTTACCTCAATATTGCACAATGCTTGGCGGCCTTCAACATTACCAAGAAAGTCGTCGATGGGAAGGAAGTCGAGCCCAGAGTAGAATTTCAGGCCGCCCTTATCAGTCATCCGGAGCCGTATGATGTGAGCATTAAGCCTCGGAGCGAGGTGCATGAGGAGCTCATTCGCGCGGTGGAAATAGAATATCCTTGGGAGAAGAGCCATGCGGATGAGCTTGCTAATATCAAGGCATAGATGTTTGACGGATGATTGCGTGCGATTGTCGGCGTTGAGAGGGGTTCGAGCAAGGGGTGGTTGAACTTTTTGCTATTTATTTGGGATGTTGTTTAGCAGTTCGAATTAACATTAGCGTACCTTTTCATGCTCCTGTCCTAGAGATGGCAGACAGATTCCCACCCATTCGCGCTTCAATTATACACCTCATCGTGCGTGAAACGAGCCACCGAGAAGCAGGATTGCAACCCTGGTCAAATATATCACATGAGTCCTCATGATTCTAAACCTGCAGCAAGGGAAAGGGAATCTAGCAGCACCATTAACTCTTCAACGGCATCATGCTCGTCACAAACGACTGTATCTGGCCTTATGTACCCCAATAATGTGATGCCGTGCCAATGGAGGATATCAAACTTGCCACTATTCATCTACAGTACCTCACAAAGCAAGGGGCTCACGCACTAAATCTGGATAAAGACCATATTTCATAAAAGATTGTTCTTATGGTTCGTCCGATAACTAACAGATAGCAGGAAGTGCATCATTAATAAAGTATCCACATAGACAAAAGTTCTATATTGCTCTTTTATCTTCCTTGCGACATCCATCCTGCCTCTTGCCCTTGGGTATGTGGGAATTACGCCGGGTAGCTCTTCTTGGGTGAATCAATAGTGACGGTATACTCAGACTGCAAATAGAAATAGCTCAAGGGGGAGAAGGAAAAGAAGGTTATTAGAGACCTCTATATGAGCTATAAAATAGAATTCTCTGGATCTCTTGAGAACGTATTCCAGGGCGAAAGTCGGCACTTGGCCATCCGAGGAGTTTTCCGGTCTTCGGATACGGATACAGAGCCCCGCCGACAGGCTCACGTTTTCCCCGGTTCCCCAACCGACTTTGTGGGGTCATTTGAACCTACCCGTTAATGGAGGGGAATTGCTGGTCGTCGTGGTGCCACACGTGATACGGGTCGACTCACCTGGGGAAAGATCAAAATCACTTATCCGGAGCCAAAAGTGACCGTACATACTTTGCCAACGGACACAAACTCCGGTGAGGGCTACATCCCCCCAGACGACGCTCAAAAGCTGGTGCTCAGTAGTGGATGACTCAGGAGTCAGGACCGTCCCCGGACATTGCTTTTGAAGCTTTTACACAATAATGGAACAAGGTACTGGCGTAAGGGGGATGATGAATCTATCCAATCACGGGCCCGCCAAACATGCGTGTCGGGAATGCCGACGACGTAAGTCTAAAGTAGGTCCACGATGGTTAAATCCCGTCCTAGCAATTGCCGCAACCCAAGGATCGCGGGCTGCAGACCGGACTCATGCATGGCAATACTCTAAACTCGTGCTAGTGCGATCGTCTCGTGCCAAGTTGCTCGCTATGTGACAAGTTTAATCGGCGATGCCTTTACGAAACGTTGTCGAAGACCCCGTTAACCAGGCAATATTTGACTGAGGTCGAGGAGGAATTGACACGGACCAAGGCCCTACTCTCCGAGCTTCTACCTGGGTCCAGCCATGGCATTGCGAATGGCGAACGATTTACTTATCCTGAGCAGGATAGGGCCGGTGACCGGGGTCTGACGTCCGAAATCCCTAACCGCGAGGGATCATCAGAGCAGCCGGAGAGAGCCTATGTACCCCACAGCAATATCGGATCCGAAACTATTCCTGCTCCGGAGGTCCCCAACCAACCCTCGCTGGGTGTCTTCAGCGCTTCTTCGTCCACTAGTGGCCAGCTGTACGATTACTCTGCGAGGTGCCAGACAGGGATTTCCCACCGGGCCAATCGCCGAAGCCAGGACGCCGTAATGTCTATGGAGACGCCTCCTTCCGCCGGCAATGTTAACTTCGAATGGGATGAACGCACGGAGGACCAGGGTGGTGATGGGTTTGTGGATGGCATGGCTATTCTCCCTAGCCGTTCTAATGATAGTGGCTATTTAGGTATGTCTTTCGACTCCAAACTTCGCTGATTTCATTTGTTACAGAGATGGCTGACTCCCCAATAAGGCACCGCATCTGGTGCTGCATTACTTCGAATGACTAACTCTCAGTCCGGAGGGGAAAGACTTGATATGCCGGAACCTGGTCGCCCATTTGAAACAGCATCTTCCCACCAGTCACCAAGCGTTCCTTTCGCCTTGAGCTCTCTATCTCAACTAGAACCATTTGTCGATGCTTATTTTTCCCTTTATCATTGCTCGTACCCCATCATCCATGAAGCAACGTTCCGTGCGCAATTCATGGAGGTCATTCCACGGCCAACCAGCACTACCTGGCAAGTGCTGTTGTATGTGGTAGCAGCCTTGGGAGCTTTTACAGCTGCAGTAACCCCGACAGATGTGGATTTGGCCTTGTTCAAGGCGGCAAAGGCCCGCTTGACGATCGATGTACTGGAAACTGGTAGCCTAATTTTGGTACAAGCATTGACCCTGAGCTCAAACTACCTGCAAAAGAGGAATAAGCCAAACTCGGGGTATAACTATCTTGGGCTCGCTCGGAGAACAGCAATGGGAATCGGGTTGCACAAAGAGTTTCCCACTTCCAAAGCGTCTCCACTGGCAATGGAGATGAGACGGAGGGTTTGGTACTGTCTCTACATCTTCGATGTGGGCGCAATTATCACCTTCTCGCGGCCCTTGGAGTTTCCAGAACAGGGAATCGAGACTCGCCTGCCGTTAAACATCCATGAAAGCGTCAGTATTCACTAGCTTACAATCTAACCAGTCCAATGCTAAGACCTCAGTAGGGTATTACCGCCAGTACACAGGCCGTCCCATCCCCAATAACTGAAACTACCGTGTACACACATCTGCGGGCGCAAGCAATGTTCCATCTGAAGACCAACCTCATTTATACCAAGATTACTTCAACCTCATTTCCATCTGCTGCTGAGCTGATCGAACTAGATGACCGTCTCATTGGCGACTGGTTGGCGTCCCTTCCGTCCTTTTTTAGCGAAGAGGCCATCCAGGCGCCCAAATTTGCTCTCTGTCATTCGATCCTGAGATGGAGATATCGTAATCTCCGCATCCTGATGTATCGACCATTTCTGGTGGGCAAGTGGATGCTCAACTCCGACCAAGGCCCGGACGGCCTCCGTGAGAAGGATGATACCCATGTAGAACTTGCCATCCAACGATGCTTCGATGCCGCCCGCGAGTCTGTTGAGCTTATCTCATCGTTCTGGGCACAACATCAGAAAACAACGATGGCATGCTGGTATGGAGTATACTTCTTGTTCCAAGCGATCCTGATCCCCGTGATCTGCTTGCGGAACAATCCGTCAGATCCGGTCGCCCATGGTTGGCGTGAACAGATTCTCCAGGCAGTCCACACTCTCGAATCAATGGCGCCACTCAATGCGAACGCTGAACGATTTCTTAGAGTCATTCAATCTTTATGTGGCTGTTATCTGTACCCTCGTAGCAGTGGCTGGGAAGGCCCCATCCAAGAATCACCTGAGACACAAATCGCTAATCTATATCCTCTTATGTGGCCCACATTAGAGATGGCGCAACTTGATGGCGTAGATTCTGCTTTGTAAGTTGCCTTACTCACACAATTGTCACCACACACTAACACTCTGCGTCTTCTTCCCAGGCAACAATCTGTGATCAGCGACTTCATGCACCAGGTGACTGGCCTGCAATGACTGTGATATAATATCGAAGATGAGTTGTTACCTGGACCGGTCTATTATGCAATTGGTAATTCATTCCATCTGTTCTTTTTGGCATTCATATACATGGACATTCATTAACTGGAAATAATTAGGGAAGGGTATATCCACCATCGATCACTAGGTTCGCTCCTGTCATATAGCTCGACGCGTCCGACGCACAAAATACATATGCCTACAGGCATTCTTGGTTAGCGATAAGAACTACAACATATACCCTTGGAATGGACGTCTTACCCCCTTCAACTCGTATGTTCCAGCCATTCTGCGAGCTGGGATCATGCTGAGCCACTTCTCCCGCAGCTCTGGCGGGTGATGATCCAAGATTTCAGTCGCGACAAAACCAGGGGAGATGCAGTTCACGCGGCAAAAGTCTACCCACTCAACAGAGAGACATTTGGCCAGCTGAACAACTCCAGCCTTTGAGGCATTATACTAGGTATGACGACCCTTGTCAGAAAACACTCCTGGAGACTCTAGCACCAACGGAGGTGCCGGCTCACGTATACTCAACTTACCGCGGCTTGCTTCTGGGGCACATTGACCAACGCTGCGCTAACAGATGCGGTGAAAACGATATTGCCGCATCCTTGTTCCTTGAACACTCGAGCAGCAGCCTGGGCTGTGTAGAATGCGCCGTCCAAGTTCACATTCATGATTTGTTGCCACTGCTCCGTGGTGTAGTCCTCAGCAGCGACTGCGGTGGCGATGCCAGAGTTGGCAACCATGACGTCCAGCTTGCCAAAGTCACGAACAACTTTCTGGACGGCCGCTTCGATCTCCTTCTGGTCGCCCACATTGGCCTGGTACGCAGCGACTCTCACATTGTGGGCCTTGGCGATAGAGGCCGCTGTGCTCTCGGCTGTGCTGGAGGAGTTATAGATAATTGCAACCTGTTGAACAACCAGCATCAATATCACTATAGTCCATACCTAGATCAAGGCTTTCAAGAATACTTACATCGGCACCAGCCTCCGCTAACCCATTGGTAATTTCCAAACCAATACCCCTTGTACCACCTATAATCCAAAGCCAAAACTCATCAGTGTCACCAGCTTAAGACATAGACCACCGTACCCCAGACTTACCGGTCACAATAGCCACTTTCCCCTTCAGGCTAAACACCTGCATAACATGCTTGTTTTCGGGCTGCGCAAGAACCATATTGAGAATCTTCAAGTATCCTTGTGGTTCAAATATAAATAATAAATCAACCAAAAAGAAGTCCAAATTTGTACCCGTAGATGCACTCTAACACAATATTTCTCATCCAAAACCGAACCTCACAAAAAGCATATATACCTTCGAACCGTACAGTCCTGCTACAGAGGGGGGAGATAACAATCAAGATAACCCGCGTGGCGGTTCCACCCCACATCGGCATACCTTAGGGCCCGGCCGGTATCACCACTCCGAACGGAGACCCCGCTCCGTGGAAATGTGGGGTTCGGAGGACGGGTCCGTCCTCCCTCTATCATTATAACTTGGACAAGTAGGGCCAGTAGTGCGTTTCATTGGTAGGTCTTGATTCTTGCTGCGTCATTGTACATGAGTATTGAGCATGGAGAGTTGTATGGCAAGGCATAAGGGCGTTCTGGACAATCGCCGCGGCCCTAGGAATGTGTCCCTTTCCTCCCCTTAGTTCACAAACGCAAAGAGAATAACCCCACCATCGATGAGAGATCTAGTAGAGACACATAGACATGGAATAACCTCGACTAAGGAGTGAGTAAGCACATTCGCTCCGTCATCTCGCCTACACACCCGGAAGAGGTTGTGCAACTCGAGACGTGAAAGGAACTAAGTATAGAAGTAGCTGAATGAGAGTTGTATTGTTTTTCTGGACAGGTAATCTTCTGTAGTACTACGCAGCATGCGCATTGTAGTGAAATTGGAGACTGCACGCCAAAGGAGAGGGTGGCAGATATAGGTGCTGTTGAAAGCTCAAGAGCTATAATTGTGCGGTAAGTCTTGATTCGAATAGTTTAATATGGATATCCATTATCTGTGCTACATGAGAGTGGCCTGAAAGAGCCTGCAAATGTACTAACTTGAACTGCATGTCAGGCCGCCCATCATAAAAGTTGCCTGGAGTTCAGCTTTTGCTAGATACAGTGGTCATAGTACAAAATAGAGATACTCAAGCTTTCATTGTCAGTATATGAAAGAGGCGACCAATAGAGTAAACAAGAAAAGCAGACCAGCAAAAAATACTAACACAGAACGCATTCAGTATTGCCCAAAAAACGTCAATCTAATCATGTAATGGATAGTCCTGAAATAATCACTTGCTGCCTTTCTATGCCCTCGTAATCATTGAAGCATTGCACTTTGTGATCCCCAGGGAATCATGCTTCTTCCTTGTACACACACTTCCGGGTGTAACAGCCACCAACCAAAAGCAAGAACATCTCATTATCATGCATTATATAGTCACTCCTCTAATAAAAACTAACTTTACCCTCTACCTCACGATACTTGTAGACGATTTACATCTCTTGGCTCTGCCCAAAATAGTTGTCTCTTCACTAATCGTGAGCGATGTGAACTTTGCCGACGACTTTCCGAGGTGGATAGTTGCAAGTCGATGATCAATGCCCTGCCAACTCCTTCATTTCAAGCAATGTTTACATACCCAACGTCTTTGCGGAAGATTCTCAAAGCATTGATTTCCTTGTCAATCAGTAAATCTTCCCGGTCAAGCCATGGCGCTATGCTTCTCCCCATGAGCAGCAATCTCTCCCACCCCATGAAGAAAGTAAACTGTTGCTAAGTCGGTCATACCTTAGAATGCAAGCACAGTAAGAACCTTGGGCCCTCCTTAGGATTTTTTATGCCTGCGCTTCACGGGAGAATCCCTTCTACAGTCCCGACTTGCTTGCTTTTCTAATAATAGTATAGCCATATATAGCACAGGTAAGCTTGAATAGCGCACCATATTTCCCTAATAATATATTAGTAACTATTTTGTATTATGTTGACTCATATTGTATCTCTTTCTACTAGCATCCCCTTGTTGTCTCTACCCTAACATAAATGCCGGTCACTTACGACATTTGGAGGCATCTATACAGCATTCACCCATTTATGTCGCGAAATAACATGACTATAATTAAATATCTCTATACAATCCACAACGCTAACATAACAGGATCACTGCTCCCTAGTCTGACATTCAGGTGTACCGTTAATGACCAGGTCCGCGGGGCGACGCTTCTCAGAAATAGTCCGCCCATTGAGGAAATCGTTGTGATCCACCCTTCTAAAGCCATCCTCAAGAGTTGGTTCGATTCCCGCCTGAACATGTCGCTTTGCAACACGTTCCCTAGCTACCTGTAGGTCTGCCTCCACGAACACACGATAGTCGACCATAGATGCGATGTCCCGCCACTGCGGCTCGTCTAACAGCAAGTAGTTACCCTCCAGGATAAGGATGGACGTGTCTGGAGTGATGGATATACCGTCGGTGACGGGATCCTTCTTCTCGTGGTCAAATGAGGGTGCATGTAAAATGTCCGAGGAGGAGGGAGATGGAGGTGGAGTAGTCTGATTGTGAGAAGGGCTCGTGTCCTTTTCTGCCCATTTGCGCAACTGTTGAACGAACTTTATGAACCCAGCCACGTCGAACGTCCATGGAGCTCCTCGCCGGACATAGGCCTCCTCTCGGTTCGGAAGCTGGTCCAGTTCCGCGCGTGAAAGATGGAAGCCGTCCATCGGGACACACACGGTGTGACGGCGGATGTTCGCCGGCATTGCATTCAGACGCTCTGTGAGTGCATTTGCCAATGTGGTTTTTCCAGACCCTGGGGCACCTGCGATTGCGACAAGGAATCTAGGTTTGTCATGTACGATAGCGCGGCTATAGATTGATTCCACGACTTGCGCGTATACGGCGTCCATGTTGGATCAGAAGTCTGGATAGATCTCAAACAATATGCAAGTTGGTGATACCTGGTTTTATATCAGTCTATATACTTCGTACATTCAAGAAGGCGACATACCGTTGAATGAACTCAGCGAACGTTGGTAGATAGAGACTCTAATGGCACCTATTCATTAAAGGACTGAAATAAACTGTGAGAACCGTAGGAATAGATTCGGGACTCCTGCTCCGCTTTTAGGTGCAGTCGGTGCTTCAATATGGCAACATAGGCCCAGCCCCGCGGATCACAGTCGTCCGGTAATGCCAGAATCCCGGTATTATCTCCTAGCGGAGAACCCTTCAATTGGGCGTCGAGGTCTCATGTGGAGCTGCTGGCCCTGTATACCAACTCATCTTGCTGAACATGGACCGGAAAGGATGCTGGAGATCACTCCTCCCAGTTGATCCCAACATAGATAGAGACGCTCAATAGTGACCGGTATTATTCATAAACTAGGAAACATTTTGTAACGCTACAAGGTTTGGGATGCCTTTATTTGGCGTCTTTCAATTTTTAAATAACAGATTATTTCTCATTTTCATTTTTACAGTTCGTTAAACTCGATCAAGTCTTGTTCTATCGGCCCTGATATCCCTCGATAATCACTTTAATGACACTCTCCTTCCCTTGCCTAACCAGCTCAAAGGCTTGCTCTGCCTCCTCGAACGTATACCGGTTAGTAATGAGGCGCTTGACATCCACCTTTCCACTAGCAATTAGGTCCACGGCCGTCGAATAGCAACCAGTACTGTAACGAATAGACCCGCGGATAGTCAAGTCGCGAATACAGGCGGTTGTAATGGGGAACATAACATTCTACAAAGCCCGTTGCGTTAGCTTCCTTTTCCAGCTCCATGACCAGAATAAATTGCACGGTATCACTCACCTCACGTCCCATTCCAGCCTGAACATAGGTACCACCCTTCTTCGTCAGGTGGATTCCTGTCTGAATACAAGGCTGTGCGCCAGTAGCCTCAAGAACAACATCCGGGCCCTCGCCCAAGTCAAACTGCTCCTTAATAATCTTTGCCAATTTTTCACTCCACTCCTCAGGAGTCACGTCAGCCGGAGGCGGTGGGGGAACAAAGACATCGTCTGCGCCAAAGGTCTTCGCAAACTCTGCACGAGACTTGCTAATATCAACACCGATGACCTTCTTGGCGCCGTATGCCTTGCTGACAGCCTGGCAGAGGAGACCAATGGGGCCGCAGCCGAAGACCACAATCTTCTGGTTCGCCCTTACATTTCCGACCTTGGTAATCTGGCATGCGACAGCCACTGGCTCGACCATGGCGCCTTCCTCCATGTTCATATGATCGGGGATCGGGTAGCAGAAGTCAGATTGAGTGATGTAGTATTTCGACAAGGTTCCATCGTGGGGAGGTGTTGCTGCGAAACGGTCGTTCGGACAAAGGTTGTACGAGCCACTGTGGCAATACTCGCAGCTAAAATGCTCATTAGAGACCGCTGGCTGCCATCAAAAGACTCAAGGACACATACTGTCTGCAGGGAATACCAGGTTCGATGGCCACACGGTCGCCAACCTTCAGGTTCTTGACGGCCGAGCCAACTTCCATAACAGTGCCTGAGCTTTCATGGCCGAGAACGATGGGGCTTGTGAGAACGAAGTCTAAAATGTCATTCATTAGTGGACTTTCGTTTTTAAATGGGTTGTCGGTTTATTATGACCTACCGCCGATTCTGCCTCTTTGCCAGTAGTGCACATCGGATCCGCAGATACCTGTTTGCGCGATCTGAACGCGTACATCCCAGGGGTCCTGGAGCGCGGGCACTGGTCTATCTTCGAAGGCGACATCCTTAACAGCCTTGAGGACGAAGGAGGGGTTTGAGTCTTGCTATTTTTCCGAAATGTCACATTAGCAACCCGTTCCTCATAAATATACAAAAATACGCAAAGTACAACTTACCGCCATGATGGATCTATGTACTATGGAATTGTAGAACCCTGAAATGACGCTGGTACATCAAAAACTTCCAAATAAAAAAGTCTTTCCCGACAATAAACCATCTCATCAAAAGAAAAAAATCCCTATCTCCTGATATATACTCCGCAAAAACATACATCCATGTCTACCCCGCCAGATGAGCCCCAAACCCCACCCATCCACATCGACGTAATGCCGGGCCGGGCATGGCAGCCCGCCAATACCACCGTCCAGGGGGAATGTCGGTCCGGACTCCAGGCCCCGTCCCAAGGACCCCAGCCCGTCCGAACGGAATGGGGCGTCCGTCTCGGCTAGACCTCCTCGGACGGTGGGCTGACGGACACAAATATCCCGAATTCAGACAGTCCATGGTTTTGTTCGGCACGCACGGAATATTTTATGGGGTGCCCTTGTCAATGTTAGTTGAGGTCGATGGGTGTTGCTCCACTTGTTGTCTTGGTCTTGGTTTATCTTGGAAGGCATGTCTGGCGTTGGGGGCTGGTAGGACTTTATTGGTAGTACTTTTGCTTACATTGCATAGTTGTGTCGCCGGTATTAATTTAACTAGAGTATTATGTGCTTAAGAAGTAGTAGTGCTCATGGATTGTAGTGGATTAAGAGATAAAATTATGTGTGCGGTGGATATCTGTGTTACTGTGCGAAATACATAACTATTTGCGGAAGTAAACTGAAGTTATAGCAATGCAGGATAAAAACACGAAAAATGACCAAATGAAACGATAAAAGATTTAGAGCTCAGAACTTTGAAATTTTTGGCATAAGGAAACAAAAGTTTTAAAAACTGCGTCAAATGTATTGTGGCAAAGAAATGGTATTTCATAGCTATAGTCGTAACAACAACATACTAAAAAACATGACGGAAAAACAAAGCGGCACCATTGAATGCATCCCAAATGCCTCAATTGAAACCCACGAATCAAAACCCTTTTCACCCGATCTATATGCTCTAAAAATCAAATCATCAAAAGGAAACAAAGCATCTACCGGCAAGTGTAGCCACCATCGACCACAATATCCGAACCCGTGGTGTAAGTGCTTGCGTCGCTGGCAAGATACAGATAGACACCCTTAAGCTCTCTGGGATCAGCATCACGCTTTAACGGGGTGAGGCTGTACCATTCCTCCTTCATCTCGAATGGGCAGTCACCACTGATAGGGGTGTCGATGTATCCGGGGCTGACAGAATTTACCCGAGCGAAACCAGCCCACTCGACGGCCAAAGACTTAGCCAGGTGGATAACACCAGCCTTGCATGCGTTGTAACAGGCCTAGAGAATATCCAGTCAGTTGTCTGTGCCGACCTAAGCGGTGACGAGAGATAAAATGCGACATACCTGTTGCTGAGGAACGTTAGCGGCATGACCCGACATGGACGCAGTAAAGATCATGTTGCCTGAGCCCTGCTTGCGGAAGATCTCTCCAGCTACACGCGCACAGTAGTAGGCACCCGAGAAGTCAATGTCTACCACACGGTGCCAGTCCTCAAGACGGTCATCGAGACCGCCCGCCTTGGAGGGGATTCCGGCGTTGGCGATCATCACGTCCAGACGCCCGAAGTCAGCAACAACGGCCTGGGTAGTAGCCTCAACCTGTACAATATCATTGTTAGTGGCTAGTGATAAAAGGGCAATGTGATATTCATGGTAGTGTGGTTGCTCACTTCATTGAAGTTCTGGACCGAGCACTTGTACGCCTTGCACTTCACGCCGAAGTCCTTGGCAATTGTGGCAGCCCGGTTATCAGCCTGGCTGGAGTTGTTGTACCAGAGAGCAACATCAGCACCAGCTTCAGCTAGTGCCCGACCGACTTCGTAGCCGATACCACCCGAGCCACCAGTAATAATAACGACCTTGCCGTGCATGTCAAACATCTTGAAGACGCTGTCCGGCAGCGTGGGGTTTGGCCAACGGATACTCTTCTGTACAGAACCCATTTTGTGAGATATTTTAACGTCGGAGATGAGAAAGAATTTGATACAATGCGTGTTAAAGATGAAACACAATCAAAAGTAATGGTTTGCAGGAGTGTGATATCTCTTGACATCCATCTGGTCTCAGTAGCATATTTTATACCCCCCATCTTTCCCCAAGGTCCACGGCAACGGCTACCAGGACTGTGAAGCCCATCACGGACTCTGAATCCATATCTCCCACTTCGCATGTCACTGTCCGTCACCCCGTACCCCGTACCCATGACCCACGCGAGGAAACTCTGTAGCATCATGCGAGACCGGACATCGCAGTCCGCTGGAAACGGCCCCGCCTGTCCGTTCCATCTCTAAGCTCGATTCGGCCATAGACACGAGTCAAGCCCCACGCCTGTGCTCGGCACCGAAAAAGGCTCAAATAACTCTACTAGTAATGCTTTAGCCGGTTTACCCCCGCATGCTGCCACCAGTTAAACTTTCTGGGGTAGTCTCAGCCCCGGTCACGGGATATGACCAACCCTGAGCCTGCCGTATCAGCGACGTTGGATGGAGATGGGGCCATCCCTACACAATGCCTTGGTCAATGATGTAGCCTCCATCCGTTTATTTATATACCCGTAAATCGGACTAGTTTGCGCACGCCCTACTTGAACCCGACCCTTGTCTGGTTTCACATCATAACTATTAGGCCATTATGAAGGATCAAGATATTGTTGGAGAGGCACTCGCTGCCGTTCTCCCCCAGCACGACAAGCCCTGGTTCAGGGTACCCCATCTTCTGAAGCTCAATCTCATCCTGCTGGTTCCATTATTATCATCGGCTGTTGCGGGATACGATGGTAAGTGCCAGATTGCTCTCTTGGTGATGTAAGGCAACTAATTCAGGGGGTTGCAGGTTCGCTGATGAACGGATTACAATCTATCCCTGAATGGAAAAGCTATTTCGGAAACCCAAGTGGCTCTACTCTGGGTGTCGTGAATGCAGCCCAATCCATTGGAAGCGTGGTGTCCTTGCCGGTCGTGGGATGGCTTTCTGACCGACTAGGCCGACGCTTGACACTGTTGTTGGGTGCATTCACCATCGTGGCCGCATCTGCAATTCAGGCTGCCTCTGTTAACTATGGCATGTTCGTTTTCTCACGAGTCCTCGTCGGTGTTGGATCTATGCTTGTAGTTCAACCTGCACCCATGCTCATCACGGAGCTGGCATATCCCACCCATCGTGGAAAGTATACCAGGTATGTCATTCTGGAAAACGAACAAAAGATAGATGCATCGTGGACTGACGCGGATGCCTCCATCAATAGTGCCTTTTGGACAATGTATTACTTGGGTGCCATCCTGGCCTCGTGGACATGTTACGGGACACAGAGAAATATGACAGACGACTGGACATGGAGGATACCGTCTATCATCCAGGCAGGGTTTCCCATTGTCCAAATATTATTCTGGTGGTGTGTACCGGAATCGCCAAGGTATGGTTCTCATGGCTGTTACAGTAGCCCTCTACTGGTCTAGTCATCCTAGGTGGAATACGGAGCGCTTGTTCTAACAATCACGTCAGATGGCTCATTGCGAACGATCGACGTGAAGAGGCAGAGGTATTACTCGCCCGTTTCCACACTGATGGAGACGCCGGTCACCCTTTGGTTCAATTCGAAATGTCGGAGATCATTCACACTCTTTCGATGGAGGCTCGAGCATCTCAGGTACCATGGTCGACTCTGGTCAAGACCCCTGGAAATAGAAAGAGAACATTCATTGCGATCTGCGTCGGAGCCTTCGCTCAGTGGAATGTAAGTGAATCTGTTATTTTCTGTCATCTTAACCAGACCCACACTAACCACGGTTTTCTCCTTGCATAGGGTGTCGCTGTCGTATCGTATTATCTCACTCTCGTCCTCGACACCGTCGGAATAACCGATTCCGACACACAAACCCTGATCAACGGCCTGCTACAAGTCTTCAACTTCATCGCAGCAGGCAGTGCAGCCTTACTAGTAGACCGGCTCGGTCGACGAACATTGTTCCTTTGGTCTGCCGCGGGAATGCTAGTCTCATTCGTGATATGGACCGCCTGCTCTGCTGTCTTCGACACTAGCCAAGCCGCGCCGCTCGGTAATACTGTGATTGCCTTTGTGTTCATCTTTTATTTCCATTACGACATCGCATACACCCCTCTTCTGTTGGGCTATCCTACTGAAATCTTCCCTTACTCAATCCGAAGCAAGGGCGTGACGACAACACTGTTGTCCGTGTACTCCTCATTGGTTATCCTTGCGTTCGTCAACCCAATTGCGTTGGAGAACATCGGGTGGCATTATTATATCTTCTTTTGCTGCTTTGACCTCCTCGTTCTTGCTGTGACTTTCTTCATGTTCCCGGAGACAAAGGGTCACTCGCTTGAGGAAATTGCCCGGATTTTCGATGGACCGTCGGCGGGAACGGGTGAGCTTGAGGTCGGCAAGAAAGATTATGATGAGACCATCACACGGGAACATGCCGAATATGCTGGCTAATGGCCTGTGGCTCTCACAGGTTTCACTCTTTTGTCAACTGGCGGTAGGCTCGGTCTCAAGACTCAAGATATCAGTAATGGGCGTTCGTCGGTTCGTTTGATAGCGGTGTATTTTTTCTTTTTTTCTTTTTTCTTTTTTTCTTTATATGTAAACAATTTGTCGGGCTAAGGTCAAGATAGAGAGAATAAACATCTCCCCACTACTACAGACATTAACTTACTCCACGTCTGAGTTTTTAACAGGCGTATACGTACGACTTCTTCGAATTTTCTACGTACAGGCGGGCTTAGCCGAGCAACAACCACATTTCCTGTCACTTGACAACCAGACGCATTAGACGGAGATCATTTCATCGTCTGGTAATTCCTGCGATGGGTATTCACCGACCCGCCCCCGGTAACAGCGGATGTGCTGGAGTGCCTCTGCTGCCATATTGATACCCTGACGATAGGAAGAAAGCTTGTCCATGTCTTTCGCGACGAGCCCAAGCTCTTCGCCAAGGACCCAAGGATTGTGGAGAATAAGTAAGACCCGACCAAGTTTAGTGTCGAATTGATCCCCCCTTTGGAGACTAAGCAGCTCTGCAGCCCCTTGGACTGCGAGTGGAGCTGTGTTATAATAGCAGGCGATGAATACTCTGGGTCTTGATTTGCAGATCAATACCATGACCTGGTTTCTGACTAGTCCAGTGCGAGAACTTCAAAGTATTGAACTGTTGCAAATGTGTTGAAAGGAGGCTAACGTATACAGGCTTCATGTATGCGTTGCCAGGTGGTCACTACAGCAAATTTACTGCTGCCAGCCACCAATAATTAGTCAGCCTCCAGATCTGGCTGACGTAAAAAAGCTTGATACTGTCTTGGAATAAGTCTTGGTGTCATATTAGAATTACTGATGCTATCGAGGCGGGCTTATCTGATAGAACGTTTGACCTCTTAAGATGAGATATGCACGTTCGCGATAAGGGACTGTCGATCAGCATTCACATGAGGTATCACGGGAGATCGCGGACTCGGAGATACTACAAGTACCGACAGACATATATTCACGAGCCATCCTCAGCCGGTTCCGTGCTTAGCCCAAACAACTAAACCCATCTAACTGCTATAAAGCCTACGAAGGCATTTTCTGTAGCTGTTCCAGTCTAGTGGCCTCCAGTGCATCTGGACCACAACAACAATGAGTGTTAGAGAACCGCCAGTCATCGACTTCGCGCGTTAGTTTCCAACCTTGACCTTCTGGTTATATACTAATCTGGATCGCAGCATTCTATGGCCCAGAGGGCGCCGCAAAGGAACAGTTAGTAAATGAATTGCGGCAAGCATGCATGGAGTTCGGTTTCTTCCAACTCATCAATCATGCCATTCCAGCGAGTCTGCAGGAATCTGTGCTTCAGCAGAGCAAAGAGTTCTTTGAGCTTTCAACACCAACAAAAGAAAAATATAGCAAAGGTATGTACACCCCATGAACATAGAAAATCATAGTTGGAGTCATCCATGGAAGCATAAACTAAACTCATACATATAAATCATGTAGATATTGGGGACGATAATCGCGGATACGAATGCCTTCGGGCGCAGAACTTCGAGAAGCGAGGCAATGGTGACCTCAAGGAAGGTTTCTACTTAGGCAAAGATCTTCCACTTGATGATCCACAGGTGGTGGCGAAAAAGTTTGGCCAGGGACCTAACAAGTACCCTTCGGAAGTTAGCGAACCAGCTAAATTCAAATCTGTCATGGATGAGTATCATGACGCGATGACCTCACTTGCGATGGGGATTCTGAGAATGTTAGCACGCACTCTGGGATTAGAGGAAACTGCTTTCGATGCATTCTGCATACATCCGATTGCTATCCTTCGGCTCCTACACTATCCGCCACAGGATCCTGACAGCTCGGATATCGAACGAGGTAAGCATTACTTCCCATTTCTCATGATTAGTTCTGACTTTAGTTGATATAGGAATTGGCGCACATACGGATTTCGGTGCGATCACCATTCTTCTTCAAGACACAACGGGTGGCTTGCAGGTTTGGAACAATCTCTCGTCGGAATGGGTAGATGTGACACCTGTACCGGGCGCCTATGTCGTGAACCTAGGGAATATGATGATGCGATGGACAAATGATCGCTATCTATCTAACCTTCATCGGGTGATCAACAAGAGCGGCAAGGAGCGCTTTAGTGTTCCATTTTTCCTATCTGGTAATCCGGACTACATAGTCGAGTGTCTCCCGACCTGCATCGGGGAGGGACCTAAATACCCTCCCATTACTGTGGCTAGATGGATGGCTGGACGATACGCGGATACATATGGTATATCGAACGATGAGGGAATTGCTGAACTGCGAGAAGTGCCTTCATGAGAGGTATACTGTGGGAAGAAAGAGGACGCGCAGATCCAGCACACAGTTGATGGTCAATAAGAATAGCTCTGTGAGCTTATGCATTCGTCTATCGTGGAGTGTGTAGAATTGCTATTGGTTGATGATTACAATTAGTAAATAGGAAATTGATCTACCTAACCTTGAATGGATCTGTAAATTTAATGTGATTATCATGATAATATATGCGCTTTATCACGTAGACTTGGGCGGTCCCAACGTGATTAGAAGGCTGTACTACTCTGCCCTTGTCTCAGCCACGTGCCATCATCGCAATTTTCCCATGCTGTTTAACCCTCCATAGCATGGATCTCGTCACCCAGCTTTCACAAGCTTTTTATTCTTCCTCAGCATCTGCCAATGCCGTATATTCCTAGTCAAATTGAACCATCAACATATCATGTCCGAACACCCGACCGAGAAAGAATCCAACCAAGCAGTACAGCAGCTGGAGGAAGCATGACAGCGCGACTTGGAAAGGGAAAGACAGAACTTCGAAGAAGATAAGGCATGGAAAAGGAACGATGCCTGCTCACCCTGGTTCGGCGGAGGCGTGGCGGGCTGCGCGTGCCAGACTACGAGATGAGCCGCCACCGAGATTCCCTATTGTTATGACAAATTTCATGACCCCTCAGAAGGTGCAAGAGCCTGCTGATCTGCCGTCGCTACCAGAGATTGGATGGACAACCACCACTGGATTTGATCAGGAGGAGCTTGATCACCTGCGGAGGTTACAGTACTGCGTTTTTACCGGCAGCGGCCGGTTCCTTCATTTGAAAGAAACCACTATCGGGGAGAAGGTTCGTGTATGATTTGAAGGCGATTATTTTCTCGCCTGGTCAGCACATGCATATAGGGGTGATGAGTAAACAAGACGGATGAGTGAGTGGCGGTGGGATGTATAAGCATGACGATTAGCTTTGTTTTATAAGTATGTACGTAGGGCTTATGTGGCTATGAATGGTAATTCTTAGGGTTACATGGAGCTTGTTGTTGTAAGGTCAACATTAGCAAATAAACCTTTTAAACCAAAAGTCTAGCTTTGCATATCTTGTCCTGTTTTTGACTGTTTATCTCATCAAGTTCATGAGGACTAGGTATCTTCCTTAAGCTTCGGCATAACCCTCTCCCCAACGCCTGATTTGTGAATGTTTGGTTCAACTCATTCATTCTGTTTGAGCGCAGCAGGCATAATCGCAGTTACGGGGTGATCATAATAGATGATTGCTTTTACAATTTGCTTCGGGCCTGCAACTCTCCACGGACCATCTGGACCCACCGTAGCATGCGTGGCACAGTCGTCGGTGATTCAAATGTGATATTCCGTTGGGTTGGCAAGGAGTAGAGACGATAGCGTGCTTTGAGGCGCCACCGCATAAAATTGGAGTGTGTCAAAGAAGCTCTTCCCCGCTCCGCCAATTTATTTTCCCCAGACTATGCCTATCCGACTCTCCGAATTCACCAAACCTTTGGATACACACTGATCACCTTGCTAAGCTTCTCCTTCTATCATTTTGATATATACTGTTGGGGATAAAGTGTTCAAGGCACGACCTTGATGTCTATGGCATTGTGGTCGAGTGGGATTGATATATATCTCAAGCAGTTTGCATCAAATTCCTTGGACAACGCTTCTGAGCCTGTGGAAAGACGATGTCAGAACAGCCTGACGAGAACAACCTACTAAGGGCTCGATTTGAAGACCAGCGGAAACGAAAGTTTGAAAAAGATAAGGCGAGAAAAAGCAAGGATTCCTGCTCGCCTTGGCCAGTGGAGGCATGGCAGGCCGCGTGGGCAGCGTCAGCAGCTGATGTAAAGCGAGAACCGAGATTCCCGATCATCATTACCGATTTTCTGACACCTCAGAATGTAAAAGAGCTTGCCGGGCTCTCATCACTCCCCGAAACGAAATGGACGATCACCACAGGATTTGCGGATAAAGAACTCGACAATCCAGAAGAATTACAGTATTGTATTGTTAATGGATATGCGCAGCTTGATCGCGTGGAAAGGGGCTCTATAGGAAAGGAGGTTCGTGTCTGGTGTGAGGGCAAGAAAATAATCACTTGGTCAGCACATGCAGAAGCACAGAAGATCGATGGTACAAAAACGACCGATCATTGAGTGTGGTAGAGAGAACGGAATGGGAATAAAGGAGTTTGCGAGTCTTGGATTTACAACAACAAGGTTTTGATGTCCAAACAGCTTAGCTTGACTTTGGTATTTGGTAGTGAATCGACGGACAACGGGTATTTTCGAACTTCTGCTAGCTGTACCTTTCGTTGCTTCACCAGGGGTTTCTATAAACTTCTTTGAGATGCTCATGTGGAATCTGGGAGTCCTCGCTTCTAAACGCGCTATCCCACGCCTCAACATCAGCAGGCTCTTGCTCAAGATCATTATTATCATGAAAGATCTGCACAATAACACTTGTCTCTTCCAGGGGCTGTCTGCATACATTTTCCATCGCATCCCAGAGTAGGGGTGCATATCTTCGTCCCCAGACGACACGAAAGTAAAGTGACGGATACTGATGATGGCCAGCATGGTATTGAAGTAGATCATATAGCAAACCAAAGCGAAGGCCTGTCTGTGATATCGGCAGTGGCAGAGGTGGTCCTGGCTCGCTGGGGAATACAGGTTCCAGTGATAACGCTGCTGGCTGAGGGTTGTCGGTAATGAGCACCCTGGATATAGTTGTCCAGTCTCCATATTCTTACCATCCGTATCCCAGTGCTGGCGGCGCTGGTTGTGAAACTAACATTCGTCGCCAACTTGCACCTGACCGAGTAAACGCCCTATGCCGGCGGGCAAGCTATCCTTTCATATGGTCATTATCCCGTCCATCAGCCCACCAGGCAAGATTCGTGTAGAAGTAATTTGCGCGATGGTAGTTGCCGACCCCATTGAGATTGAAAAATACAGACCCAAAGTGCTTTTCAAGCGGAGGATTGAAGGAGACCACAATTTCTAATGAGTAAGGGTTGTCAGCTGATCATCAAGGTTTAGCAGCAATTATTACTGAACTCATCATATCCTTTTCCGTACTATAGCCGCTTCTCATAATATACGTTCAATATGATGAAGCAAAAGATAATTCATGGCTAGAAAATATTACGTAGCAGAGGAGCTGTAGATCTAACAACTTGGAAAATCTAGGTACATACATTCGGCTAATATGTATAGGCTAGGACAGGAATTGCAAACACAATGCGGACGACAACGCCTCTTATGTTCTCGGCTAGTTTCATCAAGTAATATACTTTCCTACTGCCCTGACAGACTTCACCGACAGAGAAACAGAAACAAAGAAGCGGGATTAGCAGTAAAGTAAAGATCGACAGCTCAGCCACGATGCCGAGCAGCCGCGGTGGATTGATGTAGGACGCCTGGTAAAGGCGACGGTATAAATATTTCCAGATCCTCGCAAGTGACACCCGCTCACGTGGCCAAGGTACTTTTCTCGCGTCACGACTCGTTCTGGATTCGTTGTCGACACCCGCGACGAATCATCACGCACGATCCCCTCCGTCCCAAGATCTCCCGGATGAGTTGTCCTCCAATCTCAGCATGCCTAGACCACCTTCCAAGCCATTAGCGCCCCCGGCACCAAGGCTCCGTGGTCAAGCTCCGTTGGGGATTCGCAAAGATCAATGAAGTCGGCCAAGATACTAATGTTTGGTTTCCAATAATATGTCAGGAGCGCAAGGAGAACCCCTCACTACCTTGCCTCTCCCGCAGCTAGAGCTGTGCTATAAGTGGTTCTCCCGATATCCCTAGAAACTATCTGGATTGGAACGCCATTCTCTTTGAACGGCCTCTTTCCTCTCTCAGCCACATCCGCTCCTATTCATCCCATCCCAGTCTAGCATTTCCAGTGAGGTCCAGGGCAAACACTTTCCCTCTCTTTTCATCTACTCTTTTGAATGGGCATTGAAACGTCTCCACCCGATGTCGAAGAATCGACGGAGCCTCCTATATGTCCTTATAAGAAGGAATCTAAGTCGCAACCAAATAATCACCCCAGTGATGTAAAGCAGGATCCCCAGGCCGAAACCCGGACACAGGAGCAGAATCCGACGTCATTGAAATTCGCGCCGAATAGCTCTACTCGCCAAGATGATTTTCGCAGTTTGTTACAGTATGCTCACACAGTCGAGCCAGAGCAACTGGCTGTCCTTCTTGACGTTGATGCTCGGTAGGCTCCCTTTATATTTGAAAAGGGCATCAAGCCACATACTAATTGGGCATAAGTCATGGCCTTTCCAGCACTGACTCGGCCGCTCGCCTACAGCGGGATGGACCCAACAGGGTCCGGGAAATGGAGGGTTTATCCATATGGAAAATACTGCTGAGGCAAGTTTCCAACAGTTTAACCTTAGTATGATGCCTGCCTATATACCTTTTAGTTTCTGCATCTCCGATGTAGGGCGCACGTTTTCCATTCTCCTAACCACATAGCATAGGTTCTTCTGATTACCATGGCGATATCCTTTGGTATCGATGACTACATCGAAGGAGGAGTGATAACCGCAGTCATCCTCCTCAATATTGTTGTCGGGTATGCTTCTTTCTCCCTCCTCTCGTGTGAACCTATAGTACTATTGATGTTGCGAATTGCAACTCGCTGATTACTGAAGCTAATATTTGTTCATCTAGATTCGTCCAAGACTACCGCGCAGAAAAGACAATTATGTCTCTGCAAAGACTATCCGCACCTGTATGCAAGGTTCTGCGCGATGGCCGAGTTTCCTCTGTAAAGGCCGAGTCTCTGGTAGTTGGCGATATCGTGCAACTAGCGGTAGGCGATATCGTCCCTGCGGATATGAGACTATTCGATGGTATGAATGTCTCAGTGGACGAGGCATTGTTGACCGGGGAATCCTTGCCGGTGACCAAAACACCACATATCACGCTGACCTCCCATGATGTACCCCTTGGTGACAGAACAAACATGGCATATTCTGGGTGCAGCACCACACAGGGTCGAGCCACAGGAGTCGTTACTGCTACGGGGATGAAGACGGAAGTCGGAAAAATAGCTCAGCTACTTCAAGACAAAAGGGACCAGGGCAGTGCCAACCCGTTTGTTCGGGCGTTCCAGAATGTAAAGTCTACGACCAAAAACATTCTAGGGCTCGTTGGGACACCATTACAGGTGAAGCTGAGCAAATTTGCCCTTCTACTTTTTGGCCTGGCGGTGCTTCTGGCTATCATTGTCTTCTCCGTTAATAAGTTCGACATCCAAGGGGAAGTGTTAATCTACGGGATATGTGTTGCAGTGGCGGTCGTACCTGAGTCCTTGATAGCAGTGCTTACCATCACCGTGGCAGTGGGTACAAAGGCAATGGCTAAGGGAAATGTCATTGTGCGTAAGCTACAATGCCTTGAGGCTGTTGGTGGAGTGACTAATATATGCTCTGATAAAACTGGCACCCTCACACAAGGCAAAATGATTGCAAGAACCGCGTGGATTCCACGTGCTGGCACGCTTACAGTCAGCCAAACAACCAACCCGTATGACCCAACAAGTGGGTCTGTTCAAATTGACGAAGTGGACTGGAAGCCGCACGCAATGCAGGGTAACGAAGCACTGACTACCTTTTTGAATACCATTTCACTATGCAACCTTTCGACTGTACAAAAGGAACAGCAGCCAGGACCGTCAGAAAAGGAGCCTGGACATGGTGAACAAGTGAGGTGGACTGCGGTCGGAGAGCCTACTGAAATTGCCCTTCACGTCCTCGCAATGCGCTTTGGCCTCGGAAAGGCAAGCATACTGCAAGACAGCAATCTACAACTTCATACCGAATACCCATTTGACTCGTCAATCAAGCGGATGACGGTGGTTTACCGTAGTCCTGAAATGGGCTTGAACGAGGTATATACGAAAGGGGCTCCAGAGGCAGTTATTCCTAGATTGAATAGCGGCGAGATAGATAAGTCTTCGATCCAAGACACTGCAGACAGAATGGCTGGAGAGGGGTTGCGCGTTCTTTGTGTCGCTTACAAAAGAATTCCTATTGATAATGACTCTGAAGTCTCCTCGCGAAGCACAGCTGAATCAAATCTAAGTTTCGGCGGGCTCGTGGGGCTATATGATCCTCCTCGTATTGAGACTGCTGCAGCAGTGCGGAGATGCCAGATGGCAGGTATCGGGGTACACATGTTGACCGGTGATCATATTCGGACAGCAACAGCTATTGCATCAGAGGTTGGCATATTAGACCCCATTATGGGAGCGAAATCCAGCCGATTGGTGATGGCAGCAGAGGATTTCGACCGACTTTCCGACATTGACATAGATGCTATCGAGCAGTTACCGCTCGTCATCGCGCGATGCAGTCCAACTACAAAGGTCCGAATGGTGGAGGCAATGCATCGGCGTAACGCCTTCTGCGTTATGACCGGTGATGGAGTTAATGATTCGCCGGCTTTAAAGCGCGCAGATGTGGGTATAGCAATGGGAAAAAACGGAAGTGACGTGGCTAAGGAAGCTGCCGATATGGTTTTGACCGATGATAACTTCTCGTCCATTGTAAAAGCCGTCGAAGAGGGAAGACGACTGTTTGATAATATTCAAAAGGTACACTTACTGCTTTGGAAGAGGTTATATGGCTTTCGCTAACTGCCTTCCCAGTTCCTGATGCACCTACTCATCTCAAATATCGCACAGGTCGTCCTACTACTCGTCGCTCTGGCATTCAAAGATGCAGAGGGAAACTCGATATTCCCTCTCTCTCCGCTAGAGATCTTGTGGGCTAACCTAGTTACCTCGTCCTTTCTCGCGATAGGTCTGGGGCTTGAAGAGGCCCAGCCCGATATCATGTATCGCCCCCCGCATGATCTGAAAGTGGGAGTATTCACCCGAGAACTCATCACTGACAAAATGATATATGGAACCTGCATGGGCTCACTGTGTCTTGTGGCTTTTGTATGTGTTATCTATGGAAAAGGCGATGGCACCTCTTCTATGGGGCACGATTGTAACGAAGCATGGAATGAAAGCTGTGGAGTTGTTTTCCGGGCACGAGCGACAACATATGCAACTTTGACCTTTTTACTTCTGGTTACTGCCTGGGAGGTAAAGCACTTTACACGATCCCTATTCAACCTTGATCCGGGCAGATATCCCGGCAGGCTGTCTGTTTTCCATTCCATCTGGCGTAACCGGTTTTTATTCTGGGCCGTGGTCGCTGGATTCGTGATCGCTTTTCCGGTGATCTACTTGCCAGCAGTCAATCGGATTGTTTTCAAGCATCAGGCAATCGATTGGGAATGGGGCGTTGTATTCGGGTGTGTCGTGGTCTACCTAGCGATGGTGGAGACCTGGAAGGCGACGAAGCGAGCCTTCGGTATCGGCAGCGGCAAGAATGCCACTCTGACTCTGGAAGATGCTGAGACGAGGGCTGGTCTTGCATCACCCGTGCTGACTCTAAGTGCCAACGCCAGTGTTGATGCCAGCGTAGAAATGAAGTAGTGGTGGAAGGATCTCCCATCGGGGAAGAGAATTAAGGTGGAGGCTGCCTTATGTTCAACCATAGGCCATCTGCAGGTTGTTTGTTCTCCACATCTTGAGGCTTATCGAGGCGTTCAACACGCCTTCCTTGATTTTCTTTCTTACGTTCTGTTTTTTTTTGTTTGTTCTCGCGTGAATCGTGCCCCTATGATTTATGCCCAATCCTAGTACAGTCGCTCATTACTATCCGCATAATTACTATTTGTGCGACCAGAATGGAAACACTTGCTCTCCTGCCATTGCAAAACAATAGGAACCGTAACTTAATTGCCTCGGCGTCCAACTATCGCGCGGAAATCGGGCGCTAATGGGAGGGGCCAGAACCTTAGGCCACCGATCACGATGATCATACGAGAAAAGCTTCCATGAGTACCGCGCATCCCAGAGGTCCTAGACAAATAATGTAGATCGATCTGAGGGAACCATGGAACAAGGTATGACAGCGATCGGAGTTTCCCTCCCCTTAGTAAAACTTGTCCCACACGCCCGAGCATGTAGGGAGGATACATATACGACCTCAACTGACGGTATCCTACAGCTCTAGTGGGGTCAATTAAATCCTGCATAAGCGCTGCTGACATGAGAAACAGATCCAATCTCACTCACCCCTCACCATTCTTTTCTATCCCTTCCTCCCTCTCTCCAATTCCTTCAAACCCTCGAACCCTCAAACCATCAAACCCTCCAACACCACCAATCTACCCAAAATGCGCATCCTCTGCCTCCACGGCCGAGGCACCAGCGCCCAAATCTTCAAATCCCAAACCAGTCCGTAGCCCCAACTCACCCAGAGCCAAATCCCCCACATCAAGGTCCCAAGAATAGCATTAACTTAAAATTAAAATAAAATACAGCCTCCTTCCGCACCCGCCTCGAAGACCTCCCCATAACCTTCGACTTCATCGACGCCCCCTACCCCACAACACCCGCCTCAGGGATCGACCTGTTCTACGACCCCCCCTACTACACCTTCTGGCCCGACGACTCCCCGACCTCTCTCCAACAAGCCCGAACTTGGCTCCTAAACTACACCGCCCAAAACGGCCCCTACGATGCCGTCCTAGGCTTCTCCCAAGGCTGCACCCTAGCAGCCCTAACCCTCCTCCTCCACGCGCACGAATCCCCACACACGCCCCCACCTTTCAAAGCAGCCATCTTCATCTGCGGCGGTGCCCCACTGCCCCTCCTCGAGGAACTGGGGTATACTATCACCCCAGAAATGAAATCCCTGGATACGGAGTCTAGAAAGAAATTATCGATTCAGGCTGATTCGGCTTCTATTCTGGCTAAGGGGGCAGAGAGGTGGAGCGGTGGTGGGGATGGTGGGGAGGGGATTAATGAAGAGGGGATTCGGGGGGAGATTGAGCGGTGCGGAATTGGGAAGGTGAAGATCGGGGTTCCGACCGTGCATGTTTATGGACGGAAGGATCCGAGGTTTTCGGCTGGAGTGCAGTTGTCGGGAGTTTGTGAGGGGGATATTAGGAGGTGTTTTGATCATGGGGGTGGACATGATATTCCCAGGTCATCGGGGGTTAGTGAGAGGCTGGCGGAGTTGGTGAGGTGGGTTTTGAAGGAGGGGGGTGTGGTTTAGGTTTATTTTTGGGGTTTGGGGTTGTGGATAGATGGTTAGATATTAAACTATACATGGGGCTTCCAGAGCAATATGGTCTGCTATGGTAGATGTGCAGATTTTGTAGAACGTAGTGGTCGGTTGAGGAGGTATGTATAGTTTTGTCGGGGGTGAGCGCTTGGAGAATCTCTCGTGTGGCATGTCGTGTGCGTTACTGGCGAGTAATATGTTTCAGAGGGGAAAGTGGGAATGGTGGAGGCTGATGGCCCTTATTACTATATTGAAATATTCATATAGAAAGAGGTATTGCGGGTTGACATGCCGAATAGACACCACTAGCACGAAACATGAGTTGGGCACAGAGGTTAGGCTACTGTATACAATGGAAACTGGTCGCCACTTAACCAATGGCGCAGCTGACTACTTATCCTAGTAGGTCTTCCATTTTAGCAGCCATAGTGAAAAGCAAATGGGGGGAAGTGCACTTAGCTCCACGAATCCGCGGAGGCAACGGTAGACCCACTTAACAGGAACTCAAGTATAAGATACAAGAAACCGACAAGAAGGAAATATCTAATTGTCATCAAACATTAAAAGACGGCGATCAAGATCCTCCATGCTCGACGCATCGGACGAAATAGGCTTGCATATGCGCTTCTCTGTTCCCTTTTCCGCCGAACTATTCAACCAACTCAGGTACGATTGCCAGAAAACAGCAAAGATAGACGTGGCAACCGAGCGAGACTGGGGTTGTACATAGGTAAAATTGAACGCCGTGACCAAAGGCCAGTATAGAAAACTCCTTGGTATACTGGTGGGCACTGTATTCTTTACACGTTCGATGGCACCCGGGACCCCTTCTCCGGAGAGGATCCCATGAAATGCAAAGAAGTACACATTGAACAACGGAGTATAAAAGAGCTGATTGGCAGCCACCTTTGTGCAGAGGGATAGAGATGGAAAATAACTGTAGTTGAATCGTCGCCCTAGAAATAGGAACCATTCGCGGCTAGGAATAGCAATAACGAGGCCAATGACGATACTTCTGAAGGAGCGGCGAGGGTCGAAGTCGTCATCGCCGATCATCTGCGCCGAGAGGTCTCCAATGCAGTATATTAATGGCGTGAGACATAACTGGGTGAGGTATGGTCGACGGCTTTGCGAGTGGGAATACCAGTCGAGGAGTGCTAGAGCTGGTTCCCACGGTCTTTTCGGTCCCGACTTTCCGTTGGGTTCTGGGTTTGGGGTTTTTGGCCTTGTACAGAAGGTCACAGTTTGTATGGGGTTCAAGTAAACTGGCCTTTGATTGCATCTGTAACGTGCCAACTGAACTTGTCGACACTGTCTGGCTTGAGTATGAGATCCCGAGTGCCAACAGGGACGAAGCGATTGGACAACACGCATGGTTTGTGGCAAGGAGCAACAAGGGTCACTTTAGTAACAGAAAAAAAAAATATAAATATCTTTCAGAAAGTTGAAAGATTTGAATAAATTTGCGCCTCCTCTCCTGTTAACAAGGCCGCATATTGGATGTCCGAACTATCATTATGCAGCACTTCAAAGTTCCGATACGTTGTTGTCGTCGGGACTCTCAATACCCGAACACATGATAGAACATGAATAAATTCCATAAATATTGATTAACTCTGTTATACTCCAATGCAATTCCTGATCCCCCTTCTAAATCACACACATAAAGATAATGGGTGCATCGTCCGGGGCTTGCCATAAACTAGATCACCGTCAAAGGTCAAAACCATACCCTTTGTTAGCGTTGGGATTACTTATAATGGTAAGATGCTTCTTTACTGTAAAATCAGAAAAACTAAATTGTAAGAATCACCTCGTGAAAATCTTCAGAGCCATCGATCCCTCATTCGGTTGAGTTAAGAAGCAAAACTAAAGGTACATAGATGGGCAAAATACATGCCATTGGTGCCTGAGGCATTCAGCCATCTACTTCAGTTTGCAAGACGGAAAACATCCTGCGATGTAGAACAAACACCACACCTCTGACGTCTTTTCCTTTCTTCGAAGCGCTTAATGATTCATTGAATCTACGTCTATAATAATTTCGTCTCTCATAGTGTCTACATTTAAAAGAGACCACCGCGACCATAAAAGAATAAATTACATAATTTTGCGGCAAGACCCGCTCACTAGCGCTCACTCCACAAAGCTGTGCAGTCAAGGTAGTGGAGCTTCTATCATAAATTGCGCCCTCCGGATATTCAAGGGACCGAAGTCACAAGTCCAAAGTTATGGGAACACAGAGCTCTCAGCGACAAACTCAAGCCCGAGGTCGAGCCATCTGCCGTACATGCAAAAGCTGCCGTCAGAAAAAGGTGCGATATGACATCATCCTTCACCTGATCTCGCCCTGTGGAGAAAAACAGTTTCGGAGATGATACTTTACCAGCAGTATCTGACATTGGTTACAAGGTAAAATGTGATGGCCAACATCCAAAGTGCGGCACGTGTCGTAGGAAAAATCAAGACTGCGAATATCCGAGGGATGGAAGAAAAACAGCCGTGCGAGCCAAAAAGGAAGACATAAAATCGCTCGAAGAACAAGTTGAAGAACTAAAGGGTCAGATTCGCCGACGGGCCACAGTAGAAAACGCTTCGAGCACGGATAACATCCATCCTCATGAGACCTTAGATCATTCCAACTCGGGGTCTAGGTGTTCTAGGGGCTGCCCAAATGAACCCAGTGGGCTGCCAGGTGGTCGAAATATACCGTGCGGTCCGCGAATAGGTGAACAGCGATGGCCTCCCTCACTGGGTCCTGCAGAGTGCGATCAAAGCTTACAGGACCAACTTACCTGTCAGAATAATGGGGGGAAAACATGCCCTGATCCAGATCCTTTGGATGGCCGTCAAATACAAGTCTATGGTGCTACAAGTCTACTACCTAGTTACCTGGAAGCTCCGGCCGATTGCCAGACCAAAGAAAACAACGAAGACTCATTCTTGAGAAGCATTACCCGAGATCGACTCATTGCCTTCTCGGCAATTATTAGACAGAAGGAGACTATAATTTACTCCACACCCAGTATCGCAGCGAACATCGATTTTGACGGCGCTTCCGTAGACATGGCAATGCATCTCCTGGAGTTGCATTGGAATCGGCTGCATTTTATGTATCTTCTGACATATCGCCCCCTGATTATGGACAGTCTCTTCAACAACGGGCCTTACATGAACAAGCTGCTTTTGAACGCTATCTATTTGCAAAGCAGTCTATACAGTGATCGAGTATCTTTGCGCTCGGGCCCCGATGACTCTCGAACAATGGGCATGGCGTTCTACGACCGATTTAAAACCCTACTCATCCACTACGTTGACAAGCCTAGTCTACCCACTGTCGTCGCGCTACTAACTTGCGGTGCTTGCCTGCTACAATACGGCAAACAAAGCGCTAGTTGGGTTTATTGTGGTATGGCATATAGGATGATAATTGACCTTGGGTATCATTTGGAGGATCCAAGGTCTTCTCAAGGTCGTGAAGATGCCAGACTCTCGGCCTTGGATAAGGAGGTCAGAAGGAGGGTCTACTGGGGAGCATATGCTAATGACAAATTCCAGTCCTTGTACCTGGGCCGTCCTCCAGGGCTTCAGCAATCTCATAGCAATGTACCCCGCGATTTGTTTGACTCTTATGAAGAGTTAGAAGAATGGAAACCGTACATCGATCCCCAAGCTAGACTTGATGACATCAGTGTCCCAGTTTACCCAGGCCGGCCGTCATATGCTCTCAGCACATTTCAATGCTTACTTCAGCTCTCGGTTATTACGGAAGCAATCATAAGCGCGTTCTATTCGACTAAGGATGCTAAGGCACCAGAGCATGATCTTTTGCAAAGCAGACAAACAGTCAAAGCACAACTAGATCGTTGGAGAGAGACCCTTCCAGCGCATCTACTGTTCGACCCAAAAAGGGATGAAACACCTCCGCCACACCAAATGACACTATAGTATGTCTTCTCATTATTTGATTAATTTAATGACATCTAATGATCAAATCCTCAGCACAACATATTGGACCCTGGTCATCCTGACTGAGCAGCCGTTTCTCGCCCGTGGTCATTTCGAGTTCACCGCAATCCCGGAATTGCAAAACGAATTAAAGAAGAAGTGTATCGAAGCATCTCTCGAAATTCGAGACCTCATTGAAGCGTACAGAAAGGCATTTTCGCTTAGACGCGCCCAATACGGTATTTCATACGCGATGTATAGCGCAGTTATTGTTCTGCTTCAGCACACTGACCAAGATTGTGATGAATACACTGAAGCTATCCGATTCTTCTGGCTTGCATTGTTGGAATACCAGAATGGATGTGGCCATGGACTGAAAGGGCCGCTCAGGCTGCTCAAATCACTCATGCGTCGGGTTGAAAAGGTAGTGAAGCGCATGGATATCGACCACCCAGGTACTACTGAATCGCTGGCTTCCAATGGTGAGTGACGTCTCTAGGTTTCTTGAAGAGTCACACTTATAGCAATATAGATACCCAGTTTGGAATCGAGGCTATACTACCGACAGAGACCTTCGAGCAAGGGGAAGCTTGGAGCGAATCCTGGCTCAATGTCGAGACTGACGATTTGTTCTTGGCCGATGACACTATATTTGGCTTCTTCGCACAAGAATAATCAACACGTCTCCTAGTATGTTATGGACTTTTCACGGGGTGGCATCTATAGACTCCATGAGGAGAACCGGTTACTTATATATCTGTTGTCGCGTGGCTCTCGTGGCCTTTAATAATTGGCCTAATCCTCTCAGTAGCAAGAGGATTAATAAAGCTCAATGCTGTACAACGCAATTTCCCCACTGGACCCTTACTCTCGGAGTTTCATGGACACCCTCCGCATCGATCTCAAAAATGCGACTCCTGAAAACTACCAAATCCGGAGAGGGCGACTTCGAGATCGAAATATTCACGGACGATCAACTCCGAAAACTGCCGTATGCAATCCTTTCCCATACTTGGGGTCCAGGCGAGGTTGCTTTTAAAGATATCAAGGACCCCAAGAACTGGGTGGGCTATAAAAAGATCGAACAAATGTTGCTCAGTGGCCCGCCAGATGGAGTATGGATATGTTTGGATAGACACTTGCTGCATTGACAAAGAAAGCAGTTCAGGGCTATCAGAGGCGATCAACTCCATGTTCGCCTGGTACCAAGAAGCCGAGGTATGCTATGCATATCTCGCCGACGTACCACGAGTGCGGTTCGAAGAAAGTAGGTGGTTTACCAGAGGGTGGACTCTCCAAGAGCTAATTGCTCCGCGAGAGGTGATATTCTATGACGGGAACTGGAAGAAGTTGGGTGATAAGGCGAGCCTTGGAACAAGGATATCTCAATGCACTCGGATACCTGAAAGTATCCTTTCGGGCGAGAAAGCTCTTGATACATTTAGCACCGCACAGAGAATGTCATGGGCAACGGAAAGACAAACAAGGCGAGTTGAAGATCGCGCCTATTGTTGAATGGGGCTACTTGGTGTTAATATGCCTCTCATCTATGGGGAAAGGGAGGCTTCTTTTATTAGGCTTCAGGAAGAGATTTTACGGATCTCAGAAGACCACAGTATATTTGCTTGGAAATCTTCAGATAGAGCTGTGCCTGTATCGTTATAAATAGATTGATCATTCATCATGTCCACCATATAATAACAATCGCATCTTTAATGGGTTCATCTACTTGTCCTCCTCAAACAAAAACGGTAACAATTCTAATAGCTGAAAAAGTTCACCCCATCCGACTACCTAAAGATGTCAGGCTTCCAAAATATTTAATGGGGTATTTTAATGTGCATTTTCTGTTTGGCAAATTCATTCCTATCCAATTTTACTAATAGCTGTATACAAAACCCACATAAACAATGGTATCTCACCCTCCAAAGAAACAAAATCCTACAAAAAGCTCTTACTCTTCAACAAATGCGCATTAACCGGCGTCAAAGCCTTCCCCTTCAACAAAAAGCCCTCAATATTCTCCATCGCCAACCGCTCAAACCCAATATGGGTATCGACAGTGCCTCCAGCATTATGCGACATAGCCATAACCCTCGGATGTTTCACCAACCGCGGATGCACATACGGCTCATTAGCATGAACATCCAACCCAGCAGCAGCTAAATGGCCCTCATCAAGGACCTGCACCAGCGCCTCCTCATCAACCAACGACCCGCGTGCAATATTGATAAATCTAGACCCCTTCTTAAACTGCCTAAACCGCTCCAGCGTCAACAAAGTCTTCCCAGCAAACGGCGTCGCAACGACAACGCAGTCTGCATTGGCAAGCAAGGATTCCAAATCCTTGTAGTACGTCGCCCCGACCCGAGACTCCTGCTCGGCACTCTTCCGGAAGAGATCGTGGTAGGCGATTTTCATGCCGAAGGCGGCGTAGGCCTTCTGTGCGATCATGTATCCGATTTGGCCCAGACCGATAATACCCAGGACGTGGTTGCGTGGGTTGCGCGCTGTAAGGGGTGAGTTTTTGTGGGCGTCGGCGAAGGCCTGTGGGTTGGCGGAGTGGGCAGCTTGGTGGGACCAGGCTAGATTGCGGAACACCGACAGGATCAGGAAGATGGTCATGTCGGCCACGGATTCCGACGATGCGGCGGCCCCATTGCAGTAGATGATTCCTGTAAGATTTTCAAAACACAACCCAATTAGCTGGTTCGGTCTTGTCTACTGTATTTTTTTTTTTTCTCCACATGCGGGTGGGTTTTTTTTTTTTTTTTTTTTTACCCCACAATATATTATTCCCCAGTCACATTCTTCGGCTCTAACTCGGGACGCCGGAAATGGGAAAGTAAACATGAAAAAGCGGAACGGGAAATGGAGACAGCCAAAGAATGAGAGAGACACAAGAGACACATACCATGCTCAGCAAAGACATCCACATCCGCCCAGTCATACCCAGCCCCAGCAGAAGCCATAACCTTCACACTCTTGGGCAAAAGCGGAATCAACTCTCTGTCCCAGCGACCCATTTCGCCTCCCGTGTTCCAGAAGGGCCGGAAGATGGCGTGGAAGTCACCCCAACGACGCTCTTTCAGGGCCCGCATGAACTCTTCTCTTTCGCGCTCTTCGGCGCTGGGCTGGATGATTTCAAATTCTGAGGAGAAGCGAGCGTACACATCGTGGTTGTATTTGATGTTGTCGCCGATGTGGAGAATGCGGAGTTTGGGTGCCATTTTCGGTGGGCTTGTTTTCTTTGCTTCTTCTCTTTCCTTCTTGGGGTTGTTTTCGTTTGATTTTTTTTTTTTTCTTTTTTCTGTTTTATTTCTTTTTGGATTTGTTGTGATTTCACAAGGTTTATTTTTATTTGGGTATCTTCTTTTTTGGAAGAGGAATTGAGGTTGGTATGCTGGGGGTTTCTTTGCTGTTGTTCTTGCTTGGGGTATACTTTATACTTCCGGTGTGGTCAATTGCCGTCGGTCAAAAACCGATTGCCGACGTTGCGGAATCCGAGTCGGATTGCCGTCACCGCTGCAGTTGGGGAGCTGTTTTACCCCATATGGACTGATACTTGCTGTGAGGGGAAGCTGAGTCCCTTCTCACACATGTAATTGGTTGAACATCCTGCAGATCAGCTGTGGGAAACGGGTGTAATTGCTCTATTGGAGTTCAGTGGAAGGTTGGAAATTGAAATTTGCCCTTATGTCAGGACCAGCTATGCAGTACGAAATATGTAGTGCACGTGTACCATCGGGTATCAACAACATTGATCTTCAATGCAGAATCTAAGCTAGAGCCAGAAACAGGATATATCAGTAGTATGGATAATGATCAGCTAAGTGAATAGAAAAGCAAATATATGTGTCTACCAGCAAAACGACGCCTCGTATAGATCTATAGTTTGCGTCCCTTGGTTGTCCCGGACGCATTTGCGAACGTCATCGCCCATCCCGCCTGGTCCGCACACGCTGACTGCCATCGCCCCTATCTGTTGCGTCTTCTCGTTTTCGAGGATTTGGTCGAATGATGGCTTGCCAAAGACAACGCTAATTGGTACGCTTGGCGGTGCGGAATTGGTCCAAGGGCTCTCGTCGAGTGCGTACTCGTCCGTGCTTTCACTTAACGTTAAGTATATTTGAATAGAAAGAGATAATTCGGGGAACTGAAAGTATGTCTGGCCTTTTTGTTCGTCCGGTACTTGAAGCGCTGGATGGTTGAAAAGAGATGTCATCCACGGCTGGATCCATTCCAGATGGTCTAGAAGAACATCAGCGGAGGTTACTTTGATGTGCGCCGAGCATACTCACCAATACTGCGGATGACCCAGATCAGGCTGACCTTCCGAACAGCGGTCGACTTCTGGGAAAATCCGCTCATGATCTCATGCAAATAGGACATCGGGTGCGTAATTCCAATACCGCCTGCAATTAGAAGAATTGTCCCGTAAGAAGATAGGGAATGGAGACCACCTATATAGATAATCAGTATAGCCTCGCTAAGGCATGTCATATACGCTACATACCGAAAGGACCTTCTACTAGAGCGGATGCGGTGAACTTTCCCTCCACCGACTTGTTAACCTTCTCAAGAAGCGTATTTGTAAATCCGTCCCGTCGCTTAATCAGAAAGGACATAACTTCACGCTGCGAGCCTCCCAGCAACATGCTAAGCGAATCATTAGATCCGCGCTTTTCGGTTAAACTTGGTCGGTCGTCTGTCCATGCGATGGAGAATGGATGCGATGTCCAGAGACCAAGGGCAGGCATGTAAAGATACATGTATTGCCCGGGCTTGAATGTCCATGACCGCGCCAGGGCTACATCAACGCGAGCTACATCGCCAGGAAGAAGCTCCACGGTAGCCACTGTCCGTTGTCGCCCAAAATTGCGCCAGATAATACTCCCCAAGCGCCCAATTCTCTGTTCAGGGACGTCAGCCTTGACTTCGATTAAGTCCAAAACTGCCATGTAAGAAAAGGAGCAAGGAAGTAGTAGAGACTGACATCAAGACCCCAAAGAATAAGTGTGACCAGCAGAACACGTTGCAGAGCCAATCCACGAAGGTGATACCAGAGTCCCACAAACGACGTTATTGCAAGTACGATATGTAGATGAAGGAAGAATTCGTAAAAGGCATGTCTGATGGGGGATGCGGACTGAAACAGTATCACCATGAACGCAATCAAAGCCTACCATCATTCCGCCCCGTTAAATCTTATGCGACAAGTTTGGTTCGAGGTATAGACTTACAACAAATCCTTCTATGAAGAAGGGTGTGTTCCAGAGAAGATGTGTCAACTGCGACATACTCACTACATACCAGTTAGTTATGCTATTAAGTCAAGGCAGATGCAAGGGTTTACTCACTTTCTTTGGCTTTCCCTGCTACCACACAAGCCATATGAACTACGGCCTCGCCAATAATGAGACGCCCGATCCATCGGTGCATCAGGTTGAATGTGTCAAACTGCAACCCTAGCATTGGGATAAGGGGGTTGTTACGAGCAGCAGCAAGAACAAGTGCAGGCAAATTCATCACACAAAGGTGGCCAGCGGCATACTTGATTTGGTACATCGTCTCGTCATAGCCCGACCACCAGTTGGCAAGTACAAAGAAGAAAATGATGTTCAGCACAAAGTATGAGAGCAGTAGAACAGCCTCCAGTCGTAGTGGGATGATCCCCATATGGATGCGGCCCAGAAGGCGAAACTCGCGACTGTGACGAAGCGACAGTAACGGTGCATAAAAGACATGCTTGTTGAAAAAGGCTGAAAAGGCACCATTTCGAGTGAATTTTTCTTGTTCATCTTGATGGAGAATCTCACGCAGACGTCGATGGTGTCGTAGCCTTATGATAGAGCGGCTGAGGAATGTGACAACAAAAAATCCGCCCAGGACATACAGAGGCGTGGCCAGCGCAGGGTTCATAGGAGGGTGATCATATTGGGTGTGTTGCCTCCCTGGCCCTAGCTGATCTACTCCCATTTCTCGAAATTGCTTGTATGATTATGAAGCTTGAGTGTCAGAATCAAAAAGGGCTGCTAAAGCCGCACAACCACCTCGAGTCAGCGTTGACGCCTCCCTTCAAGCTGGACAGCTACCAAGATGGCTGCCTACAGCGAGGTAAATATACGGGAACTAGAACAATGGGTTTGCAATGCCATGACACACGGGTCTTGTGCACGGCATATATTTAACGATGCCGTCATCCATGTTGCCGTTAGCCTCAGTCATCCATGGACAGCACCGTGACAGGTTAGACACCCGCATTCTAGCAAGCCTCATTGAAATCGAGAACAGTGCTCCTGAGAAGGTCATTACAACCAAGAATGTGGGGAACGGGGATTCTGGAATGAGAAGTTTACCCATTGGTCTGGACCTGAGAGGGGGTGCTGTTGTTTTCCCGCCTGTACCTTCAGCAAATCAACAAACTGACGACATAGACTAAATTCTTGAAGGTTAGCCCAACAAATAGAGTCATTGCTTTCTTCCCTTGTGGGTTTGTCAGGTGCAAGGGGTGGATCTGCAGTCAACTGGGCCGATGAAACCACGGCGCCGCAAACGGAGATACAGAAAATTGAGGGTCTAAACCCACCATCCGCAACCACCCGAGACTTCCACAATCTATTCTGCAAGAACTACCAGCGTAGATTTCGCCCTTCTAAGCGAGCTTTTATCTCGTAGAGTCTGGAAATTTGGGACGATGACGTAGGAGAGTTGCCGACATGGATTTGTCCTGGGGGAACCCCTTCATTCCCAGCACGTGGCATTGCCCGCCATGAGATTTCAACTGGTGATCAAGGTATAGTCAACTAAATTCTATGCTATCTAGGTAGCGTAGGCTCAGCAAAATCTTTGGCTACTACTGACTCACGGCCAGAATGTTGTAACTAGACCCATCCTACAAATGGGAGAGCCACGTCATGGACCGGACACCAGTGGGAGATTGCGTAAAGGAAGAAGCGGCAATTGTTTCGGCAAGTATGCGTAGTTATGGAATAAACAAGACTCGAGATATTATTGTAACGTTATGATGATTTGTACATTTAGATTTTCGTCTGTTGCGCAAGTCCCTGAGGTAACCATGGGAGTTCTTAAGGGGGCGCGGGCTTTATTCGGCTTTCCAAATGACGAGTTGACTGTCACGAGTCTTTTCATGATAGCAGCGTTTGAGGACCCATGCGCCCCACTATCAGTCAACATGACTTGACAGCAAGCACAGTACAGCTTCTGTCCTTGTGCCTGTCCTGGAAGATGATATGGCACGGTTGTTGCAGTGACGACATGCCGGTGAACGTTGCCCAAGCTACGTTTCAGTGGTGAACTTGAACGTCACTGAGATGTCATTTGGCCCAACCAGGATCACACGATCAATACAGACTGAAGAGCAGCTTGCGTCAGCCTTATACGAGGTGGCAGGTACGGAAGCTTAACTTACCCTGATCACCGCGTGGCTTAAACTTTTCAGCCACACAGGCCAGCCGCATGCGGCGTAGCTTCAAACTCGATCCGGGGACCATTAAATCGTCGATCACTAGCAAATCGTCAGACAGAAGTTAAAAATACAACCAATTCCCCGATGAGAACGTCCACGGACGGGAGCGGGTCGACGGGAGCGAAAAAAAATAAAAAATAAATTAAAATCCATCCAAATATCTGAATGGTGCATTGCACGCAGTACATGTTATTAAGCATTATACACAGGCAAACAACCAAATAGGAGAGGGACTGCTTTAGTCTAATTCGGCTTTTTATGACGCCGGAGGGAAGATACATAAACAGGCCGGAGATCAACCGAAGAACGCCATGGACCGATAGTTGTTGTATATATTCCGATTCCCGTTTTCCATCACTCACAAAATACACCCGAATACCAGAAGTAGCGCATTGCGCAATACCGAACGTCCTTTAAGTTAACAAGTCATGAGATAAACCAACCCTTAGACAGCGACATCAACCGTAGCGCATGCATACGAAGGTAAGCCCTATAATTTCAAGCCCCAACCTCACGCGAACTTTCCGATCTGGGGCACAGAGCGGGTTGTCTATTAGAGGTCGCCTGTCTGCTTGGTCGCGAGCCCTCACTTGACTTCTTACGTGGTTTCTTCTTCTTGTCCTTATTCCGTATAGCCTCCCGTCTCTCCTCTTGGATACGAGAATAGTCGACCAAGTCGACCCCCGCGTTATGGCACAGGGACTTGCATTCTGAGTCAACAACTCCGACAAGATGAGAAGTGAATCCGTAGAAAGCCGGGTTGTACGCGTTCTTCGCCCAGTACGATAGTTCTGAAGCCACACGGCTTAGATTGGGGATTAGAGGGGGTGAGCATTTCGGGTTGTGGGTGGGCGCCGGTCTGTCAGACTCATCGCCAGAAGACAAGGATCGATGTCTGGAAACAGGTGAAGAGGGAGCTGAGGAATCTGACGAATTCATGTAGTCGGTATCCGAGGCCAGAACGTGCAGAAGATGATAGGTAGCGGCGAATCCAAGAAGAGTTAACTCAACGGGGTCCAAGGGTAGCTGGTTAAACCAGGAAATGGCTTTCTGCATCGTGAAGGACGAGGGGAGGGAGGCATCTCCGGTGGTCCGTGCTGTGAAGATGGCTGCAATCATTGCACAGCGCACGGCAATATTGATCTCATCACGGACAGATGCGGGGAGAGAAGAGTCGAGGAAGTTTGAAGCCTGTGCTTTCTTGGTCTTTCCTTTGTCATTAGGCAGTGCTGCAAGAACCATGTTGATATTAGCAACGCGATCTTGTTCGAAGAAAACAGCTTGCATAACTAGAGCACGAGTATGTGCCGCCGACGGCTGAGGTGCTACGTTGAGAGCTGTTCTAAGTTTGAGTTTGAAAGAATCGCGGCTCTTCCTCCTATCTTGGCCGCCAGCACTAGCCTCGAAGTATCTCAGAAGAGCACGTTGTAACAGATGGCTAGACCACCACGCAGCAAGTGCATCCAACGAGGATTGAATGGCAGGATCCTCTTCCACTACGTCAAGTAGGGCTTCGTCGCCATCCGTCCCTTCTTGGGTGGGACGGTTCCAGGTGAGATTTGCGGCTCTTTGGATAACACTATCAATCATGACCTCCTCACTATCAAGCTCAAGCAAGGCGGCTAGATGGCTGGGGAGGGCATCCGGGTGGTCTTCTGGCAGGGACGAATTCATCTTGCGAGCAAGGTCCCATTGGTACCGTGCCAGGCTACGCGCAACGTCGTTGGAGACGTTGAAGGTCCAAGAGCCTGGGTCGCCCACGCGCCAAAGCAAAATGCGACAATGGAAAGCTTTAAGCATCATTCGCATTGGGCTTCGAGGGAGGGTACCAGCAGCAAAAATGGTCAAAACGAGACGACTTTTGCTAACCTCTGCGTCACCGCCAGCCAGCTGAGCATCGATCGCAATGTCCCATGTCTTCACTCGGCCCTTTTCGTCCTCTTCTGTAATTCCTGTAGCCCACGAGTAGAGCTTCCATCCGAGTAAACAACGCAAGACGTATTCAAAACATCTCGACGTCACAACATACCACTCGTGAAAAAATCTATGCCGGGGTACTCCGACCCGTTGGATGCTAGTCAGCCAAGCCTGACGCCGGAAGTTGCTAGACGACAACGTGGCAGAAGCTGTTTTAGAAGAGTACTGCAGCCCAGGCCCACCGGAGTTGAAAAGGTAAACGAAAACAATGAAGGCACTGCCGACGACGAGAGTGGCAAGGATGAGAAAGTGGGAAATAGCGCGGGCGTGCCATGAATACCAAAAGCTGCGAGCAACCGCAACCCAATACCCGCTCGGTGGAAGTTGCAGGTTGTTGAAGAAATTGACCGGGATAGCCAGGAGCCCTTTTGCTGTCGACTCTGTCTTCTTTTCTGAACTCATTCCCTCGAAGACCATAAGGCCAGCAAGCGCGCCCAGCATGTATTTATTAGGATAGTGAGAACGTTTGCGCCCACCCGACTGAGGGGATACATTACTACTGCTTGGGTATTGAATGTAAGACTGTGACCATGACTCGTCTCTCGGAGCCGCAGCCCGCATACGCTTGAAGGCATCGGGCACCTTAATCATACCCTCTGGGGGATGAAGAGAGGTCGGGGAGGGGTCACTGGGAACATCTTCTGCATTTGAGAAGACGCTCGGTGACGAGCTGGCACCGGACTCGGTGTAATTGCTCGGTGAAGATACTGAGGCTGCTGATGTCACATTCTGATCGACGGCCTTGTCCAATTGTCGTAACCTGTTCTTGAGAGCAGTATTTTCATCTTCCAGCCGCTTATTACGGATTTCCAGATGTCGAATATACTCTGTTGCCTTGGAAAGGATAGAGGCCTTATTCAGCTTGTTGGCTGGCGTGACACCCTCCCCGTCATCTTCATCGACCAGATGTCTCGAAGCCCGTAGGCTGGGGACGCTATCTCTGAGCTCGGCGATTTTCTCATTCAAGTTGGCTCGGTATCGCTTTTCGATCACATTGTGGGCTCGTTTCTTCGAAGGCATCTTCTTTCCGGGTGGCGCTGAGCCGCTAACGGTTGATCCATCATCATCACTACCCGACTTGCGTTTTGCACCTGCTAGCGACATAGGCGATCCAGATGTGGTCGACTGGGCAGACTGCATATCCGTGCCAGCATTTGAACTTCGGTGGAGGGGAAGCCCACCACCGCCATCCTGGCCTAGGAAGGAATCAAACGGAAGATTCGTCACGCAATCGAGTGAAATATCTGGGGAGAAGTCGGACTTCTGAACAGCACCGAGGCTCTGCTTGCCGATAGACGTGCCGGGCGAGGTAAAGGAAAAATCGAAGGCCGATTGGGGGATTTCGTTGGTGGTCTCTGGGAAGGAAGGGTCATCCCATCTCATCCATTGTGTCCAATCCTGACCTGAGTCCTCCGGGGATGATTGAGGAAACGCCATGGATTCCGTCTGCGACTCTCTTCTGTCCGAAGACTGGGCGGGGGAAAAGAGCTGGAAATCGCTACCCATACTAGGCATAGCCATTGTGTCCAGCCGCCAGGGTCTGGACCATCAAGCCACTATGGCTAATAGTTGGTTTGCGGCGTATATGTCAACCGCTTCGGTGAAGTATCGCGAAACAATCCTTTGCTCCTATTAACCATCGGATATTGACAACGAAGGTGGGAGCAGAAAGGTGGATGGTTCCTCTGGACAACAGTACCAGGTAGTGTAACCTAGGGTGTGCATACCTCAGGCAAAGGGAACAAACCCGGCTAGTGGCGGGTTAGAGTTGAAAGGTGATTGATGATCAGCCAGAACCGAACGCGCTAAAATTTGAGCTGTGGAGAATGATTGGGGGGGCGATAATAGAGAGAGACCCCTTAAGAGATCGAAAAGGAGAGAGACGCTCTATTGGGTGGCAATTGATGTGAGAGTCAAGTTGTGAAAGGAGTGATCAGCTTGAGAAGTTGGAGTTGTTTGTCATGACAGAACGAACTGAACTAGTCAGTCACGTTGGGGGGTCTTGACAAACAGAAAAGAAAACGAGCCGAAAATTAGTGTTTCCAAAGATCTTATCGAGGCGGCGTTGGGTGGTTGAGGACGCGGCTTAGACCCTCTCACATGGAACGGTACCACAGTTAGAACACACTGCCCCAGCAGATAAGATCTCTTCTTCCCTTCTTTGGTTTCTTCTTGTTGCTTTCTCTGCGTGTTCGCCACTGCAAAGACAAGGATCAAATAATAATATATTTATTATTGGAAACCACGTCGCAGAACAGAGTCACCTGTTCACCATTCTGCACATTGTTGGAAGAAGGACCAAGTGGTGCCTGACAGCGATGGCGACTGACCCTCGGCCAAGATTCGGTGCTAAGCGTCGTATGATCGCGGGACACTGCTGTTCCGGCAAACCGACACGCGGTCATGGTATTACGCACTTGGGTACCTGTACCATGGCCAGTTAAGTGGGTGTATTGTTCAACCATGTAATCTTACCTACCGCCTAAGGCGGCCAATGAAGCACTTCGGTCGGCACGTGATCTGACATCATGCCGTTTACTACTCCGTACTAGTAGTATCTTTGGGTCTCTTCGGCTCTGGAACGCAGGAAGCAACCCCAAACTAATGCAGAGTGCCCCTCAATTGACCATATCGGATATCCACCAAAAGTACGGAATATTGAGTATTGTTAACACTACGGTGTACGGGGTACAAGCCGGAGACCATTGGTGGTAAATCAATGCTAACATTTAAATCTTCAATTATATATCCATGCAATAACTTTACAATCATGCATCACGAATTGAGACACTCTAAGAGTCAACCGACTCAGGCGTGGAACCTCTTACTGGCTGTCGTTGAGTTCCAGCCGCTCTGAAGACCCCAAGCCTTAACACTAACGCTAGCTCGATCACTGAGACCCTCTGCGGAAACAGCCAAGGTATCGAGTGGGGAGCTTGGGAAGAAAGTCATGGTTCCACTTTGGATCCCGTCCTGACCAAGGAAGACTTCAAACACAGAGCGGTCAATAACGCCCGAGAAGCTGAATGTGCCGTTGCCAAAGGACGAGATAGTGGTTGTGGAAGAGGATGTGTAATTTCCATTATCTTCGATCGTGAAAAGATGGGTTCCAGCTCTGTTGATCCAGAAGGAACCATCATCCAGGATCACCCCTCCGTCGAGGAATTCGCCCGATGCAGAAGAGGTGAAGTTAAAGTTCACGCGTCCAGTAGGCTTGGCAACATCGATGCCCTTTAGCGTCACGTCGAAATATACTGCGTTCGATGGGACCCCAGAGAAGTTCGCTTTTACGTCCCCAGAGTGGAGGCTCTTGCTCACAAGCTGTCTGCCCTTAAGAGCAGAAAGGCCCTCAAACGGGCTGTGAGTCACAGTCCAGGCTCCGTTGACCTTAGTTAAGGTGTGTGCTCTAGGTAAAGTCGTGGCGCTCCTCCAGCCTTCGAGCGGGCCAGTGGGAACTTCGTTGGTGTAGTCCCAGTTGCTAGCCCATCCGATGGAGACTGGAGGCTCATTCTCAGGAATACCAGAATACCACTGAGCCGCGTAATTATCCTTGGAGAAATCAAAAAGTGTCTCCTGGGGAACTTCAGAGGTAAAATGGGTGCCATTGAAATCGCCGACCACATAAAACGTTCCCGAACCCCCCAGAGGAGCGCCAGGATTCACAGAAATAAAAAGCACGAACTTGCTAGTCTCTTCGGACACAGCGCGATCCACCGAAAATTTGACCAAGTTGGGACATTCGAATTGGTCGCCCGGCAGCCCCTTCTGAGTGAAGTTCGACGCATGCGTCCAGTCTCTGAGGTTGGGCGATGTATAAAATCCAATGACCAAATCCTGCGCATAGGCAATACTCATCACCCATTGCTGGGTCTCGGGATGCCACACCACTTGCGGGTCACGGAACTGCTTCGAGCCAATGTCGATGACCGGGTTGTTCTCATACTTGGTGAAAGTGTATCCACCGTCGCGAGAATAAGCAATGTGCTGTGTTTCCAGTGTCGGGGTATCTACTGTGTAGATGGCAATGACACCATCGTCCTGATCGGGAAAGAATCCCGAGGTGTTGTTGCTGTCCACCACAGCAGAGCCTGAAAAGATATATTCCTCAGGCTTATCCCCAGCGAGGGCGATAGGTTGATTCGTCCAATGGTATAGATCAGGGCTGGTGGCATGACCCCAGTGCTGATTCCCAGCAACTGTCGCTGTAGGATTATCTAATCACTCGTTATTACGCGTGCGCGGTTTGACTGACTGGGACAGACTTACACTGATAGTATAAGTGATACACACCCCTCTTGCTATCATAGAAGAGACCGTTTGGATCGTTCATGAAACCGGAAGGTGGAGAGAAGTGGGTTTGAGGCCGAAGGTCTCCAGAATAGCTGGCAGCTTGCGCAACTGCCGCAAGGGCAGGAAGGATGAATGGCTTGATATGCATCTCGTCAGGTCTCTTGGAGTAGCTATAGGTAGCGACCTGGATTTCAATTCTGGAATTCTTTCTGTCGGGGGGACGTGACTGGGGTATTTATATTTGACTCCTCTCGTCAAAATTCCCCCGTTTATGGCGATGCATGCATGGTTTTCCCTTCATGAGAAAGGCTAGGCTCCATGGCCTCGGGGTTCCAAGGCTCCAAGTGGATGAAGCCGAGAACTCAGTTCAACCCTGTGTGGATGTCAGACGGTCTGACCACTGCGATTGCTAGTTAGCAGGACGGCATACCCACGTCACGAGAAAATTAGTTTCCACTGCCCTAAAAGCGCCAATGCGCTGACTTAGGGACTAGTGTGGGGATAATGCCTAAGGTACGGAGTACATCATATGTTATGGTGGTAGGCCCGGTTCCTGGACCGATATCTGCTCGTTCTCGACGTTATAGATCCCATTGTCTCATTCAAAGTTGTTGGTCAGGTATGACATTTCGAAGATCTGCCATGTACCCTGTGCTTACAGTGATTGCTCCGGCACTGCTACCCCGGCCGGAGAAGTGTCGTGCTGGAAGCGGGGAGCCGATGCAACGGCCTTACCGCCGGTGATTTATCGGCGGATTTTCTTCTTCACACCCCACACATAACCAAGTCCACAGCAGCTCTTCTTCAGTGGAGTAAATGTTGCCCTGGAATTACCGCTTCTGGAAACCTACAGTTGTGGGCGCACGCAGTGCCAGTTTCAGTACGATCAAGGCTTCAGTTATTGGCTCCAGGGTTAGCTTGCCGATATACAAATGTATATCAAGTTGTAACTTAGGGCTCGCCTTCACCGGGCACCAGCTCATTCATAGGCCTAGCTACATACGAATAAAACTGGATGTCTAGTCTATCCAGAAATGTTTGCGACCATCTCACTACAACCATGGGGTTCACTCGGAGACGGTTCGGCGAAATTTCCCCCACGTGGAGACGAGGCACTTTGAAAGCAATAGGAAACATTCCACTCGCATGAAACCATGACTCTCCGATTTCTAATCATTGGACGAACGAAGTACACTGGGTCTATCGCAATATAACTACCAAAAACAACAAACTATACACATTCGGGAGGCCCTCGTGGAGATAACCCGAGCTTCCTATTTGAGTTCACCAGAAGTCGCGCATATCCACCGAACTACTAAATGCTAACTTCAAGCTTGGCCACCGCGTCCATCAACTCCCTCACCGTCTTCTTAGCACCCTCTGCGGGTTCCTCATACGGCGTCCTCGGCTTGGCCTTCTCCTCGGCCCCCTCAATTCCGGCCAAGGGTGCCGAGTAAATCGCGGCAGCATACTTAGTAGACGCAATGCCACTCTTGCAAGGACTCTCGGCTAGCGCCGCCTTCTGCTGCAAGTCCAAAGCGTCCGCCACCTTTCCGGCCTTATACAACTCGTAAATCTTGGCCGAAGTTTTGGGGAACACGTTCGCAAACGCTCCAATGCACCCAGCAGATCCAACACTAAGCCCTCCAATCAAGAAATCACACTGACCACCATAAACAGCAAACTCCTCCGGCTTAAGTGTGGCCGCCAACCTCGTAATCTTACCCACCGAAGCACAAGTCAACTTCACACCGACCACATTGCTCTTTCCATCTCCCCGGCTGGCGGCAGACTCGCGCACAATAGCCGTAATAGTCTCCGAATCAAGATCAACCCCATTACACACACCAGGGAAGTTATATACAACAACCGGCAACGGGGCCTGACGCGCCACATCGGCAAAGAACTTTTTCACAACGGCCGGCGTCGTCGCCTTCCCGAAATACGCCGGCGGGAGAACAAGCAAGTAATTCGCACCGGCAGCCGCAGCATCATGCGCTAACTCAAGCACCTGCTTTGTGGAGTGGGCACCCACACCCGCCATGAGCGGGAAATCGGGACCGACGGCTTCGCGAGCGGCAGCAATACATTGGGCGCGCTCTTCACGGGTCAGGAGGAAGGCCTCGGAGTTTGTGCCGAGGATGACTAGTCCCGCTAGTCCGGTCTTGGAGAGGTAAGAGTAGTATTGCTTTTGTGCGACGAAGTCGATTGTGTCGGTGCTGTGGTCGAAGAATGTAATGGCGGGACACCATACCCCGGCTTTGGGGACGTGGGGTTGCGGGGTGACGTGGGAGCCCATTTTTGTTCTTCCTTTCTTTTTCCTCGGGAAGTTCAATAAAAAAAGGTATGTTCTATAATTTTATAATAAATGTAGAATGTAAAAAGATAGTCAACGGAGGAATGTGAAATGAGATATTTTAATAATTGACCAAATAATCATTCCAAGGATAATGAGATCTTATATATCCATCGCAAAGCGGGGGAATGAAGGAAAAGTTTCCGTGCTCGGGATGCAATACCGAGATTTTGCCCGCTTATCGTCCACGATCCACGGAGGTTTGGGCCGAGATCTCCAATTCGTGATTTCTACTGGGTGGTTTGTCCTTCATGCTGTTTTTGGTGTGTGGTTCTATGACGTTGGAATGCGGATTCGGTCATTCGGGGTAGAACAGATTGCTCGGAAGTGTTGCCGGTCGTTGGTGAATCATTTTTTGTCTTCCTTACTTTGTAGATTGGGGTGTAGTTATCTACATATACAGATACTTATTATATCATGCACGTACATCACGTCCACGATTACGGTCGTGGGGACTCTATACAACTTTTACAGAAAGAAACAAGGTGAGAAGTTTTCGTTTATAGAGTTTAATTAACTATGCATAAGATGGCGCAATGAAACCTCCATCGGTGAACTTATTCGAAAGTTGGGTCGTCGTATGTCATCGTCCAGTTCGTAGTTTGATATACTAATGTCGTTGAGAGCCCAGTTTAATGCTATACAGATGTCAGTGGACAGTGATTAAACAAGGATAAGGGGCTGGCTTACCGTGATATCTTCCCATTTCTCCCATCCGCGTCCCTTCACCTCGGCCAGTTCTTCCATTGTATACTGTCGTCCCGTCGTGAAGTATCCGGCGTTGATCTTCGCGTCGATCTCAACGCGGGAGTCATCGGGGATCATGTCTTCGGGGATGGGGACTCGTTCGAGGATCTTGATGCCTGATTGGACGATCGCGTCGTGCTTCATGTTGGACATGGAAAGCATACGGTCGATCTTCTTGATGCCGAGCCAGTGGAGGATGTCGGGCATGAGGGCTTGGAAGCGCATCTAGATAGGTTGTTAGTATGGTGATGATACAGTATAATATTGAAGTAATAGCATACATCTCTCACACCGGCGATGTTCTCAGTCCGCGTAAAGTATTTATCTGCCGTGTCGCCACCACGCTTGCGGGCGTTGTACACCAAGTACTTGATAACCTCGCCCAGGGCACGACCTTCTTTTCGGAAGTAGATAACAACACCACTGCCTCCATTCTGGGCTTCGCGGATCGCCTCCCGGATACCGAACGCCAGGTAGGGCCGACATGTACAGATATCAGACTGGAAGACATCACTTCCGTTACACTCATCGTGGATACGCAAGGCCAGTTTCACGTTCTCATCGGAAACACGCTCGGGGGGTCCAAAGATATACACCGTCAGACCACCAATAGGTGGCAAGAAGATCTTCAGGTCCGGCCGAGTAATCAGCTCCGGGTAACTACCACCCGTGTGTTCGAAGAGCGTCCGACGCAGGATAGGTTCCGAGACGCCGAATCGGTCCGCAACTCCCGGGAGATACCACACCGGCTCGACGGCGACCTTCGTCACCCGGACTTCACCCGAGGAGTCTACCACGATTGAACCATCCACGTCCAGCTGTCCGTCTCGCACTGCCTCTCCAATCTCCGCCAGTTTCATATTAGCGCGGGTGACAGCCATAGTAGGCCGGATGTCCCAACCGGCGTTCAACTCATCCCGGAATTGGTTGACAATATCGTGGCCGTAGGGGTCCATTGACACGATCTTGTCTTTATCGGCCCAGGCGGGCTGCCTGGGGAAGTTAAAGGTGGGTTCACTGTTCTTGAAGTCCGGACGGAAGTCAGGGGGGAGATCGCCGGCAGCGATAGCCAGGGCGTTGTAGATGCTGTAGCTACCGCCATGGGCACCCATGGCATTGCGTCGTTTGAGCAATGGCCCGCTGCGTGAGACCACCACTGGGCCACGGGATTTGGCATCTTTTGCACCCCAGTTTAGGGGCACGGGGTCTATCCCGCTTTGCCCGGGATAGGTTGTCAACTAGATCGTAGATCAGTGTGAGGGGATCTTTGCGATGGAGTATTATGGATCGGCACTTACGACGATGTGTGTGCTATAATGAGATTCTGGCGAAGGAGCGGCCTGGACGGTCGTCCCGTCAGCCCTGGTCGTTTCGGGGCTATCTGTGGTCATATTGGCTGGTGTTGGTTAGGATAGGGATGGAGATGGGAGGAGACAAGTGAAGAAGAAAGGAGGAGGGGGACGGGGAATCAAGGGATATATACGTATGAAAAGGAAAAGCAGGAAAAAGGAAAGGAGAAGATTGTCTCATTCATTTTGCAGCTTGCATTCCCTCCTTACTGCATGTGACCTGTGAATTGGTACTGTAATCATTGACTTGAACTTTCTTTCATTCTGGTGTCTCCGCACCTTATCGTATCGTATCGCCTTATCATTTGTTTTCCCCCTCTATCGATAGTAACCGACTTATCTCTCTAGTTTATCTTCTCCACCAGAAATGATAAGCTCGAGAAGATATATCCCATATTTAAAAACCGTCCCTATAAACTCACGGCCAAATTTTATTTTACCTTGTGCACAAATTCCAGAGGAGTCTTTGGTGTCCTGTCTTCTAGATGCAAGATGATGTTGGACTGGAAGCAACGCGGGGTTGCGGCAAATCAAAACCCCCTCATTCCAAGGATCTGGAATGACCTGTCGACTGCTACATTGGAACCACGTTACTCGACATCAAAACCCAACCAAAACTGCTACCTAATCGGTCTTTGTCGGTGGAAGTCACCTGATAGCTACCAATTACTCAATCAATATTCGATTACCTCACGGTGTATATTGATTTTGTTAGTAAATGATGTACTCTAGCACGTTTAAAAAATATATATATCTTCATACCCTACACTCATCCACTATCTCAACTCACTTAATAGCCATACATTTTTGCCGGATATTTTACTGCCTTATAGGAAGACCTCCATATAAGCTTAGAGCTACATGCTCTTCAGGATCTCCTGCAGGAGCTGAGCTAGAGCTACAAATAGTCAAGTGATCCAAAGCTCTACTACACGTGACTTCGCCGTATCTACTACTACTACTACTACAATCATTGACGAAAGTATAGCAATAAGATATCTACAGGCTAATTGGGTTCCTTAGAATCTGGTCATGTCGTTGGTATCTATTGTTCTTCGGGACTTTTTTCTCCACATAAGAAAACCTCGTAAATCTTCATATAAGCCATCAATGAAAGCAATACAGGTCATCGTGCCTAACCCTCTCACCTTACCGCCCGAACTGGGCCTGGGCGCGGGTATTCTTGATAGTCTTCTTGATGATATCCTCAACTTCATCCCAGTCCTTCGTGTCCACCCGCTGGATAGTGCAGTTAAAGTATTGTTGGATCTGGTTGAGCATATTCCACTCCTCCCGGTTAGAAACGAATGAGATGGAGACGCCAACACGGCCGAAACGTCCGGTACGACCGATACGGTGCAGGTAGGTCTGGAAGTCCGCCTGGCGTTCCCGCGCGCCAGGTTGGTGAAGCTCGGGGATGTCCTGAGCACTAGATTAGTACTTCTTTCTATCAATGCGCGTCATCATCTCGACTCACATAGTTAATAACCATGGACACTGTAGAGACATCAATACCTCTGGCGAGCACGTTGGTCGTAATCAACACCTTAGCCTGGCCAGCACGGAATTGGTCAATAACAGCGTCACGCTGAGAACCCTCGATACCACCAGTCAGAGATGCAACGGTATGACCTTCGGCGACCATGCGCTTTTCAATCTCAACGGCGGATGCTCGTGTCTATCAACTGTTAGATGTGACTTGGCGGATGAGCTGGGCCACCGACCTTAACGAAAATAATAGAGGAAGCGACGGTAAGAAGACCGTAGAGCTGGACAAGAGTCTTATACTTATCCTCCTCGTCGGAACAGTCAAGATAAAGTTGCTTGATACCCTCGACGGTCAGTTCTTCGTGCTGCAGTGTAATTTCGTTGGCCTGTGGGGCAAATTTGGACGCATATTGGTGAACGTGGGTGGGGAAGGTGGCGGAGAAAAGAACGACTTGGATATCCTTTGGCAGCAAACTACGTACGGTTAGCTGGAGTAGCCCTTACCAAAAGAAAAGGAGCACTTGGGAACTCACGCCTTGACACGAATACACTGATCGCCCAAACCTTGCTGGTCGAGCATGTTATCCGCCTCATCCAGAACGAGAACCTTCAGCTTATTCGCAACCATGATACGCTTCTTGATCATATCCATGACTGTTCCCGGAGTACCAACGACAACGGAGGACTCGATCTTCGAATGGCGACTGTTAGTGTCTGCAGGAACGGCTGTGGAGACGTTAAGGCCGTCCAGGAACTGGCCCATGACCTGGACAACACCAACGATCTGACGGGCCAGCTCTCGAGTTGGAGCCAAGATCAAAGCCTGGGGTGTCTTTTGCGCCTGTTCTGTTGACAAATCCAAACGGCTTAGGGCATTGAGGACGAATGCAGCGGTCTTTCCGGTACCCGACTGGGACTGGCCGACCAGATTCTTGGGAGGGTTGTTCAAGAGCAACGGGAGCGCTCTTTCTTGAATTTTCGAGGGTTTACGGAAGTTCATGGCAGACAGTCCTTGCAAGATGCGAGGGTCCCTGGTGATCGACACGTCATTAGCGGGGATAGAATGGCAAATCCAAAGCACGTGGTGTCGCCTACAGTCCAAGGTCCTCAAAACTCTTCACGGAAAAAAGAGGGTTGTTAGGATCCGCCTGGAGATCGCTGAGTTTGACTTCGACCGTGTATTCAGGCTCGTTAAGTTCGGAGCCGCCCAACTGTGCGGCAGCGCCATCGGCCTGTTGTTCATTGTCGGTCGTTTCAGTGGTTACTGCGCGAAGGTGACGTTAGCAGGTATCGCATGGATCACTTCTGGCGACTGCTATTGAAAATACTGCATACCTTCAGGCTTCGATCCATCGGCCGTCGTGATGCGATCTGCCAGAGGGTTACTAGCGGAGGCAGCTTCGGCAGGTTGTTCTGCGGACATCGTGAAGGCGCTTTACGAAATGGAGAAAACCAGATGATTAGACAAAGGGTGTCAGGGCGAGGTAGAAGCGATCAAGACGGTGAAGAGTCGGCCCGCGGGGTAAAGCAAGCTCGCTGGAACAGAAAAGATCGATCAGGATACGTGGGTGAGAGAGAAAGTGGACCTCTCCGTAGCAAGAGGTTTGGAAAGATTAGGTATTGAGACAACCCTCCTCGGACGCAGAAGCTAAGAGCAACACAGCAGCTATATATGCGCCTGGTAGGTATATTCCTAAGAGGGACGTGACGACAGCCAAAAAACCCAACATCTACCGCCCAGCATACTGCAAACACACTATTCCTGGTTAGGCAAACGACCGAGCGGATATCGTCTAACCTCCTACGGAAGGCGGTGGAGAGGATGATTCGGTACAGTAAGGCATGACGTAATATTACGCCTATCTTGGCCCTAGTGGGCGTCCGAGAGCCGCCAACGTGGCCTGAGAAACTGAAAGTCGTTCGGTATTGTCACCGGCGTTACTCCAGCCATCTTCCCCGCTTCCGCATGGCCCCCTTCAGGTAGATAGATTGTCAGGTACGGATGCGCTTAGCGGTTGGTCACTCCTTTATATCCAGAGCAAAGTCACGACGAATAATTCCTGTCGCGCAAGAAAAGACAGCACGTGGAGGTACGTGGCTAAGTCAGGCCCAATCATAGCTGCCTAACTCTAACAGATATTCGCCTTAAAGCTTTGTCCTTGACATCGAAAAGTCTCATGCGCGCGATCTCTGAGGGGCTGTCACATCTACAATGGCAACACCCGATGTGGCTCCGCATTTTGGAGCGGAACTAAAGGTATTCACGGTACGGATAGGATGAGAAAGATAAATCTAATGCGAATCTACAATAGGATGCGTTCAAACCAGTCAACAATTGGGTACGTTTTCTTTGTCACTTCCCACACCTACCTCTATGCTTCACTGAACACAGTTGTGGCACCATTGACTCAAGCAGACAGTTACTAATATCTGATCTGAATAGGTTTCCCACGGGGTACAATGGCTCGACGAGATACAACAGTTCTACCGGGAACGGAGCGCCATCGAAAAGGAGTACGCCGCCAAGCTGACGGGTCTTTGCCGAAAATACCAGGATCGCAAAGCCAAGAAAATAAGCACATTAAGCGTCGGAGATACTCCAACCATGACCCCAGGCTCCCTCGAAAGCGCTTCACTTACCACTTGGACTACCCACCTGACCGCCGTTGAATCGCATGCGGGAGAACGTGATCAGTTCGCTACAGACCTCCTTGTCCAGGTTGCGGAACCTCTGAAACAAGCTGCGGCACAATACGAGGAAATCAGAAAGTCTCACGTCGAATTCCATGCGAAGCTGGAAAAGGAAAGAGATGCCGCCTACGGCGACCTCAAGAAAGCAAAGGGCAAATACGATGGGGTGTGCCAAGAAGTGGAGGGTAGGCGCAAAAAGATGGAGAATTCGTTCGATCACAGCAAGCCCAAGGCTCAAGCTGCATATCAGCAGCAGATCTTGGAGATGAACAACGTCAAAGTTGGTAAAATCATTCTGCCCGAAGACCGTTGCTAACCGAGGCAGAATACGTACCTCATCAGTATAAACGTGACGAACAAGTTGAAAGAACGGTTCTACCATGAATACGTCCCGGAGCTACTAGATGTAAGAAAAGGTTTCCGGGGATCGAAAACCATATAGCTAATAGTGTTTTCAGAGCCTGCAAAATCTCAACGAAATGCGCATCTCAAAGCTGAATTCACTATGGTCACTTGCAGCGCAACTGGAAAAATCTTCTCTATCTAAGAGTATGGAACATATGGCCCATCTACTCAACGAAATCCCACGGAATGTCCCGCACCTCGATTCACTTATGTTCTTGCGCCACAATGTCAGCCAGTCACAGGAACCACCTAATATGACCTTTGAGCCGAGCCCCATTTGGCACGATGACGAAGCGCTTGTCACCGATGAGACTGCGAAGATCTTTTTACGTAACCTACTCAGCAAGAGTAAAACGCAGGTTCGGGAACTGAGAGTTGAGGCCGACCAGAAACGCAGGGACGTCGAAACGTCCAAGCGGATCCGCGAGAACATCCAACAAGGCAAAGACAACCGAAGCGAGGTCGATATAGTCCGATCTATCTTCTACCTGCAAGGCGCTTTGCATGAAGTGGAGCGTAAGAAGCTTACCGCCGAGGTCGAAACATCTACTATTATGTCGGCAGTTGGTGACCTATCATTGGGTGCCAAGAACCACAACTTCAAGTCGCAAACGTTCAAAATCCCGACCAACTGTGACCTCTGCGGGGAGCGGATATGGGGACTCTCGGCGAAGGGATTTGATTGTCGGGATTGCGGATATACGTGTCACAGCAAATGTCAAATGAAAGTCCCCGCAGAATGTCCTGGCGAGCAGAGTAAGGAGGAGAAGAAGAAGCTCAAAGCGGAACGGCAAGAACAGGCTAATTCTTCTACGCCACACCTCGACCTTGAGCCGACAACGACTGGTTCATCTGCCGCGCCTTCCCTAACTCGGAAGGATACGATGAACTCGTTAAGTTCTGGGTACGCAGTGAGTGCCAACCGGTCGTTGTCTAACGCCGCCAGCCAGCCAGCGTTGGCTAGTCCGACCGAATCGGCTGCTCCAGCCCCGGTGCCAGAAACGGCGGCAACGCCAGCCCCTGTGCAGGAGACCAAGCCCAAGAGGAATAGGGTCTTAGCTCCACCCCCTGCGCAATACGTCAAGGCTCCGCCAGTAGCTGAATCAACGAAGCCAAGTGAACCACGCGGGAAGATGATCTATCCATTCCAAGCGGGAGGAGCCGACGAAATAACCGTTCAAGATGGGGATGATGTAACTATTCTTGAACCGGATGGTGAGCCTTCCCACATGGTAAATAGAAACGTTGCAGCCTTACTGACCTTTCAACCCTAATTAGATGGATCTGGATGGATGCGCGTCCGCGTTGGCTCGTCTGAGGGTCTCGTCCCAGCCTCCTACGTGGAAGCGGCACCCGCGGCGTCCGCAGCCCCTGCGACTAGCTCCGGGATTGAGCGCCCAGGGTCCACTTATTCCACCTCATCTGCCTCAGTGGCAGGTAGTGCGGTGGGTAAGAAAGTTGGGCCGGCCGTGGCACCTCGCCGGGGCGCTAAGAAGCTGAAGTACGTCGAGGCGTTGTACGACTACGAGGCTCGCAGCGACATGGAATGGAGCATGGTGGAAGGCGACCGGTTTGTGCTGGTCAACCGGGATGGCGGTGACGGATGGGCGGACGTGGAAAGAGGGGGCGTGACCAAGAGTGTGCCGGCCAACTACATCCAGGAGGTGTAGTTCGATCCATCAGGTTCAACCATCAGTCGCAAGAACTCCGTATTGTACAGGTGTATATACGCACACGGAAGGTATCTTTTATGTCTGTCATTTGCATTGGGGAGCCTGGAGCTGAGGTTTTATTATTTGTGGGTTAGCGGTCTGGCTATTGTTAGTATCCGTCTTGTTATTGGCCGCTGCACATCTTAGCATATCATGTAGCAAGCATTCGCCTCGGCTGTATAGAAGTTGGAAGTCCTATTATTTTTTTTTTCTTCGATGCGCATAGCATTGGTCTCATTATCGCAGACATATGTACTTGACCATATAGTCTATGGCACTGACACGAACATATATGCATGAAAGAACGTAACCCCCCCCCTTTAAGCATACAAGCTAAATCCAAGAAAGAAGGAAGAACCCACCCAAAGGTAAAATCACAAGATCGTCACTCATCATCGTCATCATCATCATCATCATAAATCCTTTTAATGCCCATCCCTACGCATCCCACCCCACCACAAATGTTAGAGCGCATCCTCGGACAACCACGACCAATCCTCCTGAAGAACCTCCCTCTCCAACGCCCCAACATCCAAATCCTCCAACGAGAACCCGCCATCCCCAAACGGCCCCTCCCCAAACAACAACCGCCCCGTCGGATCCGCATCCAACGGACTAATCATCGACAATGACACAGGCACATCACCCATCGAACACAACGCCGGCGTCACAAACTCGCCACCCGTAAACGGCAGCGCCATACTCGACCGCGCAAACGACGGGTGCTGTTCCAGGTGGAACTGCTGCTGTTGCTGCTGCGATTGCTGCTGCGGAGGCGGAGACACGACGGGACTCGAACCGGCCATGATCTGGGGACGACTCTGGGGACTCGGCGAATTCGACGACGGTCTCGGTGCAATGGGAACTAAGACAGAATTCGAACGCGAAGAGACTCTGGCGGCACCTCTCTGGAACAAGCGAAACTCAATGAAACAACCCAACATCAGCCTGCTGTGTTTTACACAAAATATTCCCAGTGTGGTGTGGTATGTGGCTTATATGTGATAAGTTTTTTTTCTTTTTCATTCAGAGCTTTTTTGCAATGTTTCTCTTTTATTTTTCTCTCTTTTGGTTAAAGGTTGAAAGGGGTCTCAGGTGGTGGTGCTTGGTCACATTGTACTTTTGAAGAGGATTTGGCCTCGGCCTCGCGTTTGAGCTTGGTATGCTCTTCTGGTGTTGGACAGGGAGTGTTGTTGCATACGGAGCAGGTGGAGAAAGGTCGACCCTTCCGGTTGATGCGGATTAGCGGTCGATCTGGGTGTTTTGTTTTTTGCACAGTTAGATATGTTGAGGATGTAGACAAGAAAAGAGAGACACACCATGATGTTTACAAGTCGTCACACGGTGTCCGCGGACGCAAGCTTCACAAGCCCACTTTTCACCGTCGATGAGCATTCCTTGAGAAGTATGAGCGGATCGACGAGCATGGTGGACGGGTGGCGGTCAAATTTATACGTGAGCAGAGGGTCTCAAAGAGGAAATGACAAAAAGGTAAGGGGAAAAAATAAATTAAATCGAAAAGAGAAGAAAAAAAGAAAGGGAAAGAAAAGAAACTCAAAAAAAAAAAGGCAAGCTGCATCACAAGAAAGAAACAACACCACAGCCACAAGCATAGACCATACTATGACATCGATGCTACTCCGGGAGTTTTACTAAGGAACGCTGTCCATATTGGGAAGTTAGTCCAATCAGTAACCCTCAACTAACTCACTAACGTAACAAAGTTGAGATCGCTGCATGGATAGAATCGGTAAGAGATGCACAAACCAACAATTTACTATGCGGGATTTTCCCCTCTCAGCTGGCTGTAACAGCTTTTTGGTTTTTAATTTACTGTGTGGGAAGGAAATTTTTCCTTTCCCCAATTTTCTGCTGTGAATAGTACTAAGTACATACATTCCTCATCCGTGTTAGTGAGCGCGGCAAAACGGTGAAATGGAATGGTGCAGCAAATTCCCTCATACATTGGTGCTTTTTCCCATTCACTCAATCCGGCCGGGTTACCCCCTTGGGATGGATAGGCAATCCTGCTGCCTGGACCCGAACTAAGGTACGGGTTTGCTAAATATTGGGTCTTGGGTCTTGAGATATTATCCGGCAGGTGTCAAGAAATTGGGAAGGGTGACGCTCGGGGCAGGTTGTGGCTGGTGCTGGAGCTTCTGTTCGAAAAGCTATGACAATTTTCCTTTTTTTTTTTTCTTTTTTTTTTTTTTTTCCCCGAGTCAACTTTATAACTAGTTCTATAAACCATTTTAAAGACTTCGATAAAATTTCCGATTCAGATACACAATGTCTCCAGAATTGTTATCAAATTGTATAGAAGGTCAAAACCACACGTGGCCCTCCCTCAAACCCATTTCCCCCTCTGACGTAGACGAACAAAAGTAACAAAATCGCCCAGATGATCAGATGCAAACTTCAAAGAGATCATCTCGCTTGCAAGGATCACCACCAAAGTACACCAAACACAAGAAATGAATGGAGGTGGCTGAGCAGCATCGGCAACATCTTGGCAACTTAACCTCTTTCTTTTCCCCTTCTCCTCCCCGAAGCTTAAGCTCGAGCCAATCCGGACGGTCTTCGTGGCGCAGGATGCGAATAAGCTATGCTTCAGTATGAGTGATTATTTCCTCTCGGAGGTTCAGGGTCTTGATTAGTAGTAGCAGGAGCCCTAGTACTTTAGTAGTAGTAGCAGGACTATAGTAGTACTCCATATTATAGCGGGTACCCGTCGTAAGCGAGAATAACGTCGCAACGATACGCTGTGGGTAAGCTGAAAGTCAAACATGGACGTGGATTGGCTGTAGCTCAACTAAGCTACGCTAAGGTTGCTAAGCTAAATAGGCAGGTGCTTCGAGTTGGAGTGCAGGACGATGCATGAGGCATTTTATTCGCTTCGCGTTATGATTACTACATGATTCTCTGGAGTCGTGGATCGGGTTGGCCGTACTTGTCAGATTAAGTTCGGAGGTTTTGTGACAACGTGCGTGCACGGGTCAGTTTTGGTTTTTTTTTTTCTTTTTTTTTTTTTTTTTCTGTGCCTAGGTAGTATTCATTTGCTGCTACTATTTGTCTTATGATTGTTTTTGTTTTACTAAATAACCACTGTTCCCGTGTCTTTGGAGATTCTAGATAATATGTCTTTGAAAAAGATTGTGGATTTACCTATCTACCAATGTTACCTATCCACTTACCTACATACATTAAATTATTCACATCTTACGTCTCAGAACATCGTGTCTCATGACTTGCTTTTTCTCGGATACCGCCGATCATAACCATATGTCTGTAATCCCTTAGTCAGCGATGCACGTTATGCTCGAAAAATGAGACATCATTCTTGTTGTGACATGAACCTACTGGAGTAGCCTCTCCCCTCGAACACTTCACAATTAACCTTATTACACACAAAGGAGTATCAAGTCCTGCTGGATTGCTACAATCTCCGATGAGCCGCCAGAGGCCCCTATTTTTACTCGCTGTAATGTGCGGCCGTGCCGATCAATCCAACAAAAGTGGGCTCCAGACTAATGATGGATGTGTGTACATACAATAGCCTATACATATATGCAGCCCTTACCCGCACCGGTGCATCCGAGTCAAATTGCTCACCTAGGTTCGAGGCCCCCGCCTGCACAACCGCCTAAGCATCCACATGCTGTCCTAAACTGCTAGGTGTTGTGCTAGATACGAGATGAGTGTGTTTGCAAGCAGCAATTGTGCTAGCTGAAGAAAGATCGATCCACCAGTCATCTGGAAAAAATATAGGGTTAATGCCGTGGTTGAAGTTAGCTTGGACGACTTCACCGTCGCCGGGTTGACTATCATCGGAACCTGCCGGCCAATGCCGACCCCCGTGCCTGCTAGCACTTGCAGGCCAATCCAGGATGATGAACTGGAGCTCTCGCTAAGTTTAGTGAATGTTCCGCATGCGACGGCCGTAAAATCACCCCCGACAAGCATCGTAGGCATTTCATACCCGATGGTCGACATATAGACGCCCGAGAGTGTGGATAGAAGACCACATACCAATACGAGTGGAACGGTGCGTACTCCAGACGCACTGGCGGATAGTCCTTGCACAGCCTGGAAGTAGAGAGGCAGGTAATATAGCAGCACAAAAAAGCGACGCTGCCAGGAAGGAGATGACGCCGCAGTGGATAAGGACGCCCCATCTGAGGAAGAGACCGGGGGGGATCAGAGCAGTATCGCCAAGAAACCACTCATGGCAGCAAAATATAATGGCAAGCACTCCAAATCCAACAACGGTACTAACGACATGCGGATCACTCCATGCTTTCAAGGCCCCTCCTCATTCCAAGGCCATAAGGTAACCACGTCATGGCACCGATAATAAAGACGACACCAAGGAGACCAAGATGCTTTAAGATTGACAGCCATGATGCAGCCTCGGGAGCATTGCTCTTAGGGGAGGGGGTGAGGAGAATACAAGCAAAGCAACCCCCAAGTGTCACTCCGCCAACTGGTAAATTGATTCAGAAGCACCACCGCCATGTACTAGCACTAGTGAACACGCCCCCAAGCAGCGGACCAACGAAGCTGGCAACAGCATAACTTACTCCAAATACCTCCGTCAGCGCTGATCTTGTTCTGGGAGTTGTGCTCACTACAAGGATCGTGTATGCACCGACAGCAACGCCGGCAACACCAGCTCCGGCCAATGCCCGTCCGACAATCAGCGTGACAGGGTTCTAAGCAAGGGCGCAAATGAGTGACCCGATTTCTAAAAGGACCATCGAAGCCAGATAGCAACCCTTGAGTAGAAGGTACCGGTAGATTTTACCCCAGGGGGCCTGGGTTGCGACCTTGGTCAAAAGGAATGCAGAGGAGTACCAGCTGTTGCTGGAAATACACCTGAACTCCGATGAAATGCTCGGAATCGCCGTTGAGACGATGGTCGTGTCGACGGCCACAAGGAATATAGCCATCCCCAGTGCAATTGTCAAGGCAAACAGACGCCATCCAGTAGTGTATTCGGATGTCTCCATTGGATTGTTTCGACTTGGCCAAAATTAAAACCAATCAAGAGTGACTAAGGTGATGGGAGAAATTACCCATTCCCCTTTAAATCCACCATCGCTCTGGTGGTTAAAATCGCCCTAGTCCGTTATCCTTTCGGGAGAATAGACTAACCCCAAAGCATCGGGATAGTCGCTGAATTGCAATGGGCTCCCTTGTCTTGATCCCCTCGGCAATCTTTCCTGCTGCCTTCTGATAAGCAGGTGGATCCGAGGCGCGTAAAGGCCGATTGATGCCGGCGCAAACGTGGCAAGAGTGTTTCGGATTCAGAATGGAAATAAGTAATTCGGGATATCCCAGGCCTTTTGTAGAAGTATGGCGCCTTGAAGTAGTCTGTCCCGGCTCGGTAGATTCTAAACCATGTCAAGGACGTCTAGCTAATATATATGAAGTAAACACACATGATAGAATTCTGGCTGATTGACATGGACATGGTAGGGGGATATCCTGGTTACCGGGCTTTCTGATAGCTAGAATCAGATATTTGGGTCCTAGCAGGCAGCATGCGTAAACTTACTGTACTTTTGTTGAAGGTGGGGAAGCCTCTCCACCAAAGTGCCATCCATTAAGATATTGAAATAGAACTGGTACCACTCATTTGCACGCCAGTGAAATGGCCTGGTGCGTTGATGGACGTGTCTGGTGGATTCCCCAGGATTGGCTTCCCTCGACAATAAACGCCTTTTCTTATCTTCAGTCTTCAGAAGAAGTGGGCTAGATGAATGTGAAGTTCGTCTTGTCTTATTTCATTTTCATCCAATGGATACGCCCAAATAATAACTAACCCTGAGACTGCCATACAGCGAACCAGACCCCTCGTCTACTTCTAGCAACAAGGTTTGGATATTCGCGATTTCCACACGAGAAACGGCGAAATAACTGTTCTACTTGAGTAGACAACAGAAGCCACAAAACCGATCCATATCCACCTTATCATAGTGGCAAAACTGGAATATGCCAGCGAGAACTAGTCCGTGAAACTCGGAGATATAGCATTGATCAGGCCATGAGAGCGCGTGCCTCTCAACTCATTGTCTGTAAGGAAGAGATAGACAGATTCTTTGAAGGCTCGTAATGTTTCCAGGGCTCCTCCGGCGGCCTATCAACAAGACACTAAATTCCATGCATTGTTGGTGTCGATTCTGGGCTTCGACATAAACGCCTTTTTCTACGCCCGTTTGGGCGAGGATACCATCACGACTTAGTACCAGTCTAGCTACAATTGCACTATATATCTATCTACAAGTACAAAATAAATACATACGACCACAGGGTGTGGAGAACAGGGCCTCCCGTCCGCTCAGCCGTACTTAAGCCACACGCCGGGAGGTTAGTAGTTGGGTGGGTGACCACCAGCGAATCCCTCCTGTTGTATGTTTTTCTTTTCTTTTTATGGCGCTCACAACTAGTAATAATGAACACCGAGAGCAGTGACTGCGCCTTTGGATCTGTTTTCCCGTCTGATGCAGAGTGAGGCTACTGGAAACGCATCATATATTGATCAATCGTTTCGAGGGAGCGAGTCCAGCGCCAGGGTCTACTTGTACGAGATTTGATAACCTAAAGCTCCGCTGTGGCAGGTATCGTGTCGATCCTTTACATTGCTTTTTCCAAGTATTTTATTAGGTGAGCTTCTTCCCTAAGATACAACGTTTTGGAACCCTAGTGATATGGTAACTGTTGAGTGAAAAATCATCCCATTCTACTACTTAAAAAGTGTCTTTGTGAGGTAATATTTTGCGTATTCCTTGGTTTACAGCAACTATAAATTACTGGAATATTGCTTATAATTGTACTGAGTATTGATACATCATGCGACTCGATCTTCACAATTTCTCTGAGCAATGAATGTCACTCGTGTGAGACTACCGTCGAAACCATCTTTCCTAGGCCGGAACGAGTCAGGTGCTGTTCCTGTCAGCTCCTCGTCCTTCGTTCCATTAAGATTGCTTGCCTAAACATGATAAAGAGATCACTATTCGGGTGCCGTTTTGGAACTACCCTGCGGGCTAGGAATCGGCAGATGACATATCCTTGATTTCGCGTTCACGTCTGAGGTTGTATTTGATTCCATCTAATAAAGCAACACCTTCTCACTCATATAATCCAGTCATTGGCTTGTAAGTTGTAACAGCAGGTCAATACTGTATCTCATCATCACAAATTTTGTTGGCTTCGAGCCGGTGCCAACTGCGTCTCCCAGTCTCATGTTAATTTCCACAACCTGACCTATCATTGTAAATTCACCAATAGAATCTACCTAGGGTATTTCAGGTACCAAAATTTAGGATGAAGGTAACAGAACTTGTGCGATGTGCGGCTTCAATGAGAAGTGTGTAGGGTATGAGATTTCTGACTCAAACGCAGAGGATGACTGGAGGGCTAGTGAAAAGACCTCTACCGATGACTTATGTCCTTGTAGCCCTTTTGGCCAAGCTTCGAGTAATTAGATAAAAAATACGGAAACGAAGAACATGCAAGATTAGATTGTACGAGGGTAAACAGCGATCCCCGTGACCTAAAGCTACTACCAGATACACGATGAGCACGGAAAGGCGTTTGCCATTGGCTCTGTGAGGAAATGAGATTAGGACTAAGAGGCACAGATACTTAAAGACTTTTAGTATAGTTCGATTTTATACAACGGTTATCCTTGAACACCTACTAAATCTCTGTTGTAGCGGGTACACCATGTATGTAATACGATGAGATATGACCCACAATAACAGTTCCTCTCCTACACTGACCCTTCAAGGCCATCTATCTCTCTATATAAATGCATCCGTTTTTATGTTCACTCCCTTGAGCCTATTCTTATCACACCTTGCACTCATTATTAACACAATACCTTCTGCCCCGGACCAGGACACCCCGATCCCGCCAGACCACCGCACAACTGCTGGCCTCCTAGCAGAATATTATACCTTAACGGCAATCGCCCTGGCACTCGTTCTCCTACGAGCGTGGGTACGCCTCAGTCTAGCCAGAAACTGGGACTGGGGCGACATAAGCATCGTAATCGCCTGGGTATGTACATCCCCTCCCAAACCCGAAAAACCACGAAAACCAAGATACCCAGATCGCCCTCCTGGCCAGCATGTCATCTACCCCCCGAACCCAGAATACACGGTGCTCCAAATCCTGAAGGTCAACACAGTATACCAAATGATCAACGTGATCTGCACCCTGGTAACCAAATACTCAATCAGCCTCTACATCCTGCGAATTAGAACCAGCCGTGCTGTCCGCTGGATACTAGCCTGGCTCGTGTTATTCATGACACTGGCGACCATCGGCGCGGTCGTCACCCTCGCTGTCTCCTGCATCTCGCTGCAGGGATTGTGGAATAAGGATGTCTCCGGTTTTTGTCTATCCCCGACGTCTGTGAATAGCGTAGCATACGTACACTCGGGGTTCACGATTGTCATTGATCTCCGCTTGACTTCGGCACTAGTTATTATCCTTCAGAACGTGAGGACTAAACGCAGTCGCAAGAAGGCCCATAGTACCAAGCTTAGGGTGTGTGGTAGAATGTAATGTTATTGGCTAATCCTACATAGCCTATGGCCATCAGATAAGTTAGAATATCATCTATATAACATACACGAAACGAACTTACCGCCATAACCGAAGAACGCGATCACCGCCTCCAGTCGCTACAATATTATCCGTAGGGCTCCATGCGATACCGAGGACTAAATGCGAAGACCACAAAGTCAGTACATAGGAGACAAAATCCTCTCTGATTTAGAGGCGTAACTACCGGAGTTTCCATGAGCCCCAAGTCGTATCTCAGCAACACCAGTGCCAATATCCCATAGATACACAGCCATATCCTTTGAGCCGCTTAGAATCCATCTGCCTGTAGGATCTGGGGAGACACTCAAGACCATATCCTAGATGTTGGATCGATTAGTTGTGCCTCCCAGAGCTGGTTACTTGGACGGAAGTGTAATTCGAACCTGGTGGGCTTTGTATATCAGGGTACAGTCGTTGAAAGTTATATCTTCGTTAACGAAGGTTTTCAGGGAATCAATGTTCCATAGCTTTGCGGTTGAATCCATACCACCGGAAATGACACTCCGGCTATCTGGAGTGAATGAAAGAGCCATGACATTCTCATCGTGAGCCTGAAACTCCAATAATTTCTCAATGTTCGTCTCATTTGTGCTAACAGCACCAGGATCTGGTCGTGCAACGCGCCAGACATAGATCATCCCATCGTCGCATCCAGCAGCAATGTAACAGGAGTCGGGAGACACAGCGACGGTATATACATCATCAGCTGTGTGGAGCGTCCCAAGCTGCCGAATATCAGATGCTGCATCCAGATCCCAAGCCTGGACAGTCTTGTTTCTCTCAGAAAACGCAATTAAGTGGCCATTAGCCGAGAGATCTAGGGTGAAGCACCCAGTTTCACTACCACAAGGAATCCGTCGAAGAAGGCTCCCCATATAGTTCCAAACCTGTTGCAATGCATATATTAGTAGCGGGTATATTCTTGTACGGTGTGAGCAAACCCACGCGGATATCACCATCGCAATGTGCTGTAAGCAGTAGATAGTTATCCGGTAAAAATCTCACTCTTACACAGAGACTGTCGTGACTGCATTCATCGTCTTGTAGACGGGCCACCTGACATCCGGTTGAAACTTCGACCATTTGAACGGCTCCATCTGCGCATCCAACAGCGACATATTTGCCATCATTACTGAACTGGACACAGTTGACAATGCTGTCGTGCATCATGCTATGGAGCAGGTCTATCTCCCAGTTATTGTCTATGTCCGGGTTGATCATAGCAGACCATCGGTCACCAGCCTTTTTCCGCTCCGGCGGCAGCTTGTCCCAATTTCTCATTACATCGTCAAAGTTGACCCCCAACCCTGGTGGATAAGAGATGTCTGGGATGGGAGACGCCACGGGCGAGCTCCTCGAAACCGAGCGTGGAGTACGCATTTTCAACGCAGACCAGAACCTTCTTGTTGTTAATGAAGAAAATTCCATTCCCATCAACTAACCATCAATTTGACAATTGACTAGTATATGAAGTGCGAGAAAATCGATACACATCCATGCCCCAATTATCGTGGGGGATCGGTCAAGTTAGGCAGCACTTTCCACTGAAAATCCCTGTGGATATCCACATTTCCAGCTCGACACCAATAACTTCTTAGATACCAGGACGCGCTTAGAATAAGGCTAAAGCAGCAAGCCTATTATATGGCTGCCTAAATGTGCGGCAAATTAATTCATCACTAATGTATTTTAATATGGCCGTTGAGCAGCAGACACGGGATAGAATCGAGCTTTCTTTTTAAACAGAACAAAAGCAGTCCGCTTCGGCCCACCTCTGAGCAAAATCTTCTTCTGGCATCCGGAGATCTCCGTTCCCATTCTTTGTCGAACATTAAGAAAATGGGACTTTTAGTGGAGCCCTTCTCAGCATGGGAAGATTTAGTTGTCGGGTAACCCCGACTTTATACATCGTTTCCCACCACAGCGCCGGAACCCGTGGAACCCGTCGACCCTCAAGGTCCAAGTGGTCCATTGGTCCCGTCTCTACTGGACGCGAATGATATTTTAATAGTAAAAGGGGTGCACACATTATCCCGGACATGCCGATGGAGACTTTACTCATAATTCTCCCTGCTAATTAGCGTTAGGCTTTATCCTTCAGAGTCACCGATCCTGAAGCTCTGGGCGTTGAAGATCTAACTAGCAACGGCATCAAGCTGCATGATATTATCCTGGAAATGCAGTCTAATGCTTCGGTACACTGTCGCCCCACTCCATCATAGTACCCAGACTTCCCCTGGAACTGGTGCGTTGCTTACTGCTCCGGTTTCTCCTTGGGCTACTAAAACGCAGGCACGTGTACAGTCTGCAGGAAATCAGGGACAAATACTTCCATCTAGGTCCGTATTGAAAGCAATGATTCTACTGCACTTATCAATCTACCCTTGGGTGAGCGGCCCAAGTCGAGCTTTGAGGAATCGATTTATGAACTAAAGGAATGGCCAATGCTAAGCGAATAAGGGGAGGTACCATATCCAGGTAGACGCGCATATAGACCAACCGAGGCAAAAAATGAACTTCCTTGGGCCACGGCTCTCTATGACTTTAACAAGCACAAAGCCACCACAAGTCAGCTCACCAAGTGCTACATTAATCGTTCTAGACTATCGCAATCGATAACCAACAGCAGCTCCGCTCACAACACACATTCAACAGCTAGCAATCTATCATACATACCCTGCACCTTTCTCCATATCTCAAAGACCAAAGTCAATACTCCCTCTCAAGTCCAAAATGCTCTCACTCCTATTTCTACGCAATCCAAGCCTCAACCTCCTCAGAAAGCCCACATTCCACGGAACAACGACCATCAACAAAATCGAATAAGCAGCCATTAGACTATGTGGAAGACGATGTGTAAACAGTTACACCAGGGAGAACTTAGCCAAACTTTCTCAGTACGCCTACCAGCGATTACATACTAGGAGATATGGTTTACTGGGATGGTTATTAGTGTTCTGTGTATTATTATGCGGAGCATATACCGGCTGGCTGAGCTGTCTCAAGGATGGTTGGGGTATCTCATCACATATGAGAAGTGTTTCATCTTATTGGACGCTGTAATAATGGCTATAGCAGTCGGGATCTTGGCTATCTTTCATTTTGATGATACCTACCAGTTAGTCCACGGGTGGGAAGACGCTATCGGGAGCTGGCGCCGATCATTGTCGAATAATACATAGTGCATGCCAAGCATCTATTGGCAAACCGAGACTGCAAGACTCTGCTCCGCGTAAGTGAATAACTAAATGTCCGTTTCCTGTATGCAAACCCTTTCACCCAGTCATAGTTCAATCCGTCAACCAGCCTATTAATTTCAGGACTGTTTGTGCCTCGGAAGGCCGAAAAGCCCAATGCTGCACTATACCAGCTGTAAGTTGCTAACCCCCTACATCATATTTGTTATCTCATCAATGTTGTGTTAAACTTATTGATGTTTCAGTCGGGCTTGGGCTTTATATGCCATGACGCGATCTAGGCCTCGGAAATAACCGTAAAGACCGAGGACCAGACCGCACCAGACCGGACCGTACCAGTCTTGAGTCCTGACTCTGGGGAGGCTTGGTCCTACAGTCCTATAAACAAGATAAACAGATCTAAACCTCTGATATATATATAAGCTGTATATAGCCGCTTACCAGTCTATATCTTTAGTATTTTATTAGATAATTGAGCTCTTTAATTAAAGAGTAATAAAAAGTATAGTTAGCTATAGAAATGTATATTTAAAATATTAAGATAGGCTGTGGATAGAGTAATACTTAAAATAGCCCACGGCCCAGAGAAGTAGCCCTTTTTGGCTGCCTTCTAAATGTCACATTGTTAAAAAGAGTTAAGTTCAGTTATGGAAGGTGTGCTGAAGATAGCACAGTAATTATGTTAGATGACTTAGATATTGTCCTTCAGATGCTTACTATATAGGACTTATATAGATTTTTAGATGAAGATTCTATTCTAAGTCTTGTATATATACGGTGTTTATCCTCCTAGCGAGATAGAAGCTCCCTGTAGATTAATATATCCAGCTGGAGTCAACCCTCCCTATGTGGGCGCATCCTCAGAAGAAAGATAAAAACATCTGTGCTCGGTTGTTTGTGGAGATTTATTCTTTAGTATATGCTATTCTAAATCCTATGTTCTTAATAGGTTGATAGTTATTAGTAATGCCTATCGTGAAAAGATTATATCAACTTGGTTATGAATTTAAGATTCAGTGATTCTTCTATAGTGATGAACATACAACCTTTAACGGTAGCTACCTAAAATAAGGGTATGATCTGAACGTTATCAGAACCCATGTCCACAGGCGTCGGCAAAGGCCAAGCCAAGTCTATCGTGTTGAATAGTGGGCACCTAAGTTCCAGGACCTTTCGTCCGGCAACGCTTGTTATAAGTATCTGTGCTAGAGAAGCGTGAGTTGACTGGTTCTGAGGCGGGTAAGTAATTACATGACTGGGATATATGATAATATGAGGCTGTTAAAAGTTTTGGATATAGTATCCTTCTTCTGTTCAGACACATCCCAAGCGTGGTCAGCTGGGTAATTATTCGAACGACTGAGCCGCCGGATCAGGTGGGCTTAGCCCCATTTCTTGTTTTTTTGTTTTTCCTAAAGTCCTTCTTTGCGCTCCAAGGTTTCATTTTGCTGTTCAGTTGTGAGGGTAATATGCTCCTGGACTGCTTTCTCTAGGTTTTATAATCGAGTCTTCAGCTCCTCGTGATCAGTCCTTGAGGTATATTCTGAGCAGTGCTGAATGAGCCTCCTAGATCAGTAGTATATATTCGGAAGCGTAGTTTGCACGGGCCCTTACAGATGGATATCCTCGATGCCAAACTGAACAATGGCCTGACTACATTGGTTGACGTTGATGATGTGCAGACTGTACCCTAATCCCTTCGAGTTGCCACATGTTACAGAAACATTCCATAACTCAGCAAATCTTTGTGCTGGTCATGACATAGGAACCCAAAGCCTCCCCGGGTTTGCGAGGCATGAAGGCTGTCACATTGTACAAGTATGTTGTTTTCTCGAGCACTCGATACTACCTGAGATACCTAGCAGGTTGTTAACGTATCCGCAAACAGTCTGGTTCCACCCTCGGGATATCATGCAATGTAACTATCGTCATCCTATCCGATGTCGATGAGTCATGCAATGATCTCTATTGCAATAATCTCTATCACAGTCGGTTTTATATCTTAATGAATAATAATAATACACGTAATCGATTACTAAGTCCAGCCTATCCTTATCAGTTCCCCTTCTCGTGAGTGAATTGTCAAGCTATGCTCTATTTTCATTTTGAGGTGGGCGGAACAGCCCGGAGTTACGTCAGTTGGAGCCAGATGCTGAGTTTGCGGAAGATTCCTTGTCATGACCATTTCAAACCATGCAGGGATATATCGACAAGAAGATCGAATGGATGGACCTATGAATAACATGATTCTATGACGGTACGACTAAATATTGTTACATGTTAGTGATATCATACAGTGGACAATGGACGATAATTGTGTACGCCGCCAGCCGTAGTAAGGACTTATAAATCAACACAAACTATCCCAGGGCTACCCAGAATTCATCTTCAAGAAAACTTACACCTCTATATCACTACCTCTTCCTGACTCAAAACAAAATGCCTTCCAAGGTAAGAAGTTCTATCATCTTTGTATTCCATTTTTCACATACTTACTTGAACTACTAGATACCATATGTGAGCGCCATTACCCCCGTCGCTATCTTCGGGATATTTGAGAAATATGTGTGTTCATGCTCCATTCGAAGCATCCTTTTTTTCCGTTCTTGGCCCTATTTCTAATGCATAAATAAACTTCGAAAAGGATACGGACAAAAATGGTACTTGAGTGCTCTTGAATAAGACTTTCAATCAGCTAACGCAGTTTTAGGCCTTTCTCCAAACGAAATCCTCAAGCTCTCTCAGGACATGACCGATACAAAAGAGGAAGCTATGACTGGCTTCGCTAGGATACTGGCTATGGACAAAAATGGAGACCAGAAGCTCACCTGCCATGGTAAGCCCTTTCTACCTTTTGAACCTATGTGCTCTCCTTATACCTGTTGCCCATTCTCCATGTGCTATCATCGACTTCTATAATACCTGATCCCCAGTGTTTACATCCCTGCTGACATTTGCAACAGAGATGCTTGGGGACTGGCTTAATTGGGAGAAGGACAACGGGTGGCCTGATGCCAAATGGGTGGAAGAATAGATGTTCTGGGCGGTTATGGGATGCGCTCGTTCTACCCCTTTGCCAGTGGAAAAGTTGTACTCCAGTCATAGTCTCCTAGTTAATTAGGAATCAAGTTTAAGGAACATCCAGTCTCCGCTGTCGATACCGAGCTTCGACAAGTCCCTCCATATAGTCTTTTCCATGAGGAACCCTATACTCCATTAGTTTAAGAGATAGTGACCGTGGGAAAGACTGTAATGTCAGGGCCGATCGACATGGCTGCTCTGCGCCTGGACTGACATGGAACTGACACTGTGGAATTAGAATTTGAATGAATTAGTTGCTCACAACGACACCTCCAAATTCGACGTTCCTAGAGAGGCGAAATACTGAACATAAATCATACGCAATGAAGGAAAACAGGAGGCGAATGATATTGTGACCAAAATCCTTTTACTTTCCCTCTCTCTTTGCATAGTAGTCTGACCCTCTAGAAACTAGACATACCCAAGTCGCCCAATGAGACTCAAGATTCCCAACTTCTTTCTCATACCAAAGCATTAAAGCCCCGTCCACCTACCGCAATGCACGACCCTCTGCATATCCCCGAAGAATGTGATTGTATCCGTTGATTATCCTCACGCGAGGGTCGCCATCCGGTTGTATCTGGAATATTGCGTCGCCTTCACTCAACCTCTAGAATTCGACTAGCTCACAGAGCCGGCAAATCCTTGAGATCCCGCTGGGCTCAACGGCAAGGTCGACTTGAACCAATCCTTGAAAGATCGTCTAGACTTCGAGAGGAGCTGCTTCTCTGACAACATCTCCAAGATGTAACTTTTGGAAAACCTCCCTAGGGTGGCTTTGGTATTTTGGACAGCGGATTCGTACGGTCCTGCAGAATTAGAACATAACGAGGAACAGGGAGGCTTCTCACCTCTGGAAGGTTTAGATTAAGGACCGACAAATGATTTTCAATTCCAGCCAGCCTTTCAGCAACCCAGACTTCGGCCATAGAGCCAAGGAGATGGCATTTCTCACGAAGATAACGACAATACCTCTCCAATATATCCTCATAAGCAGCAATCTGCTTACCTTCTATTGTTTCGGCGGGTTGTAAGAGAACCACCGGATCATCATTGCTCATGGGAAAGAAGCCGGTAGGCCCGTACTGGCGCAGAACCCTGCGGACACCCTCCTCATGGACGGCTATGTCGACAAGGATGGCGCCGTCTGGATGGACTATCTTATTATCGGCAACCCGTCAGTAGTTGTGATCTTGGAGAGGCACTGCTGCTCTGACCATGGATCGAACACTGACCATGGGATACCTTTGGTGACTGCAACACCATACACGTACGGTCCGTATCGTTTTTGTGATGTGTAAGCCCCGCCTAACACTCGAATCGGAGAAGAATATTTAAATAGGCCGCATGAACCCAGCTCCGTTTCATACACTCTTCTCTTAATATGCTTTATCTTCAAAAATTTTCTGCTCTTTTCTCAGAGAGGTACTCGTCTCAGATTACTTCAGATAAGATATGGAGATTTTAAAAGCAAATGAAGTCTGCAGGAAGAGCGACGACAACATGAAGTTCTTGTACGTGAAGTATTTTGTATGCCAGGAAGGTGCTCTATATTACGGAAAATGGGAAAACCGACATCAGCCCCCAGAGAAAAATTCGTAGCCCAATTCAGTGCGACTGAGTTCAGGTGCATTCTGGAAAGGATAAGACTTTCCTCCAGTGACACCGCATTTAGTCTGCGCCTCTGCGTTGCTCACAGGCTCATATACCACCACTGCCGCTGCTCCATTGTTCCAGAGGTCCAGGTAGTTGTGTTTTAAGGCCTGTAGTGTGCCTAATGAGTCGATTCTGGGAGGAATAGGAGCCTTCGAAGCCTCGCTACCCGTAATAGCAAGCAAACATAACAATGGAGTGGCCGCAAGAGATTGAAGATACATCTTCAAGGCCCTTCATACGTAGTAAATCTCCCGATGGAGGCAATGTTGAATCTAGGAAGAGAGCCAATGGTCTGCGATGTAAGTGGCAAGTTTGGGGCAACTCTTTTAGTTTAATATGTTAGGCATGTAACATTCTTTGAGGTCCTTTTGTGCTATTCAAGGCTTTTATTATTACGTCACGGATCTGATGCAGAACTGACCCGTAATTCTGCAGAACCTGGAGCGGATGATACTAAAAGAAGTATAGGGGCTGATAGCCTGCGTAGAGAGTGCCGCGATGACAAAATATAAACGAAGATGGTTGAACCGAGAGAGGTAACTAGTGACCTAGCGATTAGAACCTAATAGGCAAGGAGATAGTCAGAACTTGTACCGGAGAATGTAAGGTAGTAAGCTATGAAATTCCTAGGCACCTTGTTCATTAGACAGAAATGCAGTCGACTGACAATCTTATATATTGGCTCGTAGTCTATGACCTATTTTCTCGGTGCAGGGTATAGTCACACTCAATGAGTAAGCATTCCCTCAGCTAAGATAACTTAATGTTCAAGCCGAGAGCAAAATATCTTTACTTTTATTTCCTTGGTTCCCATCATCTCCTGATTGGCAGGGACCTTTCCATTTTTGTTTTATCACTGGTCACTAATAATGGGCTGTGTCATAACAGGCGCAAAGAGAACAGTCCAGTTAATAAGGATGGTCTTTGTAACCTACGATGTACATGTTTTCTGTTTTCTTTCTTTCTATACCATGCCTATTCTCCACAGCTTATCAGCACCAGTCTTCCTCAATAAACAATTAACACATTCTGTACAGCCAATATACGATAAATCTACTGTTAGAATCCTTGGTAGTATCCTTTTTCTCTCCCTTTCTGCACCGTTTGTTTCAGGGCAAACCCTTATAGTACTTAATTACACTGAAGATGATTATAATATGGAGACAGTCTAGAAATTCTGAAAAGTCAGATCGCTTGTTCAGTCATGATAGACGTATACGACGTAAAATATCAAGTCAACAGAAATTGATCTGATTCTATACAGAATTTACTACGTATATGAAGTTCTATACTTTACTTGATCGAGGCCTGATCCATGAATAAAGAACAAAATCATCAGATACAAGGCCATGAGATATCAAGATTCAATAATTCCCATGATTCTAAATTTTAATTAATATATGCCCGTCGCACGTTTCAGGAAATGAACTTACTCATCTTCCTTAAGTATGATGTAGCTTTCCCCATCGGCCTTGACCTCCGTTCCAGCATCCTATATCGGGCATCAATCACACTGCCTATCTTATATCATAATGAGGGGTATAGACTGTACCTTGGAAAACAGCACGGTATCTCCTTCTCTGACCTCCAAGGGCTGAACAGTTCCATCATCTAACACCTTTCCATTGCCGACTGCCACAACCTTTCCCTCAATAGGCTTCGCCCTCTTGGTCTCAGGAATGGAAGAATCTGCCGCATCTGCAGAGTCATCTCTCACCCTAACCATCAATCTATCCTGAGTAGGTCTGATCTTCTGTGGCAAGTGAGACAGGAACAGCAGATGGAAAATGTTAAAAAGCCTACCATCTTAGGGTACTGGTCTTTTCACGGTCTTTGTAAAGGAGTATAGATCGCTGCGCAATTGATAAGAGTAGTTTATTTTAAAGCCAGGGCTGCGGTTCAATTTATAACAAATTGCGCCACTTGAAACCAGTGATTACCCCACCGTACGGCAGAGCTATCATGGCAGTCGCTAAAAGCTTAACGACATGTCTATTCTAATACCAAATTATAATACATGTCCTTATACGTGTCTAACTAAGATTTGGCCACACAATAGGCAAGGAGGCTAACCATTGGTGGGCTGATCTGTAGGATTTTTACGATCTTGCGCGATTTATGCAGTCAAAATTAGATTCATCGAATTTTTAATCACGTCGATGGCATCAACATGCCACATTTAGACTGACACGTGTCAATATACCCCGTTTTCCTACAGCTTTTTCAGATCCACTTGGTTCCTCATCGCGACGATCTTTCTTACTCTTACCGCTCGTTAGTGAACCTCGCCGCCTATGCAGGAAAAGTTCCATTGCTAAATTAGCACCCAGCCTCATAATTTTTCAACTCAAATGAGCCAGTGATCAACTGGGTGTGGTAAAGAATAATAATTATGTTATTATAGTGCTACGAAAAATCACCTCAAACTATATATTTGTTTACCAAGCCGCTGCAAGGGCCCAAACAGGAGATCCAGTAGCATTCTACTTACTATCTCTCATAGTGAGCCCGTATTGCCAACCAAAGGTAACTAAGTCATGGCACGGTAGTTAACCAATATCAAGGTTAAGGCAGCAAGGTCGGATGCCATCCCCTATCAGAGAAACTCGGATGGTCCACTGGGAGAGTTCCTAGTGAGATTAGCATAGGCTCAGATTAGCCTACCGAAAGCTTGACCACACGGACTTCTGTCATATATCGTATCGAAAAAACAACGGCATGACTTGGACTGAAATGTCATGCAGAGACAGCTGGCGGTGCTCGGATTTGGCAATGTGTGGTATCAGCCCGGTGGCAGGTTAGAAATGTTCTTACCTTAGTTCCATGACTGAAAATATAAATTGGTTCTTCTCTTTTCACCTTTCATTCTTCCTGGAATCATGCAATATCAGATAAGATGCGGACTTCCACCAACCATACGCTCAAACTCAATCAATTTTTCTTGGACTTCAAGCGGCACTGTTTCTAATTCCATTTTTATTACCGTACTGTGATATAAATTAATATATAATTAAATAAATTAAATTAATATATACCGTGCTTAAGTTACTTAGTCTATATACTCTACTTAGAGTCTAGGGGCGGTAAGACAAGATGTACATCCACACAGCCCTTCTGCATTTAGATTCCATATAGTTACAAACTGTATATTACCCGTTGCGTCATACATAGCGGAATCCGGGAACTGTCAGGCGATAGAAACTAGTGATTGGAACTGGATCATCAATTCTTGTAGGGGCTTTTTTTACTGTTTATGCCTTGCTCTGTTCAGTTCAATTTTATACATATACAATGATATGTCTATACAAGGCTGGATAAGCCGCTCGTTCGTACTTGTTTGCTGGAAATAAGAACGACTCTCTGAATATAGCTGGTATGATGACTATTTCACTCCATGACAAAGATGAACACTATGCTGATTTTCACCCAAGGTATCTTGTATCTAGTGTGTGGACGGGCTTATGGAAAGGAGCCAAGGGTATGTGATTGTGTGCATTGACCAGCGTATCTTATACTCTACTTTTAGATTTCTGGTTTTGATTCTACGTAGATCATGGTACACATTTGGATGAAAAAGATTCATTGAAAAACTCTATACCGACAATATCTATAATAAGGAAACTAAGCCCAGTCATCTCGGAGTCAATGCGCCTATACATGACGGTGCATGATCTCCCCAATGACACTGCTGCTCACCCCCTAAGCGAAGGTAGGCAGAACAGTGATGGTTGTAGTGCTCGTGACCACGACTTGCTTAGTGACAGTCACCACGGTGACAGAGGCGGCATCTGCGGTGGAGGTAGTGCCAGCAGCCGCAGCAGAAGTGGAGCTGAGGACGGCCCTGGTGGTGCTACCAGCGGTAGCATGGGTGGGGCCAGCGGTTTCAGCGGGGGTGACGGTGGTGGTGAAGGTCTCGTCACAGTCACTAGTGGACTCGGCGGCCGCAGAGGAAGCAGCAGAAGTAGTGGACACGCTGGTAACGACGCTGCTGCTGGCGGCACTGCTGGGGTAGGCAGTCTTCTGAGGGGGAGCGGACACCGACGCGCTGGAAGCAGGGATGGAGTCGCCAGCAGCGATGATCTTGGCTGCGGCAGCCTCGGCGGCAATCATGACGATAGCCTGGGTGTTGCCGGTGGGCAGGTCGGGGTGGATACTAGCGTCAACGACGTACTAGTTTACGTTTATGTTAGTGCTGGTCCGGGTTGAATATGGGATTGGAAAGCTTACCAAGTTCTCAGTACCGTAAACCTTGGCGTTGGTGTCGACGACGGAGGTACCGCCGGTGCGGCCGTCGTCAGTACCCATCTTGGTGGTTCCGACGAAGTGGTCACCGCTGGTCTTCTTCGCGATGATATCAGCCGCAGAGTTAAAGTCGGGGACGGTGAATCCGGCGGTCGAGTTCTTCATGTCGTTCAGCAGGCCCTGGAGGAACTGAGTGACGGCTTCCTTGTCCGCATCGGTCTGCAACCAGGGTTCAGTCTCCATGACAGTGGCTCCGGAGGATCCGATTCCAAGAACACCAGAGGAGGTTGCACCGTGGGTCAAGTACAACTTCATGGTGATTACACCATCGCTAGCGACGCTGCAAGATCCCTGGTAGAAGCGGGTCTTGCCATCACTGCCTTGGTTGGAGGTCCAGAACTGCAGACGATGGCCACCCTCGGACAACACACCGGAGCCTTCAGAGTAGAGCTGCTGGACAGCAGCAGCCGGGCCAGAGAGGACGCTGGAGGTGTTGAAAGCAGTGAAGTTACTCTTGGTGTGGACGTTGATGGTGAACATAGGGTGGTCCTTCAGGTTCTCACCGACGGGCAGATTGATCCACTCCTCTTGGGCAGGGACGGTGATGCCAGTGGAGCCGCTCTTCACATTCTCGATCTGCTTAGCAGGACCGATACCCGAGTTGAACAAGACACGAGGGGTAGACATAGAACCAGCAGCCAGGATAACCTTGCCACCAGCACGGATGTTAATGATCTCGACGGCACCAGATTCAGTCTCAACCTCGACACCGGTGACACGACCACCGCGACGTACCAGACGGCGGACCTTGGTCTGAAGACGGAGGGAGAAGTTGTCGAGCTCCTGAGCTAAGGGGAGGTAAGAACGGACGGGGCCAGCACGAATGCCGTTAGCAACGGACCAGGATGGGTAACCATAAGCCTGGTGCTTCTCATTCGGCTGCTCGTGTTGGTTGACTGACTTCCAGCCGAGGCCCTTGAAGAAGCCTCCGAGGACATTGTACATGCCATAGTCATAGCGCTTGCCATCAGCGGACGGGAGAGTGCTACCAGGATTGCGCTCATACAAACGGGAAGCGGCGTCCTTGACATCGTCCCACTTCCAGCCAGCAGGCCACTTGTCGTTGAAATCGGCCTCCTGGGGGTAGATGAACGCAAGAGCGTTAACTATAGTGCCACCACCAAGAACACAGCCCGCCATACCAGCAGTATCATCGCAAAGATAATCATCCAGGAGACCAAGCTTGGAAAGGGAGCTACCAAGGGCGGGAACATCGTGGGGAGTCAGGGAGTTATTCCACGAAAGAGCGTTCTTGTTACCCATCTGCACGGTAGGAGCAACACCACGTTCAATCAGCAAGACCTTCTTCTTGGTCTCGGCCAATCGCTCGGCAGTGATGATACCAGCCGGACCACCTCCCACAACAATGTAATCATAAGTCGAGTTCAAGACAGTTGGGGCAGCGCTAGCTGAGGGGGTGCTGCTAGGGCTAGCGGAGGCAGAGGCGGAGGGGGTGGTGGTGGAAGACGCCTTGGCCTTGGAGGCCCAGGTAGAGTACTTGGCGGACTTGGCGTCAGAGAGGACCATTTGGAAGCTACCAAATCCAGCAGCGTGGTAGTTCAGAGTAGCATCGGAAGAAGCAGGGGACTTGGGGCTGGTCTTGCTAAGAGCCCAGCCGAAGAAGTAGCTGTCCATATCCTTACCGAAGGTGGTGGGCGTTCCAACGACACAGCCGCGGCACAGGAAGGTATAGGTAAGGTGAGTGCTGTTGATGGAAGTTCCATCGGGGATCTCTTCAAGGCTGGCATCTCCGCTGTAGACATCAGGGTTGGTGTAAGACTGCGCTTCACGCAGACTCGAGACGACGGAGTCGCCGTTGGGCCAGGCTCCGATCAAAAGGGCCTTGGTCATCGAGCTTGAAAGACTCACACCACCCCATCCATTGGAGGATGAAAGAGGCACAACCAGCTGGCCGATGAAGTCGGAATCAACCGTTTCGGGGAGGGCCAAGCCGAAGCAAAAGCCGGTCTTTTCATCACACCATCTTTGGAAGTCGATACCGGTTGTCGAATCACTGTAAGCGGAAGAGTTGTAGTTCATGGCCGCAGCGCCGAGCGCCGAGCTCAGGGCCACGAGGCCTCCGAAGAAAGAGGAGCGCATTGTCTCTTAATTTACCAGAAATACAGACAGAAACGAAAAGTAGGTCACAAATAAGAAGGAATGATAGTATAACGACAGTAATGAAGGGAACGGGACAAGCTGGCCCAGCAGCAGCCCAGAAAAAAGAGTGACGGCGGTATGGCCGAAAAGAATGACAGGAAAGAAAATGACAGTTGAGTAGGAAAAGCAAGCTGAGTAGCCACCCGGGCAGTTGCTGGCATTCATATAAAATTGAGATAGCCCACTGATTTCACGGCACGGCCCCAATCATGCCAGGCAACCCATATACGCTACGATATTGAAGGACGGTTGGGAGAAAGAAACTAATGCACTGGGCAAATTGAAATTGTGGGAACTGTCTGAGCCAAACCACGCGTGAAGTATCCATGTCCACGGAATCCATGCCTGTTTCTTCCATATCGAAGAAATGCCGTTGGTCCATCGCAAGTTAAGCAATTTGGAGCGGGACCACAAGTGGCCCAAGTGCAACGGTGTGGACATGCCAAGCAGAGCTAATGAAGACATCGGTTTCACCGATAGACAGCGGCCGTTTGAGTTGTATTATGCCCTATAGCGCTTTAATCGCCCAGCCCATCTAGACGAAACACCATCCTCAATAGTTCTTACTGCTGTGGGTTGATCACTAAACCACCCGACTTCATTGGTCTCCGTATCCCGGGACCGTGAACCGGACCAAATGAAAAGAGATTGCCCCAGGGGAAAATCACCCGGAATTTTACCGAATTCTTATTTCGCTGGGAAACCTTGGAAGGGTAAATTGCGTCCTGACAGGCGCTATCTTGGTAAATTGAGGCCAGAGAGCTAAGGTACCCTTAAGACCCTGGTCAGTGGGAACTACCCACGCAAGTGAGGGCCGACCGCACTTAGGTTGATCGAAATACTTCGGTAGATTGAGGGCAGCATGATGCCGAGACCGACAGATATAGACGAGTCATGCCGGTAATTGAGCATCGTGAGCATTCATAGCCGATGGGTTGCTCCGTACGGAGTAAACAGATCGATCTGTGACTGCAAGAGTATCAAGAGAATGAGAGGATTCAAAGGAGGTGTACTCGGTCCGCTCCGAGTGGGGCTCATGATTCAGGCACCGTTTTTAGGGTCTAGGGCAAGGGCTCGGCGGGTCAGCTCCGGGACAGTGAATTCTCTGGATGGGGATTTGATGAAAGAAATAAAGAAAGCATCAAGTATGTATTATTGTTTTATATCAGTTCTACAGACTAAGCTCCACCTCACCTCCTTTCGATAACCTTTCACTCCACTAAACCCAACCGAGATCACCTTTCTTCATTTCTTGGCACTATCACATCATCTATCTACTGTCAGGAAAAGGAAGGAGGGAGGGAGCAGTATCAAATAGGACCAGTCAGCTAGTTAAAGCTTAGAGAATAACATCAACCTACCACCGAGCCGAACCGGTGCGATCCAGTGAGGGTATATAGATATACGTCCATCTGTATACGGATTGAGCTGGTCCGATCTCACATGGCGTCCCAGATGAGGAATACCTAAGCTCGAGGTCAGAGATAAACGAGCAGTGAGGCACGCCCCAAAGGACCGGGGTGAGGTGGCCGACATTACACCGGAAAGGAACCTGGTGTACGGTGCCTCTTCTGGAATATACATAACGCTACCCCGCTCCGTGTTCATTTTGACGTCACGAACTAAGGGGGTAGAAAAGGGGGCAAGTCCCTCTGATTAGAAGATTTTGAAGCAGTTAGGAACAACGCGTGTGGATGGAAGACAACGCCATCTCTTCAGAGGAACGAAGAGAGTCGGTGTCACCAGTTTCTGTACATTCACCTTCACGTTCCTATCTCTTTTCCTTTCCTACCTCATCGTCTAGTCCTCCAATCACTACTCATAGTCAGCGAAATGACGGAAAATACCTTTTTTGATCAATGGGCAGGCCGAAAGATCGACTTTCCTTCGTTTAAGCCTTCAACATAGATCTTGACTGCACTTATAAGTGAGAAAAACACCCAGGAGGGTTCCGATGACTATTGGAGGGATGGATGTATTGGCAGTGCATTTGGGACATTCTTATGTCACGACGCAGCGGATAGTAATCAGCGCAGCATTATGAAAATAATCATGCAGTTTGTTCTACTGTTCAGGTCTAAAAAGACTTCAAAAGGCTTACAGATCCCTAGAATCCCCTGTGAGGGATCTGAGTACCAGCCGGCTGATATGAGGGCTCGTCAAGCCTCAACCTCCTACGAGGATGATTTTGATATTAAAAGTCAAGTGTATGTGCTGGAAATCCTGACAAACCATGGCTGCAAGTCCACCCCGGGTATTCTGGCCAGGAAGGAAGACCTTCAAAAGAAAACAGATTTAGTCCCTGGCGGATATATTGTTTACGTCCTCATGCAGTATCTACTAGGAATACAACTCAGCGAGGAATTCTTCTGGAATTCAGAATACTCGGTGCGGGAGGAAATACGTCAAGCCTTCAAAGCCGCCTGGTTGTAAGCTTCTATCTTCTTTATCCAGATGCAAATTTTGACTCTTCCATTATCCAGGAAATGTGTCAGGGCAGGAATTCTACCGACGCTCCGAGAGATAGGCCATATAATCTGGGACAGAGAAATGAACAAGGCGTACGTAATAAACCCTATTGACAACTAAATTGAGGCATTCTTGGTACATGCCTATGGCGAACCCTACCTAATTTATCAATAGCTATATAATCGGCTTTAGAATGAGTGTTCCTGCAAAGGCACAGTGCGTGTGGCGGGATTGTGAATGGATTGCTTGGGGGATGGCGAAGGTTGAAAACACTTATCGCTGGTTAAGCGACAAGAATCCTAATCCGGATAAGAGTGAGTGGACACTTTGATGCTATGGGGCAGGGTCCGTCTTGCAGCCGCAGCGAAACGAACAATCCGTCTCGAGATATGCCAACGATGGGAGGACGAATGGATACGGGACGCAAAGACAGCCCAGCCGACAACGACCTCGACGCATAGGCTATTCAAGGGGCTAGATAAAAAGATTCTCCAACTGTAAAAGGGCCTCACCAAGCCGCACACGGCGATTACTATTCAGATGCGTATGTACCGAATCGGACTACGTCACTTTTATATAAAATCAACGTGGCCGGGTCAGATCGGTGTCCCTACGAGGAGGGCTCTCAGATGTCGAGGTATGTCCTCCAGCAGCGTCCACTGTACATCGATTGGTACAAGGATATGCTTGATAAGATTAATACAATTAGGAGGTTACACGGCAAGGCCGCAGACTATAATATTCTCATATCCCACCCATAGGCAATTCGTTACGTTGCTGAGTTTATTTATAAAACAGGTCTACTTAGTCAATTCTATAAGGCAGAGCTGACTACGCAAGACACAGAACCTAGCAAAGAAACTAATAAAGTAGACAGGAAAGACACTGATGAAGAGTACATAATGAGACTGGGCAGGGTCAGCCCGGACCGGTAGTTTACAAATATATAGAACTACAAGGGAGGCAGAAGGAGGAACGACACTCAGAGGATGGTCGGACTAGGGGAGGTGCGGTGGCAGGCACGTTAGTCGTGAAAAGCTTTCGATTCCTTTATATATCTTCAATATACAGTTTGGGTTTGGGGAATTAAGTGTACTGGACCAGAATTCTGTCTCACCGGCAAGGTGCCTGCATAGCTAGACATTTCATTAGTTAGGCTCTACCAGGTTAATAGAATTTTGATTGATTGATTGATTGATGCTGTGGGGCGGGCCCATATTTGTTTTTTACTTCGTGATTGTTAAGTCTTGAAAGGGATTTGAATCGTTCAATTAATGCTCTATACTGACACATGGAAACTGGCTAATTGTGTGCCAACAAACTGTACAAACTGTACAAAGTCACAAGCCTTCTGCCGGCGTCCCATTCCAAGTTAACGCCAAAGACAGGTTTCGTCAATTTGGATATACACCTTAAATAATCCATTGGGATACCAACAGAAACAAATGATATCGAAGAAAATCATGAAACAAAAACCACACAAGCTCACGGACCACGAACTCGAGGTTTAAACAAGAACAAGACCAGCACCCACGAAAGTGGACATGACTGTGACCATGCCAACGACGAGAGGCGCCAGGGACATGTTGGGGATGTTCATGACACCAGCAGATGAGGACGAGGAAGAGCTGCCAGAGGAGCTGCCAGAGCTGCCGGTAGCAGAGCCAGAGCCGGGCTCGGCAGTGCCAGTGGAGGTGCTACCACCACCGCTCTGGCTACCCTTGCCAGAGAAACCTTCACCCTTGCCAGCACCGTCCTTCATGAACTTCTTAGCACCCTCGGGGATAGCAGGCAGAGCATCGGTGTCAACGTCCCAGTTGGGGGAGTCCTTGGCAGGGCAAGGGTTGGCACCACCGGTCTGGTTGTAGCCACCGTCGCCCTTGGGGTTGCTGGTCTTCTCGAAGGCCGACTTCAGAGCATCGTAGTCAGAAAGAGTCTTCACCTTGTTATCGTTAATCTCAACAAGACCATATTTGCTAGGCTCCTGGGAGTACTCGTAGACCAGGCCACCAGAGTAGACGCTGGTCATGTCTGTGCTGTAAAGAGAGCTGACTTCCTGGAACTGACGCTTGTTGGTGTTGCAGCCATACTCAGAAAGGAACAGGGGAAGACCGTAGCCAGTGAAGTTCTTCACCTTCTCGTCCCAGCCGGACGTCTTGAAAGAGGAAGGATCACACCAGGAGTAGTCATTGAAAGCGAAGAAGTCACTACGCTCGTCATCAGTACCACAGTTCATGAACTGGGCCATCTGGAGACGGTTGGTGTCGATGTCGGCCTGATCAGAGAGTACATCAATACCCGGTTTCTCATACTCCGACGGATAGGGTCAACTTACAGCAGAGTATCCCACAGGAATTTCACGGTAGTTGCGGCTGCGAATGTACTGGCGGAGATCACGAGTGACCGCCTTGACGTATGGGGCGGCCTTGGAGGAGGGGCCGTCGTTAATAACCTCATTACCGGAGAAGAAAGCCAGAGTGTTCTTGTAGCCGGCAAAGGCATCGACAGTAGCGAAGATGTACTGAAGGTAGTTTTCGTTGTAGGAGACCTTGGGGTTGGCACGGTTGAGGGAGTACTTGGGAGTGTTGACGTCGAGCACCAGGTAGATGCCAGCATCCGCCAGGGCGTTCATACACTCGTCATGGTCCTTGGAGTTATCCACGGAGTAGACACGGATGGTGTTCAGACCGAGATCCTTGAACTTCTCGATGTCACGCTTGCAGCCTTCGGGATCGGCGATGGGGTCGGACAATTTGGAGGAGCCTCCGGGCTGGTAGTCGACACCACGCATGTAGAAACGCTCGTCACCTTTGAAGAAGGCATTTCCCTTCACGGTAACAGCAGTCACATCGTCACGCGCCTTGATGGAAGGAGCGGCGAGGACAGCGGAGGCACCCAAGGTGAGGGTTGTCGCAATGGCGGAACCCTTCATGATGAAAATGAAACTGATTGATTTATCAAACGACTGGAGTGGATTGCGACGGCTCGAAAAGAATGGCGAGATCCGTCTAGAGTGTATTTAATATACGACCGAAAGACCCTCTTACGGTCCAAGAATTACAGACAATAAGTATAGAAGATGAAGAAACGAAGTGGACGTGGTAAGTCTGAACGAATGACTGGGGTGGTTGGGTAGAAGTACGAAGGAAAAGAAGAAGAAGGGATGCAGAAGAGAGGCAGGTTAAGGAAGGGGGGTTGTGGCACGGCTTAAAGCCAACCAGTGTTGCAGGGTCTGCATCCCTGACTTTCGAAACAGCATTGGGGCAGCTGCCAGCATGGGGTATCACCAATTACCGGTAATTTCGCAGCAGATGAGCTCGCGTGGGACAAGAATAGCAATGGCAATGGTAAGTTACATACAAAAGCCAAGCTGGATCAACAGCCGCTAACGGCAGAAGCATTCGTCATCCGCCCTGAAACTCTTGAGATTAATGCTCACTGAGATCTCCCACTGGTCCCAAGAATGGAGGGGATCGGCCCAGGGTCAAAGGGTGTGTGTCGCTAATTGCCCCAAATTACCCCCCATCGGGGGGCTCTGAGTGGCTATCCCTCTTCCACCCAAGCTGAGGGACTTGCCCCGGTTCAATCAATCATTAACGGCGAAGTGGACACACATGGAAGCACAGAAGGAAGGACAGGGCAAGTGAAGGAAGTGGAATGAAGATGGCTTGCCGTGGTGGGGAATGTTTGGTCTGGTCGGTGGGTCTGGACCCGTCGAATCCCTGAGACCCTGACCTCTTGGTTGGCTGATCCCTGCTCCAACCCTGATTCCAGAGTGCACAACAAACTGCAATTGTGATCTATGATTTGTTTACACCGGGTACGGATACACAAGAAGAAAATAAATAGGTCCATTAATTTACTTTTTCTTTAAAAAAAAAATAAAAAATAAAAAAGGTCGACGAAAGAAGTAATCGTAACAGTCCTCAAGGCTACAGATTTCATGTCTTCTCCCAATGACTAAACTCTACTGCACGGGATAAACGAGTCAATTCTCAGGATAAACACTCTCACCTTCCGTCCCAGGTTGGTGACCGTGAAGATCCCTTCAATTGACCCGAGGATTATGGAAAGATAGGGGGTTTGGTCCCCTCTCTCCTCTTGCCCTTAGACATTGTATTATCCTATCCGTATCCCACTTTAAATAAACCCATCCGTCATCGCATTCCAACCTGCCACTCTCCTCAATGACAGAATATGGATGGCTTTGTCATGGCATATTTTGTGGCGTCAGATTGCAGCACCTGCCCCTCCGACTATTAATAGTCGACAGTACATTTGAGTTTGCATGTGGTTTTCATCTGAGACATGCCAGCACATACAGGCAGAAGAATTGTTTCTAAACCAGACGATAAGCGTATGAGTATGTCCAGAATCCAGTCCAGACTTCTATCACTCAAGAAACAACGTAAGAAATCAAGCATCATCAGACTGTCTAAACGAGACCAAATTGCTTAATCAAAAGCAATGACCATAATTATAATCAACCGCCCACATCATCTATCTATCCAATGGTAATTGTTGTTTATTACCTCGCCAAAAATAGGTCTCTGCCCATGGTCCATGGCCAGGGGACCGCCCGCAGTGGCGAATCCGGTTCCGTCGGCGTTTCTCGAGCCACTTTCCTCAATCAACAATGCGGAACTTTACCCGACATTGAAGTCCCCAGGCACCCAAAACCGTTCCAGAGTTCCGGAGCGTCAGGTATGTTTCACATCGCTCGATTTTTTTTTTTTTTTTCTTTTTCATATTTCCATACTCGGTACGGATACGGAGTACGGAGTATGGTTTGATAAAGTAATGAGAACAAACACTACAACGTGAAGAGTACTTAAGAGTCCAGAGTACTACAAAGGACGCATAATTCTGCACAAAAAGAACAAGAAAATATACTGTTTGGCCCCCAACCACTATATATAATCCCAGCCCCTATCCATCCACTCAACAACTACACTATTAAAACAAGCCTTGACTAGAGACACAACAAGAGATAAACAAGACTCCATCACATCGATGATCACAATGAATGCACTCACTCCCCGTAGTCGAGACTTTTATAAAGTTTTCATTTCCGGAATCTCTTATTCTTTCGAACAAGAAACGGAACCCCATAGACCCGGATCCAGAATCACGGCTTGGAAATTTGTGCGACCGCGAGCGGAGTTCTAGATCCGTAATGGGCGCAAGTCTGGATTTTTGCTCGGTGTGAAGATATGGGCTGAGAACAGCAGGGATGGTTGTGTAATTTTGTCTTATATTTTGAATTATAATTAGTAAAATAGAACACTATCTCAACAAGATCCGGTGTAGTGTAACGGCTATCATACCTGTCTTTCACACAGGAGATCGGGGTTCGATTCCCCGCACCGGAATATCTTTTTCTTTTTTTGAATTTTAGTGCTTTTTACTTCTTACTGTACTATATAACTATATAGATACCTCCTTCCTGTTATAAATTGTTTTTCAATCTCAATTCCAATGCTTACATGAGTTTGGAATTATCATTCTTTTAATTTCTATTTTCTCTTTCATTTTCCATGTAAACACTATCTATCCCCAACCACCTTTCCTCTGCACAGATCGCACTGATGTATATCTCTGCTTATCAAAAGCACAGGCGAATTTATATATATTGATTCATCGGTTATCCGGATACTAGGAACACATTGAATTAATACCCTCAACACTACCTTCATACAACAATTCCTCCACTTCTATCATGCACAATACACATACCCCCTAGCTCCACACATTCAAGCAGTATACATATATATACAATCAAAATGATACCATCAACCCGTATGCTAAAGCAGCTCACCAACAAAACACCCCCAACAAGGACCACCTCCCCAACATCCCCAGCGCAATCAATCAAACAAAAAAAATTAATCTCTCCTCTTCTCCAACCGATCAGTCCCATGCACCCAATCCAACAACCCAATACTCCCATAATTCAAATTAAACTTCTCATGATGCAAATCATGCATCTTCGCCTTGCCCCCAAAGAAATCAAACCCACTATGCACAGTCGCCGTCACAAACAACTCATACCCCAAGAACACCCAAAAAGTCAATACATGACTGCCCAGCAACTGCGGCGGCAGGGAGATAGGCAGCGCATTAGCGAAGATCTGTTCGATGGGATGAGCGAACTGCGCGGCGAGGGCGATGGGGGCCGTGAACTTGTGGTGCTGTTTGTGGATGCGAACGTAGAAGAAGGGCCGGTGGAGGAAGCGGTGGGCGTAGTAGAAGAGGGCTTCGCGGGCGAGGAGGCTGAGGATGAAGTCGCGGGCTAGGATTGGGAGACTTGGGAAGGTTGGGGTGAGGGTGTAGGAGGAGGTGTTGTTGTTGTTTAGGAGCTTTAGTTGGATTAGGTGGAGGGTTGTGGTTAGGAGTTGGTTGCGGAGGACGATCTTTAGGCAGTGGTGGATTTCTTTTTTGGTGGGTTGTTTTGGGGCCGGTTGGATTTTGTGGTGGCTTGACCAGGTTGGGAATACAGTGGGTAGGGCCAGGTAGATGAGGGAGGGGAGCCAGAAGGCGAGGATTTGGATTAGGAGAGTTCCTGTGAATTCTATTGTTGTAGGGCTGTAGGTCGTCACGATGGTGGCCCAGAGGGTTTCGAGTTTCGGCATGGTGGGTTGGGGTTACGGGGTTTGTGTTGATTGATTGTTTTGGTGGATAGTAGAGCGTAGTTAATTGATGTATATCATGGTCCTTGGGCTTTATAAAAGTGCCATTGATGTAGATGTAACGTTGTATGGTAGAGGTGGAGTTGGTATAAGGTACCTCGGCATTGATATGGTTCGTATAGCATATACTGATGTTCATATGTTCTGTCACCCCGCAAAAGCCAAGCACCCAACGGGCTGTGTCGGGCCATGTCGAACCACTAACTTAATTGGCGTTGCATTGGACAAAACTTTGACTAATGGCTACAATTAAAGCTGGCCCAAGCGTCTAGCCATTAGTATCTTTATGGCACTTCCAACGTTTTCTTAAAACAGTTATAAGCTTATGAAGAAAACCATGAAAATTAAACGCGCAATGAGATTCCTTGTGAATCGATAATGATAACTACACTACTTGCCGGTGTTGTAACTATAGCAATGCGAAAGGAAGCTGCGACCTCAACCTCGAGGCTCATAGTCAAAATGGCTACAACAATTTAGCACCTTCCTTGTAAGACTGTTGCTGCAAGTTAATAGTCTCGATTGTATTCATGTCCGGAATCTCTCACAAAACACTCGCAGCATTATCTTCCAACTCTCCCCAATCATCTCCAACTTTCAGATTAAGTAGCACCATACTCTTCATCTATTAAGGTAAGCCGGACAATTCACATGGCAAGTGAACAAGATTCTGACTTATTAGATGCATTACATTCAATACGGAATCGGCTGTCTTCTTTCCCTCCTCCTGACTGGAGCCAAAGGGCACGAAGACAAACTCTTCACAAGAAGCCCCGCATTCGCCGCTTATCCCTACCCTACCTTTTTCATTGAATGCCCAGAACTCGGCGCTTCAGGTTCGCGCATGGATATCGCACACGCGTACGACGGTAGCGGGTATTTCCCAGAGCTGCGATGGCCCATCACCACGGCAGACACGCAGGAATATGTTCTGGTGTGCGAAGACCCCGACGAACCTCTGGCCGCACCAGTTATCCACGGACTCTACTATGGAATCCCGCCAGTTTTTATCGGTTTACACCGTTCCGATTTCATTGAAGCGGACTCCAGGAACGATCCTTATCGTCTTCGCGGTGGATTCAAGTATGGCGCAAACAGCGGAGGCGGGGTCTATCTGGCGCCGCAACCAGTTCGAGGCCAGGGCCCTCACCGATATTTCTTCGAGCTCATCGCGCTTAACCATACTATCGATCAAAGCAAACTCAGCCCTATGGCGACTTTCGACGAAATTGCGCGAGAGATCGAAGGCAAGATTATCGGATGGGGTGAGTGGTTTGGGGTCATCGAGAGAACTTGATAGGGAATGTATGACCAGCAGATGTTGGGATAAAGCTTTAGGTTTGCTTGTGCAGTACGCACTATTCAACTGGGAAGTTAATGTATGTATTAATTAGCACTCTTTAGTGTCCCCATATGACCATTTTGAAACCTTTGCGAGGTGGGCAGTTTAAATGGACCTGTACGTATGTATATATGTACAAGTACTAAGTGTGTAGTACTATACTTTTTAAGTCACTGTCACGTGTCATGCGCGCAATCTTTCCCTGGAGTTAGATTTCAATAGATCCATAAGAAGACTCTCCGTGTTGGCAAGATAAGCTTGGGGCTAAAGCCTATAACGGACAGAAGCCATTATTGAGCGCAATGTTTGGCGGAGAGCGGCGGAAGATTGTATATTGATAGCAGCCCTATCACACAGATCAGTTCGCAGTTTCGAAAACATCCACTCAGAATTAATGAAATCGCTCGGTATCTTTTCCAACCCGAATTATATTAGAGAGGTAGCGTAAGTTCTTCTAATGAAGGCACGGCATTGTTAGTGAACACACAGAATATATAAATATGGCCAGGATTTCTCTTCCGCCCGCTTCCACTGATCTGCAAAATACCAAAGCTATAGGATCTTCACATCTCGCCAAATGAAGTCCTTTTACACCCTTTCTTTTCTCGCTTTCAGCTGTATCGCAGCAATAGAAGCCATTCTGCAGGCGCCATTCAACCTGCAAATCCCATCCAGGAACCGTTACAACTATGCCATAAAAAGACGTTTGGATGACCACCTCGTCGAGGTGGATTTCTATGTAACAAACGGCGGATGGTTTTTCAAGTCCAGCCAACTGGACTGTGATTGTTCATCGGTTAAGGGCAAATTTGATCTATGTGAGTACAGCTATGCTGCATTATACTATGAAAGTGTGTGCACTGGAAACTGATATTCTTGCGAAGGATTTGGGTGCATTCATTAAATACCAATACTAACTAATCGATTCGCAGCCGCTTATCACGAAGTAAAAACAAAATAGGCGCCCCCGAACAGGCTCGCAGTATCCAGTTGCTCATGTCTGGATGAGGATTCTTTTCCTTATACCAGCGATAGTTATCTTGAAGCTTGGCCATATCCCAAGCGATCCATCGAGTGTCCCGCCACACGTCCACTTCCCTTGCCTGCTCACCCATTCTAAAACCAATTATGTAACTATTAGACAACGTTCACTGTTAGCAATGCCCAAGGATACCTCCTTTTCTTTTGTCAACAGGAGTTATCACGTACGCTTTGTTCGCCTCTGCATGCCAGAAGACATGCTCTATGTCTTGGAGCACTGGTACAACTCCTAAGCTAACACAATCGCTGGATGATAGAAGAAGAGTCAAAATTTGTCTCTCGATAAAAGGCGTTCAATACTTACATCCAGGCCTCCCTGAACGCTTGGCGGATCTTTTCACGCACTGAGTATTCCAAGTCCCAAAAAATCGCCTTGCTGAGTTGCAGTCCGGGTAACTGGCTCAAAAGGAGGTAAACGATATATCCGCCTGGTACCGAATCTGTATCCTTCTGGTGCTCAACTTTCATGGACACAACACGGGGGGTGGATTGGCAGCCTTTCTTTGTTAGGGTGTTGAGTGCCCCTAATTGACTAGTGATATAGTAATCAAGCTTCTGAGAGGCTTGATCACCCCTTTGTTGAGCCGTCGCGTACTCAGATCCCTCAAATGGAATTCTAGGAATCTGCCAGCCATTTGAAATTTCTTAGGGCCTGGGTGGAAGAACATACTGCTTGAATACTTTCATTATGGCGCTTCGAGTACTGTCCATAAAATTCTTGCACAAGAAGGTGCCATAAGCGCCCCCGATAGTTCCATACTTGTAGTAGCCCTCTGCATTTACTTGACTGGTTTTTTCATTGATAAGTCCAGTCAAGGTCCATGTTGAAGGCCCGTTCCAAAAGTGAACCTCTCGACCTTCCCATCCATCAAAAAAGGTATTGTCGGTCATTTCGTCGACTATGAGGAGATAGATGATATGATAGTATGAAGAGAGGCAGAGAAGCAGTAGCGTGAAGGATCAAATGAAAGAAAGGTGACAGGTGTCACTTGGGCGGAGGATGAAGGTGAGGGGTAGTCTACGTAGAACTGATATAACACAATATGCGTCAACAGTTGAACCGGGAAGTGGAGAAGAACCACTGCTAGGTGCCTACGTAGTACCTAGGTGCCTAACTATTCACTCCATGGGTTCGACACTTAGGTAAAGCTATGCATCCTACGGTTCATATAGCCCCACGTTCCATGGTAGATGTTCTTAGCCCACATGATGTACTAAGACACGGGCCCTATAGCGATTGTTTATACTGGCCGAATTGGTTCATGCATCCTTCTATCATCTAGATTCACTATATCTGAAATCTAGAGCCACATAGGACTAAACAGTATTTAAAGCAAGTGCTCTGCTACACAGTGTTGCAGAGTCACAACACATCAACACGTTGCATGCATGGAGTATTTGTCTCGTGTTTCATAGAAATAGTTTTTGCCGGGGTGATCACAACACTTGCCATATCCAAAACTTGTTACTAAAGAATAACTATTAGGACATGGAGAAGGAAATTTAATGACAGTCCAGATGTAGATAATACTATATTAGATACTAAATTCTTTCGATTTGGACCTTTCCTTCAAAGAGATAATATTCTTTCAATACTTGTATACCTTCAAATATAGCCCTTAAAGTATCTTCTAAATATTATATAGAGTTATCTAATATTTGGCCCTTAAGAGGTCGCATGGAAACTATAGATATAGATTTCGGAAGGGCTCTGTATTCACTTGACAGTAGTAGTATGTTCATATTATAACCACAAACACTCAAATCCTTTCTCTACCATCCTCCCCATACTAACTCTCCATTTTGTTTTTAACAATATCAATTTTACAATAGCACCAAGTGCAATTGCTGAGCGACCTTGGAGGCTCGTCAGACAGGCCTTACCTCCTCTTAACCAGGGGCCTAATGGTACTAAGTCGAGTGCTTTGCACCAAACGTACTTTGTTGGGGTCTGTGGAGGAGTGACCCAATTTCGAGAGAGCGGCTCGAGCTGCAGTTGAAGCAACTGTGCCTACTCGTGGTACACCTGTAATCTATTGCGCAACACGGGTCAAACCTACCAAAGCGAATATAAACCACGAACATGTCGCCGTGGGCCAAGGGTCAGGGGTACAAGGGCGCGTCCAGAAGAACATCGGCCAGATCATGAGTGCGATATGCAAATCGCTACAAATCGACATGTATTTTGCGGACTATAAGGTCACCATCGGTCCAAGAATTGGGCAGAAAACCCCGGATCTGGTTTGTATGACCATTGCCGGTAATTTGAGGATCGTTGGAGAGATCAAAGTCCCGTGGGTAAAGGAGCATGACATTGCCGCAGCTCTCGAGGATGTTTTCCCTCGCAAGATGTCACATCTTTTCGGTATGTTGCACCCCTACACTAATTAACATAAGCATTCTAACTAGATTACAAGGCCAGATCGCACAATACATGAAGCTAGCCAATTTGCGCTACGGGTTCTTAACCACCTATGAGCAGACGGTCTTTTCACGCCAAATCGTTTTGAACGGCAGATGGGTACTTCAGTACAGCGAGCCCATCAAAGGTAGTACTGCGTCGAAAGATCCCCTAAATGGGAACTACGAAGATCGGGTTTCCGTACGGAAGTGCTTTCTGTACTTGATACAACTGGCTGGAACAAACCACGTCGGGGGAAATCCCCTTCCTATGGCTCAGTGGGTGAGGGAAAGTCCCGTTTAACTCTCCACGGCCTTAGTCTGGTGGTTGTTGGTATTTAGGAAAGCTCTGTGTCGGTTGCTCTGCTTCGTATGGCGATTTCGACCAGGCCCTTCGGGATTAGTAGGCTGTATAGCCGAACAACCGTAGATGTTCTGGAAGGGTCCAACCATGCAAGTATCAGCTTACATAGCGTGATCAACCTTTATACCAACAGAAAGAGGGGGAAGGGTGCTGAAATCGGACTCTGCGCCTCCACGTGGTGGCACCTGGGCAGTGTAACTGCAAGTTGTAGCAAGAGCAGAGACGTACTACTCCGTAGATGTAATTATCTTCACGAACGACTGTTTAGGACGACACAAGAAGAAACAAGTATTTGACTCGAGCAAGGTACCATTCGATCTAACTAATATTGTTTTGTATTCGTCCCCATATTCGGTTTAGATCTGAACCCCCTTTTCTCAAGGTTGAATCATTCGGTTTGACTAGGGTAAGCACCTAAATGCTGGATGTAGATCGCAATGAGGTGACTAACTAGTTCGTTAACTCACTAGTTAACTACTCCGTAAGTACGGAGTAAACCAGATCCAAATGAGTCAGCAAATCTCTCTATGCAACCATAACACGTGACTTCAAGGATTAGCACCTAAATTCAGGTCCTAAGGCAAGAAGTTGTCGGGGCGTTGGGAGAGGCAACCAATGGCAACGACCGCACAGCCACAGGCTAGTTCCGGATGAACACTTGGCAGATCCGGCACCCGGTTCGGTCGGAGCTAAAATCAGAACGGCTCTTTTCCGAATGCGGAGATCGATTTAATTCCTAATTGAGAACCTGTTCCGGTGGTTTTGAGACTCCATTGTACCTTGTTGAGGACAGGACCCAAATGGACCATGAAAGGATGTAACCGTTACTGAGTTTTCCTCAACCGAGGTCGTGTCTAGGAACCAGGGGGGGGGGGTTGTTGGTTGTTTCTCCAGGTGGAATGAAGAAACCGGTGTTGATCATGATCAAATGGTGTCGTCAATAGTGGCTGGCGAGATGGGGGGAGCTATCTTTGTGAGATCGACACGTTCCCCTTTCTCCAAGATGGATAATCCGAACAGAATACGAGACGATCACAGATGTTGTCGAGGTACTCCGTACTATAGTACACTAATGAGTACTTTGGTGGTGAAGAGTCTTTGGTAGCGATGGAAGTCTTGAACCGAAGTGGGGACTTTTCTCGTCTTCTGATCTCAGAGTGGTGTCATCATTCTCTCGTATCAGTTGTTCGGTAGGATCTCGGCCTTTTTCTGTACCGTAATCCTTTCTTACTTTTTTTACTTTTCCCAGGTGGCCTTGAACTCTGAGACATGCAAGGACGAATGATGATTGACTTTGACCTCGCATATGATAGCTATTTATATGGACGTGCAGAAGTGCTACCGTACCGCACAACCTATCGCTTTTTCTCAACCTCCATGCATACACCGGGCGTAGTGCTGACATCGCCCACTGGAGGAGACGTTGAGGAGATTTATTAAAGTAATTCCAATTACATACTTACATACATACTTAAAGAGAAGCCAAGTTCGCACCGGTGCATTGCCACTTGCTGCTGGAATTTAGGGTACCCAGACCATGGGTACCACTTCAACCATTTTAACAATACTAGTACGTAGTAGTATCCTCTTAGTATCCTCTTAGTCGACAATGGACTGCTATTTCTAGTGTACTAAGTCTTCTAAGGTCTAATTCTAGTGGCTTTCCACGAGGAAGATCCACCGTTCCTGTCAATGTGATTCGTTACATTACCTGTTCCTCGATTTGAGAAAAAAAAATTTTTTTTCCTGTCATTCTTTTTTTACTTTCCAGGTTTCTGGCGGATCCGAAGCCGACGAACTAACGATCGGACTAAGGCTGAATGAGGTTCCATTATCAGGCCTGAAACCTGAATTGAACACAACAAAAAGGCCTTGTTCGCTGTTAAGTCCAACCCTTGCCTCTTTTTTTCCCTTTTTCTTCCACATCCTTTCTCTTGTCTCACTCACTCCATTGTTCTTAATTCACCTCTTTGGTCATATTTACTTTTTTGGTGGTTTCAACCGACTCGACAAGGGGTTCCCGACATTTTTCCAATTGATACGAATTGCATTCCAAACTTGTTTGCCTTCGCTGCCTATCAGCCCATCCGCCAACCTACCAATCAGCTTCTTTTATTAAAGAACCACCCGACTCATCTGAGGTATACTTTGACCTCTCATCCGACATCAACGGTCACCATGAATCGTCTCTTGAAGATTGCCGTCTTCTCTTTGGTCGCATCCTCTGCGATTGCGACCGCCGCCCCTGAGCAGGTGGAGTCCGAGGCCAGCACGCTGTCCGACAAGTCCGACTTCTACAGCTATCTCCAGAACATCGACGGTGAATCTATCCACAGGGCTCTTCACTTGTTCGAGAAGTTCCGCCATGGCGTCTTCCGCTCCGACGAAGAAGCTGTGGACGCTCTCAGTGCCGAGGATAATTCGCTTTCCTCCCAGCTGAAAATCAAGAGGGACAACAGCTCTTCCGCTGTAGAGCCCTCAGCCACTGCTGTAGTACCATCCTCTCCTACTCAAGCTTCCTCTCCCTCTTCCAACACTGAAGCTCCCGCTTCCACCACGGAAGCTCCCTCCTCCCACACCACTGAAGCTCCCTCTCCTTCCTCTTCTTCCACTACAGAGGCTTCTTCTGCTTCTTCTGCTTCCTCGTCTGACTCGTCGACTTCTCAGGCGGAACCAACCCCTTCAGCTGAGCCCACCACGGCCACGCCGACTCAAAAGACCACCGTCGAACCAACTACCACGGAGCCCACCACCACCGAGAAGCCAACAACTCCCACCCCAACCTCGGACAAGACCACCGAAAAGCCCACCACCAGTGAGCAGCCTACAACCAGCGAGAAGCCAACCACCTCCGACAAGACCACCTCCGACAAGACGACTGAGAAACCCACCACTACCAACCAACCCTCGCCCACCACTACCGACAAGCCAACCACCTCCGAAAAGACCACTTCGGACAAGACCACCGAGAAGCCCACCACCAGCGCAGACTCCACCACCAAGGGCCCAACCACCATGCAAACCACCACCTCCGGCCCCGAGCCTACAACCACCGAACACACAACCAAGAACACAACCCCCTACACCTCTACCTACAAGAGCACCACCACCCTCCCCAACGGCGAGCAAAGCACCATCACCTCCATCACCGTCGTGCACCCCACCGAAACTGACGTCGCTACGCCCACTGGCGCCGCCCCGGGCCTGCAAACTGATAACGCAGCCCCAACCACCGGTCTCACCCGCGAACTCTTCGTCATGGTCGGTGGTGCCGCCCTCGTGGCCATGGCGCTGTAATCGGGACATCATGCTCTTCAAAATTTGACCTTTTTTTTTTTTTTTTTTTTTCTCTCTT